GAGAAAGTAAACAGATTAAAACCTGCTTTAATCGCTGCTGTAGTAACCAATTTCATTGCTCAAATAGGAAAAAGTGCATTCCGTATGTTACAAATGTGACTATGATAATGACTGTGGCGATAATCAGGATGAGCAGTCTTGTCAAGAGCAGTGCACAACTAAGTATACTGCATGGGATGAGCATGGAGGCGGAAATTCTATATTCTTAGACAGGCAAAAACTTGACTGTGGCGGCCAGGGCCAGGTGTTAAAAATGTTTCATTTGGAAGCAAGACCTGACCAGATTCGATACAAATACAAGTGCTGCAAGCTGAACAAGCCGACTATGTGTACCCCCACAAGTCACTCAACTGGTTACACTTATGATGGCAAAGGCGACACTTTCTTCCTTGATCGACAAACACTTGACTGTAGCAAGAATGGTTATCTAAATGGTTATTGGCTTAGGAGAAGCGGCAGCAACTTCAAGTAGGCCTTTTTACTAAACTTCATGCGTAATGGAAGTGATAAATGTTTTTCAGCCATCATACACATTTTGCAAAGCAACGCTGTAGAACCATTTTGTATTTTGAAGTAAACATTTTTCTAGCACCAAGTTCTTGATAGCACCCAGATTCATTTTTATCCAGTAGATTTTTGTCACATTTACCCAATTTTAACCTATCCTATCATCTCATGATTTTTTTCTCTCCCAATTCAGATATGACGTCAAGTGCGGTAAGCTGCAGATCAGAAGATATCGTGAGAGGACTCATTGCGAGACAGCAAACACCCGAGCAACCGATGGTGGCAACGGCAAGAACTTCTTCTTAGACAGGCAAACAGTCGAGTGTCCAGGAAGGCGCTTCTTGAGTCATTTCAAACTTGAAAGGAATGGTCCGAAATTGTGGTACAAATACACGTGCTGCGAAGTAAGAAGCTGAAAAAAGAAGTAGATGGTGACTTTGCTTTGCTATTTTTATTTGCCTTTGATTAATCAAGTGCGGAAAAAGTTTAGAAAACAATCTTTTTTTAATATAAACTGATGCGGGGAATAATAATTGTCATTTTTAGTGTGATCTTGGTAAAAGAAAAACAACTTATCGAGGGTCGCTAAAAATCATTGCAAGCTCTTCAGACAATTGTTTTGTTGAAACTGATTCAGCTGTTTTCTGCTAGAAGCATTTATTACATATTTAAACAAGTGCTTAAAATACTTGGAAAAAATTATTCGAATCAAAGCTGACGTGAGGAATAATAATTGCCTTTCTTTGGTGCGATCTCTAAGTTGAAGAAAAACAGCATTCTAGGGTTGTTAAAATTCCTGGTTAAATTCAAATTCTTATTGTAAAAATCGATTCAGCAGTTTTTGTTAGAAACTTCACGTATCAAAGTGACATTACATATTCAAGGACTAATCGGCCCTAGACCACTATAGACAAGGGCATTGCGACCGGGGGAGTGTGTGGGGGTGTTCCAATAGTATCTCAATAGGAAACTTCAGGTAAAATCCGCTCGGTGGAAGAAAGGCTTTAGGTATTTCAGAGACCTTCATGTCATAAAATCAATAAAGGATCAAGCAATGGTAGTTGCTCCGTTGGTTAAGTATGATATTCCTTGATATGAATGAAGGTAAACAAACTAATGATTTGAAGATTTGAAGATTTCTTGTTGGCACTAAATCGAAAAATCCAGGCCCTCTTTAGGTAAAATTGTGTCTTGTGTCCATTTCTCCTAAAGTTTCTTGATAGAAGCGTCAACTGCAGTTCACTATGAGCTCCAGATTTTTTTAACATTCAAAAGGCATGCTAAGATGGAAATATATATATATACATACATACATACATGTATGCGTTTCCCTCGACCCACCACGTAGTGTACTCATTCTTCGTACACAAAAAGGGATCTAAATTGACAACCAGTGCTGCTTTTTACCTAGCTTTAGAAGTAACTGACAACATGGTATTTCTCAAAACAACGGCAAAATTTTGACAGTTGTTTTTATCTGTTGTTGTATCAATTTGTTTGCAAAAAAATTATTTTCAATAGGATTTTTCAGGGAACTAGAAGCATCAAAATTCGAAAATTTCCTGCTCCTTCGGCGGTAACCAGTGCCACCTCAGGCAGTAATTATCAGTGGCGGACTGGCCCAACGGCCAGTTTTTGCTGAAAAGGGGCCCCTTATGAGATACCCGGGCTAATGAGGCCTTCCTTTTGATGCTCCATTACTAATAATGGACATCTTACAATACGTGAAAAGTAAGTGCTTATTTTTAATAAACAGGTAATTAGTGCTTTATGTTATTTTGATTAAAAAATTGATAGTTCTACGTCAAGGATAGTGCACTTGGCCAGGGATGTTCACTTGGCCAGGGATAGTGCTACGGGGGGATGGTGGTGGTGTGACACTCACTAAGAATATGGATCGGTTCTTTACTCGGCAGATTCAACTTCTGATCCTCTTCGCTCCTCGTCAGTGCCAAGTCGGCATGTTAATATTTCAACTGTTAATTGGCAAGTTGTAACCAGTGAGAACCAACTGCACATTACAATGTTTCAGGGTTTGGGTGCACAAATGGCGAGAATATATACCAGAAAATCGATTAAAACCGTCAAATAGCGTTCTGCCTGTGGATAATAATTTTATGAGGAAGTTTGTATTGTAAGGTTTAATGATTGCATTTTCCAGTGAACTGGAAGCATCGAAATTCAAAAATTTTCTTGCCTTCTGCGGCAACCATGGTGCGGCCTCAGGTAGAAACTTCTGTGTGCCTTATTATTGTTCGTGTCGCAAAGCTACAAAAAGCTAACATACCTGAGTAAAAAGGTTCCTATTCTGTTAAATGATTGAATGAAGAAAATTTTGTGATAAAGATTTTCAAAGGAAAGCCTATCCCTATAATTAGGACTGACTTTAGGGCCCGCCTGTGTCAATTTACGAGCAAAACTTCAAAATATTGAATTTCTTTTTACAGTAACAGTTCCAAGAGTCATAAGCTCGTTAGGTAGTTGACGGGTGAGAAGGTATCTTCCATTTTCGACATTAGCGAATGCCTTAATTTTATTTAATTGAAAAATACACTTGACACGCTTCCTAAGAAATTTTTCTAGCACCGCTTTGCATTTGACCACACCCTTACTTTTTATAGCCACACCCACCAAGACCCCCTTAAGTTCTTCGTGGCCGGTTGAAAATTCTGAGCAAGTCCGCCACTGGTAGCTATATCCTTTGTCCGTTCTGATATAGAGATTTGACAAAACTATTAGAAAAAATTCCGTTATTATCAAAATTAAAATAAAAGTTGCGAATTATATACAGAGTTAGATTGACAAAATGCATTGCAGAGGTTTGTGACAGCAACTAAAGAATTTCAGGCAAAAATTTTTAATCAGGTAAATTTGTAGTCCATCTCCCTCCAACAAGGCTTGCCTCGCGACGCCCTGCTTGTAGATATTGCTAACATTAAGTTAATGTGATTAATTTCACTTATATCGAAATAGTGTTATATCTGGAAACCTAGACTTCATCTTCATTGGGCGTAGGCCAAGTAGGGAAGTGCAAGGAGTGTCGCAACCCTCAGCTTTGCATTCGTCCGCAAATCAACAAAATTTCTAGATTCTGAGTTTCAGCAATAGCGTAGTTTGTCAATGTCATGACATAACATAATGTCTCTTCTTATTGTTCTCAAAATTGATAGTTCTTCAAAATTCGCAAGGATTCTTTTAAATTTTTTCTTTACACTGATTTCTACTGTTGCTCCCACATTAAAAACGTCATGTGTAGGACCTTAACAGGTTTGGGGTAGTCATGGGTAATGCCGGACGCTGGGCACTCAGGGACAAATCTTTCCTGGTATATTTGTTTTGAATCTGTTGTGAAAATTAAAGAAAAATATTGTAAGCTGTTTCAAGAATTCCTTCATGAAAAATGCTACTTGATTGACGGATGAAATACTTTCATATCATCACATGCAGTGGCGGCTCCAGCTACTGCAGAGTGAGAGGGTAATGGGCGTGGCCTGTGAAACCATGCATATTTCGCATCGTTTCAGTGCTTTGTACCAGGCTAATTTTCCTTAGGAAAGAGGATCTACCCCTACCTAGCGCTTTTTACTTGGTTTTTAAAAAGATTAAGACCATGCTTTTAAAAAAGTGGGGGGAGGGTAATTACTCCCCCCTCTCCCCTGCTATTGATCACATGGCCAGCAAAAACTTCAATTGAGCTTTTTGTTTATCGAAAAGAACTAAAAGCACCAGTCATTTTAACAGTTAATTAATCTTTTATTGACACAAAATATCCAAATACATTTGCAATAGCGGATCTATACAGTATTGAGTAAACAAAAAAGAAATGCCCAAAAATCAGAAATGAAAAAATTATAGGTTACAACTAAAGTTAATTTGAGAGAGAGAATATTTTCACAGAATATACTAATAAGTTATTACAAACCAATAATTACATTATTCAAAATCTTGAGAATTTCTGATACTAGAAAAATGACATTGTCTGTTGTTTTACTGTGCTTTGTAAGCCTTGATAACATCTCGGATTGGAGCCCTACACATGGGGCAGCGATGTCCATCCATTTTCAGCTGTAAGCCACACATGTTGCAAACACACATGTGGCCGCATTGATACAAAACAGTGTCAACTTGATTATCAAGACAAATGACGCATGAACCAGCAGAAACAGGGCCTGACAGATCTCTCTCTGGGATTCTGAATTGATTAGAGGAAACAGAGCCAGAGGCTGAAACACAAATATGGAAAAATATATATTCAAGAAGAAACCATAATTCAGAATGAGCAAGCATACTTCCTATAGTGAACCTAAAACGCTATTTCGTTCTCTTGCTTATTTCAGTTCTTATTCAAGAGGACTCATTAAAGTGGAGGGGCTTATGTCAAAGTTAGTAGAGACATATAATGCATTGCAAATGGTAAACATATTCACAAAAAAGCCATGCACTGTAAGATAATTAGCATTTTAACTAAGGTTGATAATGATTTATTGGTGTGAAGTTTCATCAAACAATATGAGAGAAGACAGTGGGCTGTAAACATCTTGAACATTTCCAATTAGATTTTCCTTCTCATGTTGTTACCTTATTGAATATATTTCAAAAGACTGACAGCACAATTTCAAATTCAGTTGGACAGCTGACTCTCTGGCTTCAAAAAGAAGTAAATGTAATCATGAGGTGAGCTTTTTATTGTTTGTCACGTGTCTTTGAAACATACCTTGCCCAACTTGCTCCATAAAAGCTGCGAATACAGCTGAAACTTCTTGACGTATGGACCGCTGTGTCTCCATTTGAATCTCTAATGTTGTCTGCAACATCCTTTTCATCTCATCCATTTGTGTTTTCAAGGAGTTAACTTCAGTAGTAAGTTGTTGCCTTTGAGTGCCAGTCATTGGTCTTGACGAAGTCCTTCTTTGACTGATATTGCTATGATTAGCTGTTCTTGGAGGTTGGCGATTGGAGCGTGGTAATGACCTGATGAACTGCTCCACAATTTCACCACCACCAACATTTTGAGCACGCTCCTGCAGAATCAAAATAATACTACACATGCTTTTACTTACATAAAAAGTAAATTTGATGAAAGCCTTTTAAAACTGTATACAAAGATCGTATTGAACCAATAACCTTCAAAATGACACTGAAATATGGTATGGTTTAGCTGATGCCCAAAGTATTGAACAAAATTTCTCAAAATGTTCCTGACTAAATTTCAGAAATGAAAAAAAAAACTATTTTTGAAAAAAACAACTTAGGATACTTAATGGACCTTTTTAGGCAATTGTTTCACATATTCCTTTCACATAAGGTAAGATATGGAAAATTTGAATCATAGATTTAAAACCTATTTCAATGAAAAATTTTGTGAAATATAAATAGGGAATGTATTTAAACTTCCCTTAATCAAGTTTAAAGGTAATATTTTACAGATATTCCAGGTACCTGAAACAATCTTTCCAGGTTATTTCTAAAACTGCCACCTAGAACAGAGCTAACAACATGAAGGTGACGGATTTGTGCAATGTCTTCTTCAATTGTTTCACTAAGAACTTGAACACCAGCATCAAGCACTCTCTGCAGATGTTCAATTTCACTGGCAGCATCAGAGAAGTCATTTGTTGTGGTTTCACTAATGACAGAGGCAGTTTCAAAGTCTTGTGTGTGCAATGATGGGGTAGAGGCACCACTTATTGACCTGTCAATAAAAATTACCATCATCGAGAAAAAAGTTTTAGAATTATCTGAAGGTCTATGAGTAGAAGCTTGAAAATTAATTAATTACCTATATATTGCAGGCAGGATTGCTATTGCCTCTTAGAAGGAATTATTTCTTTCCATAAAATACTTTTAGTCAAATCAACCTTGAATGCCCAATCATTTTTATTTACCAGAATACCAAAATAATTCATACTTAGATCCTTATCCAATAACTTTCTTTTCTTGCATTGTAATGATAATAACAGATAATGAAAAAGTGAGCCTTTGTTTTGCTTGACAAATCAACTAAAAAGCTCTTGGGTAATACCCACTGATTTAACCTGCAAAATCTTTTCCATGCAGAAAGGCCAAATATATGACAATACCTTGCTGCTTCTTGAACAATCCTTGTGATAGAATTGCTAGTAGCAGAAGCCTGCGGCATTAACCTAGTGGCCAGAGATTGCTCTAGAGCACTTCGGAACTCATGCCTTCTCAATGCTGATGAAACAATACTTCTTTGTATCAAACTTTGAATGTCTTCTGAGGGCTGACTGTCTGAGTTTTGATTTGAAACTGATGAAGAATTTGTGTCTCTGGAGAAAAACTGGAGCAGATTTTGTCGTGCACTTGTCCCTGTGACAGGTCTTGCTGTATTCTGCAACTCATTCAACTCTGACGATCGTTCCCTAATATAAAAAAGAAAGCATATCATTAAAATTTTGAGATAGCGTATTCAGAAATTGTCTTCGCAGAAAAAAAAACAAATCAATGCACAGTAGAATGCTGGAATTGAGCAAGAACCAAAGATTCACAACTGGTGGGAAAAGATAAATTTTTAAAAGAATGAGACACCTAGGTACAAAATTATGTGAATGGAATGGAAAATAAAAGTGACTTTAAATGCCTTTTAGAATAATGTTGGAGCTATCAGCATTTTGGTGACTTTCTTTGAGCAATAGACACACGTTTTTGGTATATATTTTCCTGCCAAGGCCCTCAGGTCAAGGGGGCACATTGCTTCAACTCCCCGATTCTTGACTTACAGAGGGCAATTATTTTTTATCAATTTTAACAGACAGCTTCTTTTGCTATTAAACAAAAAGAATAAGATATTTGAAAGAAAATCGGTTTTAATACAACGGTATTTGCAAAATCTGATTCAAATTGAATTGCCTTGTAGTTCTCTGTAAAATGACATCAAAATTCTCCAGGGCAGCATTGCAGACTGTTTGTAGGATTTCACAAGCAGTGGAGCTATTTTCAACCCCGAGGTCAGGAGGAGAAGGCCACCAATTTTCGTCATCAAAATCATGGTCATCGTCTTGAAAAATGTCAAATTCTTTGCAGTCATCCAATTTTTCTTCGTTTATTTCGCAAGATGTTTCGCCATGAGCCTCAAAAATGGAATCATGTTTTGAATTGAAAAGATCTTCTGTTGACGAGCTGTGTCTACGGCACACTGAAGTATCCAGTTGGTCACTGCTCACTAAAGAGTGCTCCGTATCTATTGCAATGTTTGTCCCGACCGGTTCAGTTTGAAATTCAGCCATGATTTTTTCCCGGCTTTAGATCTACCCTGTCAGATCCAATGAGGTATCCTTCGTTTGTGTTGTAGGTCGTATTTATATTGGCAGGACATGACGAATTTTCTAAATTCGTCTATGACGCCATTATGACAGCAAAGCAAATTTCGTCCCTGCTGTTATTGTTGTTGTTGCTTTGAATTTTGTAGCCTGCATATCTCTATGGTAGCCTGTCAGAAACCTTTGATTGGCTGAGCGACCTAAATTCTCCATACCCCATTAGCCAATCATAATTCAAGAATATGACAACAAATGTGTCTCGCAGCTAGATTTAGGCCTATTTTGGATGTATTTACCACTACCCACAAAAAATAAACGTGTAAAATGTACGGAAAGATAAACTAAATATTTTTTTATAACATGAATTTTTGATAAATGTATTAAAAAACTGCCGTTGAACTCAGTCAAAATCAATCAGTTACGAAGGCCTGAAAGTTGCAACTGTCCCTTTCAAAATTGTCCTGTTGATATTTAGGAAAAATTTTGGAGGGAGTAGTCATTCTAAAACTCTAGTAGCAGACGTTGGGGAAGGAAAGAAAGGGCGTCCTTTGGCTCATCGGTGTGAATAATAAGAAGCTGTTGTACTGATTGAGAGAATTTCAATTCTAGAATAAAAATGTGCATCTTCTTTGTCTTTAGTATTTTAATTAGGACATGTTTACACTTCCAAAATGCATATATTGCAATGATACAGAAAATTATCTACTGAATCGATGCAAATAATAGACAAATAATAGAAATATACCCAACTAAGTTAGTAAACAGATGAAATGAGATCAAGCAGTATATAAACTGTTTGTTCTCTTTTTATTTCATACTCTGTTTTTAAAAATAATGAAAGAGGCTGTCAAAATCTTTCATTTCTGAAACAGTGGGGGAGCTTTAGCCCCCCCCCCAGTCCGCAAGTGGCGCCGTGCCTGAATAAAAGCATTTGTTAGAAAGTTATTCGGTCATCTTTTGCTAAGCTGGAGATCTTTTAAAGGGCATTTCTATCATATGCAAGCAGCTCTTCAATTTTTTTGAAGCTTGGAGCCTAAAATGCAGCTAGACCTTTTCGCTTTTTGGGAACCTTCTACCGAAGACTAAATGTTGCATGAAAAGTTCTAACTGCAAGGAGAGCGTGACTGGAGATGCTATGTAATGCGGAGTGACTATAAGTGGAGTCTACTTCAACCCCTAAAATAGCCACATCAACTACCAAACGGGCCAGTCCTCTTCTGCTTTTATAAGCGACTTCTAGTACAGGCTTCCAAAAAATATGCCCGATCTAAAAATTGTCTAATTAATGGCCTTCAAGGGCTAATTCTTAGATTCACAGCATTCTTGAAAATAAAGGCCCTTTCTTCAGGTCGCCCAAGCCTCATTCTAGCAGGTCATCTTCTGTTTGACCTTCATTCCTTTCAAATTCCACGCACCCCATTCACGGTGCCTTTTATGTCTAGGCACTTGTAAGGGGCCCACCAGGAAATCTAACGGTGTCCCGCCTAGCCATAACGCCCCTGAGTAATCTTAGCAAATATGCACTAATTAGGGGGTGGGAGACTATAGCACCTAAAGCATTGAAATTGGCGAGAAATATAAGAAATTTTGCTACTTAACTTTAAACCGAAATTCATAACGCTATGCACACCTGATGCCAGATAAATTTGCTAGTTGAATTCCCTAGCTAGTAGAACAAGAACAGAGAGAAAATCTTCAGAAGAAAATTCATGGAAACAATAACGGAAAAATGATGTTTTTCCGGAAAATGACGAGTTTCTTTGAAGATGTTTTTTCGGGAAAATGACGAGATTCTTTGAGCATTCTCGTATTCGACTGTATTCGGCTAGCCTCTGTTCCACTTCATGTTGCTGTTGAAAAATGGCGGGATGAGCAATGATTATTTGGGCATTCTGTGATTTGGGAATAGGCTGCCTACGGCATACATAGCCACAAAAATATGGAACAGGCAAAGATTATACTCGTAAGCTGAGATCTTTCGATTTGAACTAATTTTTGCGCAAGCTGCTAGCTGAAGTGAAAGGAAGTCTCGGTCAAGCAGGCTCTGAGAGAAATTATGTCCTCGATGCTAAAAACACAATTTTTGTTTGCATTGAAATGCAGAATAATGCAGAGTTCCACCAAACTGTTCTGTTATAGACTTTTTGTTTCATGTGGACAGCAGTTATACTGTGAAAGTGGTAATCAAACCACCGATACCTACGAAGTAATTGACTACACCGTGTTCACCCCACCAAGGGGAAAGGATGGAAGACTTACTAATAGTAGAATACCTAAAGAAGGCGAATCAAACAGTTTTCCAAAGAAATCTTTTGGGAAAGAACCAAAATCTGAGATTCCAACGAAAAGTAAGTTGAGCTAGAATCTAGAAGCTATTTCCCATGTACAATGAGAGTGGGGTAGCACCAGAAAATGTTTAATGAACCCCTTGCCGGGTTGGAGTAATGTATGATTTGGCTACGCATAGCTGAAAGCAACAGTACACTATGAGCTGCAACCTGCAAGGGAAGGCATTTAAGCTCTGGGCAAAGAACACCCAGGAGTGGCAGACAACAGAAAAAGACTATTTAATCAAACCAACCAGTGCAGTGGCAAAAATTACAGGGAGCATAGGAAATAGGAGGGGGGGGGGCACCAGAAAGTACACAGGAAAAAAACAGTTAAACCTGTCTCAAAAACCAATATATCCAATCATTTAGAATTTTTTCTCTAAAAATAAAAGAAGGCATGTGATATTTTGCACTCCTTGAAAGAAGAAGGCATGCACCAGGGCATGTGCGTGCGATCAGTGGCATCGCTTCACCTTCCCGACTAGGGGGGTGGAGGGTCATCAATAGAAAAATTTACCAACGAAGACATAGATTGAGAAGAAATTAGGTACTTTTTGACCTACTTAAAGCTGATTTTACTAACAAACTAAGGGTTTCGTAGACAAACTGAAGATTTATCGATGAATTTTTAGTGTATATCGGAACAGCGATCAATGTAAACACTAAATAAATCCATCCTTGACTATCGTGTCATTTCCAGCCCAGCGTGTCTTATTTTACGTGCAGAGAACACGGAGCCAGTGAGAGAGACAGTGTGTTGCCTGTGTAACTCTGATGTGAACTGAACTGACTTACATAAAAATTAACATGCTTATATACAGAAATGAATATCTAAAATTAACACGAATGATGTAAGGAAAACAAAGGATAGGAAGGGCGAGTAAAGGTGATGAGTAAATTGAATAGCGTGGCAAAGATTAAGTAAACAATAGGGATTAGCGAATGCGTGATATGAGAGTGACGTAGAGGATGCCTGTGTTGCGATGTGAGAATGTGGGAAAATGATGGAATGAATGAGAAGGAAAAATTGATGCAAACAGGCCTAAGTAGAGTCACTACATAGCTCCCCTCCTAGAAGGCAAGCGATAGCGAAGGATTCGATAAATTGTAATATGCGGCTAGGTACAAACAATTAAAGATATAGAATATTACGAATTAAAGATACTTAAATGTTCGAATATCAATTTGTTCGTTGACTTGCTTTCGTGTACCATGCGAGGGTCTGCAAGCAGCGATGAAAATTGCCTTGAATTTGCGACGTAGTCCGATGTTGAGCAAGGTTTTGTGAATAGGTTTACCAGGAACCTGCGATGAGTGAATTGCCAAGGTTTTGTGAGTCGGGTGACCAAGAACCGGTAGAGTTGTTTTGCCAAGGTTTTGTGAGTCGGATGACCAGGAACCGGGATGCGAGGGCACTGCAGTGAGTCGAGTGTGTTGATGCCAAGGTTTTATGAGTAGGGTAACCAAGAACCTGCGAAGAGCGTGAGACACTGCCGAGCACCGGAGAGTGCCGTGGAGCTGCCGAGGATGTGAGGCGAATAGAGACACTTGTGTCCGAGTGCTGTGTTGTCTAGCTGAGCTCGAGTGTGTGACAATCCAGTTGAGTGAGTGAATGTAGCTGACAAATTCTGTTGCGTTGAGTTGGGTTGAAAATAACGTCGAAGGATGTTGTTTTTAACCATGTCGGTCACGTCGTGGTCACCATTTTAGTGTATATCGGAACAGCGATCAATGTAAACACTAAATAAATCCATCCTTGACTATCGTGTCATTTCCAGCCCAGCGTGTCTTATTTTACGTGCAGAGAACACGGAGCCAGTGAGAGAGACAGTGTGTTGCCTGTGTAACTCTGATGTGAACTGAACTGACTTACATAAAAATTAACATGCTTATATACAGAAATGAATATCTAAAATTAACACGAATGATGTAAGGAAAACAAAGGATAGGAAGGGCGAGTAAAGGTGATGAGTAAATTGAATAGCGTGGCAAAGATTAAGTAAACAATAGGGATTAGCGAATGCGTGATATGAGAGTGACGTAGAGGATGCCTGTGTTGCGATGTGAGAATGTGGGAAAATGATGGAATGAATGAGAAGGAAAAATTGATGCAAACAGGCCTAAGTAGAGTCACTACAAATTCATGAAGAATTGGGGGTGCTACACCCCCCTACACCCCCTGCTAGCTATGTCCCTGCGTGCGATTTGCATGTCGTTTCGACAAAAGTGTATGAGCTATTAGTCATAATCCTATAGGCCAGTGTTTTTTGACAATTTTTTATCCATGGCATACTTTTTCATTGAAATACTAAGGCACAGGCACACCACCAACAGAAAATATTTTGAAGAAGCTCTGTGGCCCATATTCACAATAAGGTTGTTCTAGTTATCAGTGTTTTGAAATAGGAATAAAAGAAAATATGAGTAAAAGTATTTGAAGGAAGCAGATTTTTTGAACTGAACAGAGGGGTTTCTCAACTCAAATCCTGGGAAATTTTTTGGCAAAAAAAAAATTAACCAACATCTACCAAACTCTACAAACCTACCTTCCTCTATGACCTCTTAAATCTGCACATGAAGCTTGCTCAGTCATGATAAAAACAGAACTTTTTGCCAGAGTTGCTCTCTGTGTGACAGAATCATCAGTATTGTCTCCTTTTTTAAGAAGGTCTTGCTCCCTTTTTCAAGAAAGTCTTCCCCCCAATAAATATGTTCTAAATTTATTATCTGCTATCTTTCTTAAAAACTTAATCTGGAAAATGAGAAAACATTTGAAATTGAAATTTTAGCACTAAATTTAGAGCAGATTTTATTTCAAACCTGTTCTTGGTAAAACACAACAATAGTTTAACAATTACTCTGGTTTTGCTAACGAACCCCCTTGCACTCAAAAGTAAGACATGTGTAATTGCCAGGCATAGCTTTAGCAGGTGATGGTCCAAATTCAGGTATTTGGGCCTCAGTGGATTTGTTGGCAAAGCCAAGGCACAATCAGAATAGGGTGTATCTATTACACTAGTGTGTACATCTTGTGTATATCATTTGCTATTTTTTTATCTGGCATTCATGGCTGCTCATTGATATATGTAATCAAAATGCTAATTAATAGATTTTGCAGAGTTTCATTTGTAATTGTAATCATTATTTCAGAAGAAGTCAAAGAATTTGTGAAGTGCCTTGCTTACTGCAAGACTACCTTTAAAGAACCTTTGAAAGAACTCAGCATTTCTAGTATGTTCTCTATTTTTCTTGTATAGTTAAAGAAAAACATACCTACAGAAACGAGGGTGTCATTAAATTTGGAGACAATTTAAAAATCCAGAACATAATCAAGAGCTTCCAAATAATACTCTTTAGGTTGATATTGCAAATAGAGTATCAGAAATACTAAATTAACATCATTCTGTGCTGTACCCTTTTGGAGTTATCAAGGTCTTGGCATTAAGTGATGCTCAGTCAAATGTACTAGAATAGAATATATCTGGGTTATTCTCTACTTTTTCTAATCTGCAAACATAGGTTTGTAGTTGGATTTGTTTTCTTATTTGGGAAGCTTAAATTCAAAGAAAAGAATGGGTTTTGGATCAAGTTTCTAATTTGAGTTTTGCCAGTTGAGTGTATCTTGCAAGAATCTAAACCATCCAGTGTTGTATTTGCATCAGGCTGTTTGGCTTTAACAAAGTAATTGCAATTTGACATCAGTTTATGAGTTGTGATTTTAGACACTCAAGCTGATGAGGCATTTGAGGCATTGAAAACAAATCTTACCATGGAAATAAAGGGAGATGAGAATCTTGCTTATCACATCAAAAATTTAGGCTCAAGCAAAGGTTTGCTGTATCTTTATTTTGCAAATCAGATTTTTATTTTCAACGTTTTGTTGGATCATTGACAAGATTTTTGTGGAACTGCCACATTTTCTAAATATTGAATATTTAAATAGCAACATTTGTTCAAAGGTTTTGAGCCCTGGGGCAGCAAACATTACATGCCATTTCTTAACAAAGCTAAGTGCAAAGTGCAATAGCCAACCAAATTATGCAATGGCATTACCATAAGTGCCAAATATACAGTTAGAATAAGAAATTATCAAAGAGCTCATATGCAACTTGTTTGGTAGATTTTCACTGAACCGTGAAGAGTAACTACGTTGCATTACACATTCATAATACTTATTCTTTCTGAAATAACAAAGCTGCTTCTAAGTTCAGACTATTTCCATAGATAAAGAAGAGGTTGCCTTTGAATGCTTCATCAACTATATCAAACAGAGATACCCAGTAAAGGAGACACAGCCGGAGTTGGAAGCGGCAACTGATCTTAGGAACATTGCAAATTGGTAAGTGTTGCAGCACTGTTTGTCTTTCAGGAAAAAGCTAATATATGTGGCTCAAGAGACGCCAGAAATTTCATCTCTTTGTAATATCCGTCAGGTTTGCTTCTTTTTACTTACCGTGGGATGCTTTCTTAAACTGTGATTGTTTTTATCAAAGTGCATATTTTCAATGATTAAAAAAATTTTATTCAAGTTTTTCTTTCTAATAACGAAATATATCTGGTGTAGCTGAAATATTATCTTCGGTAAATGTGTAGTGCTTTAAATTTTGCATAGGCGAGGTATTAAAATAAAATTGTCTCTAGAGCGGAGATATATATACGTTTTTGGGGTATGATAGAAACTGCGCATTTTGTTTGATCCTACAAATCCTGTTTGGTTCTGTGTAATTCAACTCCAATCGAATTCCTTTGGCTTTCCAGAATTTTTTTATTAGCATATTTACACATTCAAGCTATTTGTACATGTTATTAGTGCTGGAAAGAAGGGTTAATTACCTTAAGCCATAATATTTTTACTTTACGTTTTGTTTTGACCAGCTAATTACCTGAAACTACAAAATTCTTGACACTTTCAATCAATTAAAAGTAGCAATGTTCGAATTGGAGGTAGTCAGGTATTTGTAGGCAAATCAGTTTGCACTCCAATGTTTATGCTCTGTTCATCTTGAAAATTGTTTTCTGCTTCATTAAAGGCAATCGACATGTGTAAAAGTGGCTTAAGTCGTTTGTCAATCACTATTTGCAAATCAATTGGGGTGTAGGTGGAATCTCACTCACTGATAGGTCAATTCTTTACTGAAAGAAAGCCATGCCCCTTTGGTATCTGTCGATTGTCTTTTAAGATATTAAAGTTGGGTTTATTTTGAATTCAGGTGTATTGGAGTAACGTCTGTTTCACATGAAAACCAGTCTGGGTTAGTGAAAATGAAATAGTGATCTTCAAGTATAACAGAGATGTTAAAATAATGTTTTATACGCAAGCCAAGCATTTGAGTTCTACAAATTGAAATTAGGCCCATCCAAACATCTTTGTAGGTGCACATAATTTTCTCCTTTTAGGTTTACCATGGCTCGAAAAATCAAGCGGAAGATAATATTCCACGCAGGACCAACCAATAGTGGCAAAACCTATCACGCCCTTCGGAGGTTTGAAAGATCGAATACTGGTATTTATGGAGGTCCCTTGAGAATGTTGGCTGCAGAGGTATACACCAGGACCAACACGAATGCAAGTAATTTTTACCTCACATTTAATTTTGGCTTTGTAAAAATTTTTACTTCCAGACATTGTTTACTTTCAAGCAAATACGTTTGTTATGGTATTGGAGAAAGCCACTGGTATATCGGCTTGGGGTGAGCTTTTTCGTCCATTTTTATTTTGCTTTGGGTACACAGGTTACTGATGTAAAAGTGGCATCCAAACCTTTACACAAATAAGTATTGATTATGAGTTAATTCTAATTCCAAGAATAGTTATTTTTCAACTTTTAACAGCCAGGTTTTTTGACAGCCGTCTGGCATATAGTGTCATTATCTTCATTATCTTTATAAATATATACATCTTTCGAAAGTGTAGGGCACTGTGATTCTTGATTAAGCAAGCTTAATGTTTTCTTGCCAAGCGTCAAAAATAGGTGCTTTTCTCAACGTCGAATATTGCAAGATTCTTTAGTTTTTTTTAAGGTAGTTGTAACGTAGTACCGAAAAGTATTTTGGTTGAATTAATGAAAATGAAACTTATGTCACTTTGCCCGTAAATGCTGTTGACATACTTTTTGCAAATAGATATATGTTAAAGTGCAACGTTTTATTTTTAAGACAAGTATGAATTTTTTGTTCAGGGTATTCTTTGCGACATGTTAACTGGTGAACAAAGACTTTATGCTACAAGTGAATTCCAACCATCAGATCATGTTTCTTGCACTGTTGAAATGTACAAAATTGATAATGAATGTATGTATGATACAAATCGTTTCTCCTTTGCTTGTATAACTCCGTTACCTATGGCTTACCTATGTAAGCAGTAATTTTTCAAACTTGAACATAGATGGGTAATTCAAAACTGTATATAGCTGAAATTTATTTGCACTGCATACAATCAATCAACGCTGGTTTTCCTGCTTACGTTTTGCTGACTCCGTTTTACAGGTTTACGGCTCTACGTAATATTGAAGTTTATCATTCCTCAAAATTAATTAACCTGAGCTCACCTTGGGGTAAAAGTAATCCATGTTAGATTCCTGTTTACACTAAAAGGCAATGCTTCAGAGTAACTCTATATCAGGTGTGAAGTGTGAGTTCTTTAACTTTTATATGTTGGTTAATGGATCAGAAAATCATTTCGGTTTTTTAACATTTTTCAAAGAATTTAAATAACCCATACTGACCCAGATTTAGTCAATAAATCTTATATACGTCTCAGCCCATCAAGTAACTTTAATGGTGTGGTGTTATTCAAAGCTAACAAAAAAATAAGTTTTCCGGAATTTTTGGTGATTTGTTTCTTAGTCAATTTTTTTTGCTCTCCCGGTTATTTTAAATATAAGATCCGTGACAGGTAATTACGGCGATCCTTTCAAAGAAGATTTCAACCAACGTTAAATGAATGCTAACCTCGAGCGTTTTCATTTGTTAATAGATGATTGTGCTGTTATTGATGAAATCCAGTTGCTTCGTGACAGAGAACGAGGATGGGCATGGACAAATGCTTTTCTTGGTATGTTTAATCAATTTTGATACCTTTTCATTGATGACTTTTTATTAGAATAAAGAAAGAATGCTACTTAATGAAACTTCACAAGCAATTTTACCTTTTTAAAAACTTGCTTTTATAAATTTCATATGGTTTATTTAATCAAGCCTAGATATTTGATGTGGTTTTGAACGGGAAGGAACAGGCATATTTCTTGCATATTTTCTAACAGGAGGAGTTATAGGAGACTTGAGTCAACTTCTAGCAAGTATCTTTTTAAGTGGAAGACATTTTTACACAAAATAAGATTTGTTTTATTGAAGTAGGAAGCAATAAAGAACACGTTATTTGAAATTTTAGGTATTCAGGCGAAAGAGGTACATGTCTGTGGAGAGCCTGCAGCTGAATTAGCTTTGAGGTCACTTGTCCGTGCAACAGGGGATGATTTAGAGGTAGGCTCGTCATCGCCATCATTGCCTGATGTTCTGGTTCATTTGTGATCAAATGTGAATTGGTTATCGTCTGCTGAATTATCGCAGTGGCCATTTAAATTTCTATCATTTTGGGGCATTGACTCTTTCTTCGGCATTTGTTAAGTACATAAAAGGTACTAAAAGTTGCTGTATCTAATATTACATAGATACGAAGATACCAAAGACTTACTCCACTTCACATTCAAACAAAGAGCGTTGGTAGGTTGGATTCAATTCTGATAAGAAATTAACTGCATTTTCAGTCTATTTAGTAAGTATAAAATCTATATTGTTCTCCTTTAGTGCAATTTTAAATGTTCTAGATGTCTGAAGAGGAGAAGGGATTTCTGGTTACTGGATACGGGGGTAAACACCCCTAAACGTAAGCCACCTTTGAACAACTACTTAGAACCATCATGGAGGCCTAGTCAAAAGATCAAAGAGGATGTTCTGTAGTGATTAATTGCAGTTACCCATTCTTTAATGATCACCACCGAACATTGGTTTTTTCATAACATGTATCTTATCTCTTTTTCTTTATTTATAATCAGCTTTTAATAACAGTTATTTGAAATACCTCTTTCAAAGAATAAGCATTGATATTTTGCTTTGCACGGACAGGAAGTCTAAAGGCAGTACGGCCGGGTGACTGTGTGGTTGCGTTCTCCCGGCAAAAGATCTTTCAGATTAAAGATGAAATCGAGAGAAAGACGAAATTGAAGTGCTCAGTAATTTATGGTGGTCTGCCTCCTGGTTAGTTCTTTAAACACATGCCGCTTTTCACTTTATTGTGAGACCTTGTTCAGTAAATATCAATACTGCCTGTGGGTGATAAAAATCTGCAGTATTTAGACTTTGATGAATGATTCTGATGCTTACGTGCATGTCACTAGAAAGTACTAGGACTTTTCTACACATTTGGAGCAAAGGACGATAATTATACTGAGTCTGCATTATCAAGCTCCCCATACTCTGGTGTCTTTTTCTGCTAATTTGCTATGTATATACATCGGCTTTTTTTATATCAAGATGCTCTGCTTTTGACCTGCTACTAAACAATTCCATTAATTTTACATAATATAATGTTACAAAGAATGACTTTCCACGTTTGCAGCTATCAGACTGGAGCAAGCAAGAAAATTCAACGATCCTCAGTTTGAGGAATGTATTTTGGTTGCTTCCGATGCTATTGGAATGGGCCTCAATCTGTAAGTCAAAAGTCTACTCGAAAGATTTGTAATAATGTCAATTGTAATCTCATCTACTTTGCAAGACTATCAATAAAAAAATTACCAGTTTTAATCTGCTTGTCTTAGAAGTATTGTTAAAAGTATTGCAAGGTCAAATGAGTATTGCAGTCTTAGAAGTATTGCAAGGTCAAAGGAGTATTGTTAGCTGCTCGGATCTTTTCTATTTCTACAGAGCTGTTTTTGGCACCTAAATAAAAGATGGTACAAGATTTTCAGGCTAGATATTGCAGATTCTGAAAACCGGATTTTCTATTCACTTAGACCTAATTTGTGCAGTTTTCTTTGATGTATAATTATGAAGAAGAAGCTATTAAATCATTTCATAAAACCTTTTCGCCTTAGGAGCATTCGGAGGCTGATATTTCACTCCTTGCGAAAATTCGATGGAAAAAAGATGATACCATTGCCACCTTACCATGCCAAGCAGATTGCCGGTAGAGCAGGCCGGTTTGGTACTGATTTTCCAGAAGGATTTGCCACCACGTTTGTTTTCTATTATTTTCATTTTAAAATATTTTAATAATTAAGTAATCTGTTAAGTGATCTACAATCCTTTTTAAGGTTTATTGATGCTTTTTGCTTTGGATCAAGCTTCACTCAAATCGCGTAGAGAAGAAAATACCTTTATATTTTTGAAAAATTATTGTTTCAGTCCTATGTGACAAGAACCCTGAATTAATTTGAAATATATTTGGGACTTGATCTGTTATCATGTACTCTAGGAAGTCAACGGGTTAAGGTTGCGTCATTTAATGCGCTGTTTTCACCAAGAGAGACTTTGAAAATCACATTATAAGTTGTCTTTTAGCTACAGCCAACCTCTTATTAGCGGGCTTCGAGGCTGACCTCCTTTCAGGGAACACTTGTTTGATATAACTGTGACTATTGCTCGAAACTTGAATCATCTTGCCGCATTTTTTCCTTTAAAGCAATTTCATGGAAGTAAGCACGTGGTTACGTTTTTACTGTTTTATGATGCAGGCTTCATGCAAAAGATTTATTACCACTTCGTGAGATGCTAAATTTGCCCACTGATGATGTGGAGGTAAGGGCATGTCTCAATAAAAAACAGAATCATTAATTTTATTTTGTTTGCATAGAGCAAGTTACAATGGAATTTTAGCAATACTTTTTATGCTCTTACTGTTGACTTAGTTAAACTGGTCTTCTGAAAAATTCTCTAAGAATTCTTATAGGGTTTTTTATGCAGTTGCAGATATGCTGTTTTCTCTTATATGGATATTTTAAAGACATATTCATAATTTAATTAACTAACAATGTGTGATTGCATTTATTAAACATGTTGTCGTTTCTTGTGAAATTTATCAGCATGGTGGTTGTAAGGCTCTGAATTTATTTATATTTTAAAATACAATCGAATTCAAGTCAATTTATATTTCAAAATACAGACGAATTCAAGACAATTTATATTTCAAAATACAGACGAATTCAAGACAATCTATATTTCAAAATACAGACGAATTCAAGACAATCTATATTTGACAAAATAGACGAATTCAAGACAATCTATATTTAAAAAAAACATTCGAATTCAAGACAATTTATATTTCAAAATACAGACGAACTCAAGACGATTTATATTTCAAAATACAGATGGATTCAAGACAATTTATATTTCAAAATACAGACGAATTCAAGAAAATCTATATTTCAAAATACATTTTAATTCAAGACAATTTATATTTCAAAATACAGACGAATTCAAGACGATTCATATTTCAAAATACAGACGAATTCAAGACGATTTATATTTCAAAATACAGACGAATTCAAGACGATTTATATTTCAAAATACAGACGAATTCAAGACGATTTATATTGCAAAATACAGACGAATTCAAGACAATCTATATTTGACAAAACAGACGAACTCAAGACAATCTATATTCAAAAAAACATTTTAATTCAAGACAATTTATATTTCAAAAAACAGACGAGTTCAACACGATTTATATTTAAAAATACAGACGAATTCAAGACGATTTATATTTAAAAATACAGACGAATTCAAGACAATGTATATTTAAAAAAACATTCGAATTCAAGACAATTTATATTTCAAAATACATTTTAATTCAATACAATTTATATTTCAAAATATAGACGAATTCAAGACGATTTATATTTAAAAATACAGACGAATTCAAGAAGATTTATATTTCAAACTACAGACAAACTCAGGACAATTCTTAGTCAAATGTTAATATCTCTTCAACTATGTTCATGCTCTAAATTGTTTATTGTCAAGCCATTTGCCGTGTCTTTCTTCCAGAAAGCTGGATTGCGTCCAGGTTATGAGCAAATCGATCTACTTTCACACATCCTCCCAAAAGCATCTTTAACTGAACTACTGGTCTGTTGCATTTTCTATTTTCTACTTGTTCCTCTACTTCTAAACAAAATTGGATAATTGTTGAAATATATATAAGCATGTTTATTCAAATGCTGAACAATTTTAAGTTATACTTTTTGTGACGTCATACTTTCTGTAGAAATAATTTTAAAAAAACCTTTGATTACTAATTTTGCAGTTCTAGTTTAATACACACCACCATAATCTTAATCATGATCATAATCATCACCATAATTACTAGGGATATATTTAAGAACATTGAAGTCAATAAAAATATATTTGCTGCTCGCTTACACCACTATTCAATCTTTAGTCTTACTTCTTTACATGTTATTTGGCTGCTTTTGCATCAAAACTTTCATGTGTAGAGGAAAGCGATTTGCAAGGAACGGTTTCGAAAATCATGGATTGAATACTAAGTTGTCTTGAGTAATGTTTAATTATTAAACTTTGAAGCCTTTTCATAAGATTTCATTCAAAGTTATTGTTATGTCGGTATTTTCTAAACGATGAAAGTAATTTTAAGCAAAAAATGTATTATATATGTAAGAAGAATTCCTTTGTTAAAAAGATTGCAGCGTTGAGGAAAAAAATTATTTGATACTTCGATTGAATTAAGAGCATAATTGGTGATAGGTTTGTACTCTGCAGTTCACTTTGAACTGTTCTCAGCATTGAAGCTGAGTTTCCAGAACAATCATCTTTATTAGCAAAAACGGTGAATTTCGTCGGCAATATATCATATATTTTAATGAACTTCTTCTTCCTTCCAGACTGTCTTTGAGCAGTTTGCTAAACTTGATGGTCGTTACTTTTTATGTGATATTGAGCACACGAAGGTAAGATGATTGCCCCAAAAAGGCAATTATTAATGGCAATTTAGCTATATAATGCTGAAATCTATTGCTCTTAATTTGTAAGCCTAACCTTCATAAAGAAGATAGAATAAAGGACATATTTATTATTATAGGCCATTTATTGCTGCGCAATCTACTAGAGTTTAATCTCCATTTTTGTCCTATGATATCCATTTCAAGAATCAATGCAGATGTTTGGGGTGCTTCAAATGCTTGCATATTTAAGTTTATACTAAAGAAGAACCTTGAAATCAATGTTTTTTCCCATTCGGTACTTTTCGTACAGCTATCAAGAGCAAATTAGAAATTATTTTAGATATAACCTGCTATGTACGTTACATCAGTTCAAAACGTCAAGATCAAGTCTCGTTTTTTCCAATATATTCAAAGTGGCATCACGATCAAGACTCAACAGTCTGCTAATGCACAAAGTAACCCTTTTCTTGTTAATGGAATGTCCTCTTTTACTGCGATAAGAATATCAGGCTCCTATTCCGCTCACATACTTAAAGATGCTTGAATTTCTTATTAAAATGGGTCCGTGGAGAAACAAAACAAAACCTGAAGAAACCAAACAAACGAAACTATTGTACGAAGTACCCTTTTAGAAAGCGACAACTTCATTTAGTTTTGTTCTAAAATTTTCATCTGTTATTTCAGAGAAACTCTGAATTGAGACTTAATTCTTGTTTTAAAAATTTTGAAGTTTTGAAATTTATGTGGTATGTGATTTGTTTTTTTTTTAAATTTCAAGGTCGTCTGTTGGCTTTTATTTCTTTGTCAATTCTCGTTTGCAGATGTCCTGTTGCGTCTTTTATTTCTTTCTTTGTTTAAATAAGAGTTCTGAACAGAGACATAACTTTTACAGAGAATGGCTCAAGAAATCGAGCACATACCATTGACGTTGCAGCAGCAATACCATCTGGCATCAGCAGCCACGGACAGAACAAATAAATCTCCTTTCATAACCAGAGCAGTTATAAAGGTTTGTCTAATTATTTGTAGTTCATTGTCCAGACAAGGAAAGCTTTATTTACTTAATACCAGTACTTCGTTGGAATGATATATCATAAAGCAATGGACAATATTATACCGATATGATTATCAGTTTTATCGTTGTTCCTTAATCAAAATCATGTCAATTCTGAAAACTACAGTAGTTCAAAAAGGAAAGATCACACATTATTTTAGGTGTTGAAAGTAAATGAAGATTTATTTTTTGCATTTTAAGGTATTTTGAAACCTGTTCTCTTCAAATGTACAATTGTTATCACAATGCACATGGTTTAACTTTTTTCCCCAAATATTATCTCTCGGTAATTCTGGTTTTTAGATAGCTAGGCTGTTCAGTGAAGGCAAAGCGATTGGGCCTAATCAAATGAAAGAGATTCTTAGATGGCCCCTTAAAAGGCCACGTTCACCGGATGATCTTTTAGATCTTGAATCCATCCACGACGTGTTTGACCTGTATTTATGGATGAGGTAATTCTTTATTTTGGGATGTAAATATCATTTTCTTTCAGGCTTTATTCATTTCTGTCTTTTAAGCCGTTTCAAATTCTCCAGATGGCCTATCACGTGTTATATGCACGGATAATATTTCTGTCATTATTTCAAGAGGCGCATTAAGTTGTAGTTAGTTATGTTGCTTCACCGTAGTGCTAGAAATCTTTTTACTGCATTATGAGTTGACGTTTTTTTGTTTATTTAATATTCATTATAAAAGCGATCTTTTTGTAAAGTGAACATTCTCGCCTCGTTTAACTTAATATTGAAATGAAGTTCGAGCAATTTCCAGGCACAATTCTCTTTTTAAATTATGAATTAACAGCTGCGTTGCATTGTGACTTCTGCACACTGTACGTTATTTTTCAGTTACAAATACGAGGCTATTTTCATCGAAAGAGAGGATGTCAGAGAACTCCAAGTTGAGGTTGAATTACTTATTGAAATGGGACTTGATAGGCATCCTCGTAAACAAAGCAAACAAAGCTGGAGAACGAAGCAGAATCCTTTTAGGTAGCGAAAAGTTCACTTAGTTTTATTCAAATTCCGAGTCATCTGTAAATTTCAAAGAAATTCTGAATGGAAATTTTATTCTAGAGTTGAAAGTATAAAATTTTTAACATTTTATATGATAGTGTGAAATTTCGAGAAATTCTATTGTCTTTTATTTCATTTTGAATTCTCATTTGCTGGAGTCTCGTTGCGAACACTGTTGCTGTAGGTTTGATTCTACAACTTCGTTTTATTATTGGTCAGCATTTATGTCATTATTTTCTATTTGAAATATCCACATCATGTAATTTTTTATTCCTATTGGTTCCAAGAAGATTTTAAAATTCCAACTTCTCTAGTGTTTTTTATTGGTCTATTGGACGACTTATCATCATAACATTGAACTTTGGAGAAAACGGACGTTAAAACAGAATTAAAAGAGCTTGCTTGTATATTAACTCTTGAAAGCGTAAGCGTAGTTGACACAGGGATCCTATCTGGCAAAATTTATCGCAATTCCGGCTCAATTCAGGCACTTTCATCTCAATGAAGCAATACTATGCGGGCACGATCAATGCTAAGCCCCCTTATAATCCGCTACGCCAATGCATAAAAAGTCATCATTGACTGTCTTGTTTGTATGAGTTTTATCTGATATTAATTCTAAATATTGATTTTATATTTTTGCATCAAAGAGAAAAGTCATTTTCATGGCCGATTTGGTATAAAGTTTCACTAGAATACCCACAAAACCCCGGGAAGCCCCTTTGGGCACCTGGTTGACGAGCCGTGGACAAGCCCCAGAGTTCTACTCTGATCGTAAAATCTAAAATCTTCATTGATTCTTCTAACTGCAATATTTGCAACTAGCTCATAAGCTAGGAAATAAAATACATGGTTATATAAACAGCTCAAAATACAGTGCATATAGAAAAATTTTAAATTAGGGTTTTTAACCAAATTGATTTTTGTTGTATTTTCTCGGATCTCAGCAGGCTTTCTAGTAAATTGCTGAATTTTTGTGTTTGACTTGATGCACCTAAGTATTATTTTGCATAATGTTGAAGCCCCTAACCTTATTATTAATGAAGCAGCCTGTTGCGTAATCTAGCTTGCAAGAACACTTGTTAGCATATCATGAACACTTCTTGTGGTATCCTATGTTTAGTATGTATAATAATTGTCTGATGGCTAGCAGAAAAGGCGATTTCTTTGAATTTCAAAACACCCTGTCTGCTTTTCTATGGTAAGGTTTCTGATATCAAGCAGCTCTGAAAACGCTCATTTACAATACCGCATTAGAAAATTTGGGTTGATTATTGCTTTTTCTAAATTTCCACAAAAATTAATACATCATACCTAACCGTGCGCATACTTTCCTGTTTGCTGCAGAGTAAAAAATTGGCACGTTAGATGTGATCGGAGAATAAGAAATGTGCTTTTGGCACGTGGCGTTCCAACGGATCCGTTAGATTTGTTTTCCTGTCTAACCTATAATAATCGAAATCAATAAATTTCCAACGTGGAAATCAATAACTATTTTTCTTTTTCTTAGCATGCGGTGTAGGGCTCTGGACTGTTAATGAATTTTTATTAAAAGACAGTAGTTTTTAGAAGTAGTTTTGGTCCCATGCACTTTATTTGTCTTATTGCACTTTATAAGTATTTCATATCTAGGGTTTGAAATGGGTTTAAAAAGTCTTTGAGTCTTGATTATTTTTTCTTATTTTCATACCTGAAAATTATGTTACGTAAACTCTACATGTTACAATAGGAGTAAAGATCGTCTTTAGAGATTAAATTTTTAAAAGGGGAGAGCTTTTGTAGAAAAGGAGAACAAAATAAAGCTAAATTTACAGGTCCCTTCCTGGACATTGGTTTTTACTCAACACATAAACCTCTTTTCCAATGATTCCTTGACAAATAAGTAATTTTCTCAAAGATATGATTGCCTCAAAATTCACTCGAAAAATTGTCATTATAACAAACGGAGCTAAAATGCAATGTTGTTAGAAATATGACGCCGTTTGAAGTAATTCAATATTAGTCAATTTATTATATATACATTTAGTGAATTTTATGCAATTCTAAAGATATCTCCAATTGAACTTTGGTTAAATATTCTGGGACAGTTTTTCCATTGTCACATTCTTCTTTAAGTCAAGATTTTCTCGAATTTTCTGCCAATTTTATTGCGTCACTATGCCTCGTTTCGGTGAAACTGTCTCGCAGTGAACTAGTTCTCTAGTTTCATCAGCATGATTCTTTTAGCGATTTGAGAAAACGTGGAGGGGTGAAGACACCGCATTCAGTGAGAAAACAAGTTTTAACTCACAACCAGAGTTTCCAAAAAGCTCGTAAAAATGATTAGGGGCTTGCTCAACTCAAGTAGACTTGCATCTGCTGTTGCAAAAAGTAGTTTCTCTGGTAGTGTAGCAAAACACGTGAGTAAAATATATTTTTTAGTGGGATGGCCTACCTGGAATAATTATATATTAGTCAATTTTTCTGTTGTTATTGCTATAACTGTATGATTGAGGTTTCGATAGATATGATTCTGTGTTTGTAGGCGAGCTGGCCTTGACCAGTTTCCAAGCATTACCACATTCATGATCCGGTAAGATATTCCTCCGTCACCCCAAACCTGTCCCTTTATTACATAATACACTGTTATACCATAGGTCCACTCACTCCTGTCAAATGTAAACAGAGACTATTCAATGCAGTTTTTTTGTTAGTCTCTAAGGCCAATTTTCAGTACGATAAATGCCCGAAAAAAAATTTTATGTTATGTTATGCAACACTAAGCAAGAATTTCAGCTTGTGATGTGACCACCAGAATTTTGGTGTAAAAATGTTGTTCATGAAAATAATCAAGCGTTCTTGAATAGTCTGCATAGTGTGGCATGTATATACACAAGATTTCACATAATTTGTGTACACTTACACATATTTTCAATTGCTCTTGCACACAGAACTGACATGCCCTGCAGACAGGGTTCTACAAGCTAAGAGCTTGGCAGTTCTCAATTTAGGCACATGTTCATTATTTACATGGCACGCACAAAGAATTTGTTTTAGTAGCATTATAGTAAGTTTGGTGTGCAATAGAACATCTGGGAGTTCATGACTCCATGTTAGAATTATATTGTTCTATAGCAAGTACCAATCCCTCAGGTGAGCAACAAACACCAGTACTGTCATTGTCATTGTTGATAGAGGCCACTCTTTTTTGGCCATGAAACTTTATATATATAATAGAGAAAAATACTTTAAGAATGAAAATCTGAATTTTGTTGATTTCCACCTTGTTTGAGTGCCATTTTATTTGTTGCGGTTTTTGCCCCCCTTGTGATCTCTGAGATGGCCTACCTCAAATATTGGCATGCAGCACTATGCTGATCTCACACATGCATCTGCCACACTCTGCAGACTGATTGCAATATACACTTATATAATTATTATTGCTAGCTTGCATTCCATCTACTTGTGCTGGAGATTTTTAGCATGGAGTATACCCATGTTCCCACTTTTTTGTCAGTATAGCTTGTCAGCAATAGTTCCACAGTTTATTTGTTGCTCATATTGTTTATTAATAGACATCAGCTTTCTTTCCATATGTATACACATAGGCATTTGGTATTATAATTTATGGTAATCAGCAAAATCAACAATAATGTTCTCGTTCTAATAATGACTACCAATCAATGTATATTGAACAAAGCTATGGATTTTCTTCTAATGTATATTCATTCATTGGTTATCTTTTCTTGGAGTGAGTGCTAATGCAGGGCTTTTTGTATGCAGAGACCTGATATTGCTTATGTTTGTCCATTTGTAGTTTTTCATAGTTTTTGGTAGATAATGGTTCTTTAACTGTAAAGATTTTCTTGTTTTCACGTTAGAGGAAAACAGGACTTAATTGCTTTGTATGGGTAATTATCAAATTAGGCCTTATCTGGCTGGAACAGCATTGATTTTGACACTCCTTGTTTGGATGCAATGCACCCTGACAGCACCAAGAGCCTTTGAATGGGATTTACCCTAGTGAAATCACTGTAAATCGTTCCCTTTCTATATATACAATTTGTTTGTTGTTTTGCTCTATTGCCTCAAACTAAATGTACCTTATGATGAGAATTTTTAGCACAGATTTTTTCAGATAATGGGATTTTTTCTTTGAATTATATATGTATGCTTGTGTGACATTTAGGGTATGTTGAAGTGAATTGAAAATTAAACGATTATCTATCTTTTTTAGGGATGCCTATGTCAGAATGTCTCAAGTTACTTGTACAGAACATATGCGTAAGTATTGTATTGATGAATTTTGTTTTGGGTTTTATGGTGCTTGATGCGATATAGACAGACCAGTGCACAGTTTTATATATATAATACTATACAATGTAGTCATCAAGAAGCCTGATAGACCATCTAGGCTACCACCATCATGACATAACATAACATAACATAACATAACATAACATAACATAACATAACATAACATAACATAACATAACATAACATAACATAACATAACATAGTCCTTTCTATAGGGAACCTTTTTCATGCCTTCAGCACACATATTACATGGGTAAAAACATTGTGTCATAAAACTATAATGAGCTTATAATGAAGAACACTCTAAAAAGAAAAGTAAAAGTCCTTAACAAATCTATGCTACACCATTAATGTACCTAGTCAGAAAAATATCTGAACGTTACAGCAGTTCCACATCCCCAGTTTCATGCATGTTTTGATTAACAACATGCCAAGAACCAAGATCTATGTTGTAGAAATATATAAGTGTATATGTAGAGGAAATCAGGCTGAGTTGTAATTTAAGTCATTAGTTGTGATTGTTTTCCTCTCATTATGCTCTTCTTTCTGTCATCTCATTTTGCTATCTGATTCTTTTGCAGGTCTGAAGCAGTCAGGGGAAATGTTATTGGAATTGATCTTGGAACAACAAACTCTTGTGTAGCTGTAATGGAAGGGAAAACCCCAAAAGTTATAGAAAATGCAGAGGGTGCAAGGACCACACCCTCAGTTATAGCCTTTAGTAATGATGGGGAGAGATTAGTCGGTGCCCCTGCTAAGCGTCAAGTAAGTTCAGTCTTTTTCATTATCTTCATATAAGTTATTCAATTATAGATCTTAAATACAAGCATTTAAGTAATGAGGATATTATTCTAATAATAACTTTGTAGATTTAATAGATTTTGAATATATCAAATGTGCTTTATTATTTATTAGAAGGCAAAGGTTCCAACAACTTACATGTATTTTTCCTGATGATCAAAATTTGAAAGTTCCAAACATCTTTTTACTGAAAGTTCTTGCAAAGCAGTTTCATCAAAAGCACTGAACTGAGTTTTCCCTCCTGTTATTCAAATGCTTGATTAATGTTGTGTTTAATACTAAATTCTGTATTTTAGGCAGTAACCAACTCAGCTAATACACTTTATGCTACAAAGAGATATATTGGAAGGAGGTTTGATGATAAAGAGGTTCAAGCTGACTTGTAAGTGCTCAGTTGTTTTTGGAAGATCCATATGATTATCTGCAACCAAGTTGTTACATATATTTTATGTATATGTACCAGGCATTATATGTTCCTATTACCTGTACTTAAGACTTCCCACCCATAATGGTGTCTGCTTGCATGAGGATGTACAAATACTTTTAGAAAAATTTAGGTCTGTGCTGCCAAAGGGTCAAGTTCAAAAGGAAACCATAATAAAGCTTGATAATAATTTTTTGCAGCATTGACATTCATTTTAATCTAAAGTTTTCTGTTAAGCAAAGGGGCCAAACAACACTTTCTAAACTAAAAAGTCATGATAAGTCAGAAGAAAAAACAGTGATAAAGAAATACAAACCTTCAAATCACCAGTTTTACCAATTTTTGTCAACAACTACAAGATATATTGTAATGTCTGCATAGAAAAGCAGACCATGAGTGTATCCAGTTCAGCTTTAATGCTGCTAGTGCCAAATGCCAACCTATTATAAAAGGCTGGAGTAACGTGGACATTAGGGATCATTTTGAATATCAATAGATAGTTGATGTGAACATTTTACTGCTTCATTTGAATACCATTAACTAATGTGTTAGGAGCAGCATAGACTTGACCTTTGAATCCTTTGTTTATACACTTAGTAAGCAAAAGTATTGCACAAGCTGAAACAGAAATGGCCACTCCGCAGCAAAAAGTTGTAGCGAAACAAAATTCAAGTGGCCATAGCAAGTTTAATGAAAGTTATAAGATGACTGTTTAACTGGAATATGTTGGAAAATTCATCAAGGGTTGATGATGCAAGAATATTCTTGATTTTTGCCTATTTCTAAACATTATCAACAAGTCGCAAAAATGCAAAAATTGAGCCATGATAATTGAAGTACCTGTGAAACATTTGCAATAAAAAAGCTCATCTTTACACCAATTTGCAATATCTTATTACAATAAACTCAGGGGTACTTACTTTATGCTTGGGTGTCTAGAACTGCTCATTTTCCTCACTTTTGTTGGAAAATTTGATTAGATTTAACCATAAAAAGACGCCTAATGGCTTCATATAAGCGGTTTGAATTTCGATCACTTTGCTGTTGACAACGCTGTGGCCATTACTGAATTATCAAACCTGTACAATACTTTTGCTCACTAAGTGTATAGTTTAGGTTTTCAATAATGAGAAGCTTGCAGTAAGTGGAATTGCACTCTTTGCATGTTTGTGTGAGATTCAATGCATCACTACAGTAAAATAGGTATTCAAATTTATGACCTATGCAAAGAAATGATTTTACAACTAGAAAACTTCAAAGAACCTTATAATACTCCCTTTTGAAATAAGTAAACCGTTTTCAAGATTTAATTATCATTTCTGTATAAATATGGTCTTTGTTAAGTTAAGAATGATAAGGAACTTCAATCAGTCTGCCTGGCTTTCGTCACAGAAGAGTAATTTGTAAATTTATAAATTAGTAGCTTATCAGTGAGAAAACTAAATCATAAGATATCTTTGTTTGTATATAGATGCTGATTATTTTTCTTTTGTATCAAGAGCAAAAGCTTGATGCATTTTTTATATTTGTTCTTCTCAGGAAAAATATGGCATTTAAAATTGTAAAGGCTTCCAACGGAGATGCCTGGTTTGAAGCTCAAGGAAAAGTGTATTCTCCAAGCCAAATTGGTGCATTTGTCCTGGTGAAGATGAAGGAAACAGCAGGTACATATGTTATCTGTGCACTACTTTGATGTATTATCCAATGTATTTTTCATGATTAGTTCCTGCTGTTTTGTAAACTGACAAGGACAAAATTGTAAGTTCTGTGGTTGTCAAAAATTCTTCATTATTTTTGTCTTCAATATATGGATTAACAAAGTTTTGTTTTTTTCAATAGAAAGCTACCTTGGGTCAAGTGTAAAAAATGCAGTCATTACAGTTCCAGCATACTTCAATGACTCTCAAAGACAGGTACATTTCTGATTTTGTTAACTTTTGCCATTTTAGTCTGGCTTGCACCAGTACTCTTATGTTATTTCAAAGGTATCATTCGGTAGTGAATTGGTTTTGCTGCCAGTATGAACACCTGATATTTTGAGTCCTAAATTTGATCACTGAACAGAAGAAGCCATAAACTAGCATATTGTCACCCCAGCTCACCAAGGCTCAAGTAAATTATTTAATAGTAAATATTGTGGCAATATTGTTTTCTGATTTATCAGCCTGAGCTTCTTAAAGGAAGTTGGAAAACAGATTTTTGCAAAATTTAAAATGATGAAGCAAGTGCTTCAGTGGTTTTGGATAGTAATGTTTCTACAACCCAAGGGTGAAATAGAATGGCCTGAAATTAGATAAAGAAAATGAAAGCAAAAAGTACTGCAACAAGCGATTCTTAAGCAAAAATTGACAACATATGAACTATTTTATGTGCTGGTATTATTTGAAAGTAAATCCTTGGTCAGCCTGCTGAAATTTTATCAAAGACCGTTTTTTATTTTGAGTTTGATTGTTTAGTTATTTTAATTCTGGTTTGAATTTCAATCAGATTGAACATCAGTCAGTTTTTCCTGTACTTTCATCACAAGCATACATAGGCCCTACACAACTGCCTGCCATAGCTTTAAATGCCACTTTGTGCCTATTTGGCTGGGCAATGAAGAATGAAACTTTTCCTTTAGGCAACTAAAGATGCAGGTCAGATTTCTGGTTTGAACGTTCTGCGTGTGATTAATGAGCCAACGGCTGCAGCCCTTGCTTTTGGCATGGAAAGAAGTGATGACAAAATGTAAGTCACATTTACCCAAATAATGTATAAGTAACTTGGTGCATTGCAAAGTGGAATAATCTGTGTTGAGCAAATAGTGCTATATTGTTCCACAGCTTTGAATTTATGTTTAGTTTTCTGTTTTGCGTCAGCGTTTGGGTCAGCTTCACAAATCGGACCTTTGTTGCGCTTCTGACATCTTAATTCGTCTGAATATTACACCAAATGATTTAAAAATCTTTAAAATGCCATTACTTTTTCCCTTAAATATAATTTCTCTTCCTACAACAACAGTATTGCAGTTTATGATCTTGGAGGCGGGACTTTTGATATCTCAGTCTTGGAGATCCAAAAGGGAGTTTTCGAGGTAAGACTTAATTATTTTGTAGTTGATTGATTCGTATCTTGTGGATATGAATTTTTGATCTAGGAATCTCCCTCGAGTTTTTGTGTACTTTAGGCTGAGCAGTGATATTCATATTCGTCAACGGTATCAACCAATTTATGTTCATAGATAGTTTTATTGTGTTCATATTGTAGGTCAAATCAACGAATGGCGATACATATCTAGGAGGCGAAGATTTTGACAATGCTCTCCTTAAACACTTGGTGGCTGAATTCAAGAAGGATGTAAGTCAAACTTCTGTATTTTTGGTATTCTGTTTGTTTTGTACTTTAAACCGTATTTGTGTCGTCAGATCCTGACATGTCGGATGATGATTGAATGGATGATCTATTTGTTTTGAATACTGACATAGTTTTGACATCGTACTTGATGTTTTACTTGCAAGCTCAAAGATTGCATAGATGAAGAGAATTACGTAGCTGCTTTATTTTTCAGACTGGAATCGACATAACTAAGGACAACATGGCCCTGCAGAGGTTGAGGGAAGCGGCCGAGAAAGCAAAATGCGAATTGTCATCTTCACTTCAGGTTTGCAGTTGCTTTCATTGTACCAAAGTTCTTAGGACCTCTCTGAATGCTTGCCTGCATTGTAGATTAATTGCACTGTAATTCTAGATAACACTCTGGAAATCAACTCTGAAACATAGAACCAGTCCTTGGATAGTTGACTTTCTAATTTTGTAACAAGGACTATTTCTGTATAAATACCAAAATTTTGAAATAAGGCTCAATCTACGTTCTACCATCCCAGCCTATTCTTTTGTTTCTCAAATATTGACTCAACGATAATGATTCAAATTCGAGTATTAACCATTTAACAAATCTACCGAATTTAGAAAGGAAACAAATTAACGTGAATTTGCGCATTCAAATAGAATTTTCAATAATTTGGTAAATAGTTAGTCCTGAGAGAGAATAATTCCTAAGAGAGAATAATTCCTTTAGATTAATGGGCTGGTTATCAGGTTAGTAAATAGTAGAATTTTTCAGGAGGACTCTCAAAGCAGGTTAACTCAAGAATTGGTTTTAGTAGTTTGCTCTGTTGTCCTGAGAATTGACTTTAGTGGTCCGTAAAAAATATATTTTTGGGATATATGTTAGCCCTTAAAGTAGAAAATCAAACAAGTCTTTCCTGTAGTTTTAGAGAACAACATAACTCCAAGCAATAATGTATTTACTGAGTTGTTTATATGCCTGTTGATCAACTTTTAGAATGTTTCAATCTTGGCAGTAGTTAACTCTCAATAGAGCTGGCTTTTTAACTTATATTAACCGAACATTTCTCTGTCTAGACTGACATCAACTTGCCGTACCTAACAATGGATGCAAGTGGCCCAAAACACATGAATCTGAAGCTCAGCAGAGCGAAGTTTGAAAGTCTTGTAGCTAACTTGGTTGAAAGAACAATACAGCCTTGTAAAAAGGCTGTGCAAGACGCCGGCATAAAGAATTCAGAAATCGGAGATGTGTTGCTTGTTGGTGGCATGACTCGTATGCCAAAGGTGAGTCGTTTTGTGGAGCCTGGTTATTCACCCTGTCTTTTTTGCTTTCTGTTTACTAGATTACTGAAGTATTTCTTAATGACTCTTGCAACTGTTTTGTCCCAAGAAAATTGGCAGCGCAAAGTATAACGCACCAGAGTATATGCAAGACTTATCTTCAAGATAGTTAGAAAGCAACGCTCTTTCAATTTGTTAAACTAATTTTGTTAAACTACTTTCAATTTGTTCAATTTGCCATGGCAATTTTTTGCAAAACGTTTGATTCAGCCATGCCATATAGATGAAGATTGGTGGCATTTTTGTCTTTGGTGTTTTTTCGTTGAGATTTTACGTTCTTATTAAGGTTCAAGACACAGTGAAAGAAATATTTGGTCGTGTTCCAAGCAAAGCTGTGAACCCCGACGAGGCTGTCGCTATGGGAGCCGCTATTCAGGGAGGTGTTCTTGCAGGAGAAGTCAAGGACATTCTTCTTTTGGATGTGACGCCTCTGTCTCTTGGAATCGAGACCCTTGGAGGAGTTATGACAAAACTTATTCAGAGAAACACAACTATCCCTACCAAGAAAAGCCAGGTAATTCGAATTTTTGATGTGTTGATCATTTTCAAGTGATGTAGAGATTGTTGGTTTTAATTTGTGTTTAAAACGTCTTATGTTTAAAGCAACAGCTTCTTAGCAGTACTTCCATTATAATTTTAGATTCATCGCATACCATACTAAGGTAGACTTTTATGTCTACTTAAAACTGTACTGACAGTAATTTTTTTGAATTTTTTTCAACGTTTTGTGAAGGTATTCTCGACTGCGGCTGACGGTCAGACTCAAGTGGAAATCAAAGTGTTCCAAGGCGAGCGTGAAATGGCATCGTACAACAAACTTCTTGGTCAGTTTACGCTGGTAAGTGAAACTGTTTGCAAGATTATATGATTATTGTGTTACTGCAGAGGAAAGCTTATTTGATAATAGCCATTTTTATTCTTGTTTAGTCATATGCTAATTTTGAATTGACGTCAAATATATTTTGCCTGTTCAAAAGCATAAGTCAATATATTTTGACTTTTGTTTCTTTCCTTTGCTTACGTTTGGTTTTACTTTAACAGGTTGGCATCCCACCTGCCCCACGTGGGGTACCCCAGGTTGAGGTCACATTCGACATCGATGCTAATGGAATCATGAACATCTCAGCACGAGACAAGGGAACTGGCAAGGAGCAGCAGAGTAAGTAGCAGTTCAAGTGTTTCTTAGTTCAGTAGGTAGCGTATCATTGCAATCTGAAAGTACTCTTTGCCCGAATGAAAAAGCATTTGAAAGGAACGGTATTTGGTATCCAAGTGTGTATTGTGCATATGTATTCTGACTTTTGTAATTTTCAGCGTTGCTTAAGTTGTTAAACCACTGCAGCTCAACAAATCTTGAGAAAGAGGAAATCTGCTTAATTTTATAGAGATGTTGACTGCATGCATACCTGGCTGACCAATGCTACAATTTTAGTATAATGATACAATATTCAATTCTATTGCAGTCGTTATTCAGTCGTCAGGTGGACTTAGCAAAGACGACATCGAAAATATGGTTAAGGAAGCAGAGAAATATGCAGAAGAGGACAGACAAAGAAAGGTCAGTTTGCAATGTTATTGTTTTGAAGACAATTCGCTAAGAAGATGTTTGGTGAATAGAGAGTTGAACTTGCTCATCTTTTTCTGGGCCAGTAACCAATAGTTGATTTCATATCTTGGCTCAAATTCATTACTAACTGTTATGCTTCTAAAAAACAGGATATGGTCGAAATTGTAAATCAAGCCGAAGGCGCCATTCACGATATTGAAACAAAAATTGAAGAATACAAAGATCAACTTCCATCGGAAGAGGTAAGATACTGTGTTCTAATTTCTTCACTTTGTAGTTATTTTTATCTTGAGCGAACCGCTTGATGTGGTCATGGGTGTGGGAGCAGAAAATCCCTTACGACACTAGAGAATTATACCTATCAATTAAATTGGTATTATGCTAATGTAGTACTGTTAAAGAAAGTTATCTCGACATCAGATTTCTAAAAAAACCTTATTCTAGGTTGATGCCCTGAGGACTGAAATCGCAAACGTGAGGGAAAAGGTAGCAAATAAAGATAACGAGACGGTTGATGACATCCGCGAAGCTTACCAAGCGCTCCAACAGAAATCATTGAAATTGTTCGAGATGGCCTACAAAAAGGTAAGACTCTATTCACTGCTTCTACTTTGGCATTCACCATACCTTTCTTCTAATCGGCGAAGTATTTTGTAGGCCTTTTTTGTAAACTGGAAAATTTTTAATGTCAGTGTTGCAGGAAATTTGACCTTAGGGTAAAGTTTTTGATGTTTTTTCGTTGATTGTAGATAGATTGTAAGAATATAATAAAGAGCAAAGTCGTTATAAGATTGAAACATGTGTTCTCCCAATTACCAACTACGTTTTATTTCAGATGGCTGCTGATCGAGAAAGTGGGAGCAGTCAAAGTTCGAGTGATTCAGAAAAGAAAGATGAGCATTAAGATGCCTAATGTTTTGTGGCGAGGCAAATAAACAGAGCTGGCAGGACATCATAACGCGTTTGACAAAGGACAGATATAGGGCGTAGTTTTGTGTGATTCGACTAGACTTATAATGTCAAGATGTTTAAATGTCATATTTAAAGAATTAAAGCCCTGTAAGGGGAAATGACTGTTACTTGTAACTAATCGCCGTTGTCTATGTTTAACTGAATGGTTTCGGTATAAAAAAAACAAGAAGGAAGTCTTCAGTGGTCACCACTTCCATATTTGCATCATCTGCACATCCCCGGTACACATCCCCGGTAACCAAACAGGAATGTCATACTGTCATTGTCCTTGTTCGAACAAAATTATTCCATTTCGAACAATTATTCTTGCCAAAGGCCAACTTTTGGTTATTCCCTGAATTTCGCTTGTTTTATAGCTTGCAATATTCTAACGCGTATGCCTCAAATACCTCAAATACCCCAAATGACATTGTTTTTATAGTGTTACCTTGAGCTTCTTTAAGAGTTAATACTTTCGTTGTGCCGCGGTTCTGTTCGATATGCTGTGTGTTTACGTCTGTTATGTTTTGTCAATTTGCTGCAAAAGACAGTCGTGTATTAATGTAATCTAAGTGGAAAATGTTTGATCAATCGTATTACGGACATTGTGTTATCTTTTAAGTGATTTTACTCCCTGCGCATTTTTGTGAACGTGTTTATTTCCTTTTACATATTATCTTGTGGCAGCAGCATTTTCACCCACAGACAGGTACATGCTGATTTTATGAACTCGGGTATTTTAGGTGTCTGTTAGTTTGTATTGAGTTAAATAAATTGCGATTATATCACTCTATGAAATGAATTGAAATCATCTCCATAAAAATATACCATCACTGGCGGCAGTCAGTTCTACCATATTTAGTACTGTTAAACAGTACGTGTTGGTATTGACTCGAAACTAGGTACGCCTATTTCATTTGAAATAGATGTTGAGAAGAGTAAAAGGTATAGGACAATGACCAACTAAGTTTCGTTTGGAATTCTTTTTCAAGGCACATTCAGAAAATACAGTGCACCAATTCAATTTAGTTCAGTTCAACAAACAATGTCGAACTGCGTAGGTGGAATAGAAATTTTTTTATTGTAACTAGCCACATTTCATTGATACGCCCCTCTATTAAGGGTGGAAGGTTAAAACGTCATATTCAGTGCCATTTACTGTCATTTACTGTCATTTACTTCAAATTTTCAAATAGTCAATGCTTAATGCGTTTGTTGAGTTATTCATTATCTATTGTTTTCAACCCATGTCGGAACCCATGTGCATTCGATGTTCGGTGACATAAATAAATAACTTCACTGGCTTTTTCATAAGGAGCATTTTCATGCTTTTACTTGCAGATTATGTTGACGGAATGTGTCAAGCACTGATGTTAAGCAAGAACAGTGTTAAGACATGTTCTTTGAAAAAATGATAAAATCATCAAAATAAGCAATACACATCTCATAGCGCAGACACTGGACAAAACTCAGCAATGTTTTCCCATATCTATAACTCAATAGGTTCATCCGAATGATTCATATATTTAACTGGCACTAACTGACAATTTGCCTGACTAACAGTTTTTTTCTGAAAGTTTTTGAAATCAAGCCTCCTAGGAAGGCTAAAAAGGTACCTCCCAGACTAAAATTTAACAGTATACCTATGCCGCTCAGAATTAATTCGACGTTTCTCAGAAAAACATTGATTATTGATTTTTAGACAAGTTTGGGAAGGGAGGAGTCATGCTAAAACTCTACTGACAGACGTTGGGGAGAGACAGAAAATATGACCTTTTGTTCAGAGTGCACATCGGTGTTGTATTGAAAACGGCCAAAAATCTTCAACTAACTCCAATTTTCAAGCAAAAAAAGTCCAATTTGGTGCCAATATCACACTCAACTTGTGGTTACGTAGCTGTTGCATATTTGCAAAAGAGTATTTTACTAACTTACTCCGTTTGAAAAAATTGCAGATATATCTCGTATATTAACTTGAGTTGTTGGCTGAATTTTTGGAATCATTGACTTCAAGGATATTTTTTGGTTGCTTGTTGAACATTGCTTCAACAAATCAGATTTTCACAACATGGCATAGCGAATTGAAGCAACCGTATGAGATTTGCAGGGTATAATTGCCTCTATGCAAGCAGCCTTAGATGGTAACGCCTTAGATGGCATCTCCGGCTTATTTCAGTAGGCCATGTTTACACGAGGTTGTGTCCGCATCAACACACGAAGATATATCCGAGTGGATTGGTAAATTTAACAGGCTGGCCGGATTTTATAATTGATCAAATTAAAAAAACACGGTGCCTTACTATTTTTATTAAACGGCCCTGCTTTGGCCGGTCTAAGTGGTTCATGAAGAGAATGTGCAGCAGGACTTTTGGAATCCTCACTTTGTTACGCTTTAGTTTCAAACCTTACCAGAATTTGACAATTTATCAGAGGCACTAACAACATGGTTTGACACAAAATCTGCAGTGTTCAGACACGAACGATGTGCAAGAAAGCAGCTCGAAAACGAGCCCCTTGCTTTTTAAGGCGCGGATCCAGTTGAAAATCTAAAAGGAGGAAAAATAGGGGTCCGGGGTGTTACCCCGGGAAACTTTTGTTTAACGTCGTTAATCCACAATCTATTATTTATTCTTAGTATAATTTACTGAAATTCATAGCTATTTTCTTATTACAATAAATAGCTGCATTTCTGAAATATTCTGAAATGCATTTCAAGCTAATCTAGAGGGCGCCATCGCAAAAAATTTAGAGGGAACTTATTTCGCCTTTGCCCAAGGGCCTCCAAAACCTCTCGGCGGTCTTTTACAGAAAGGGGGGAAGGAACCTTGATGGAAGGAGCCACTGATCTGTAATTAATAATTTTAGATCATTTTTTAGATCATTTTAGATCACATGGCAGGAGCCACTGCTCATAATTTTTAGATTAGTAAGAGCCGGTAAATTGAATTGAAATTGTGAATTGTTGTTGTTGGATTGCCTCGTTATAGTAGATTTTGTTGCTATGAGAAGTGAAAATCGAGCGTAGTTGCTAAGGACCTACAAGGACAAAGATGGCGACCATGCCATATTAAAATCAGGCCTACTGCTAAACATCGCCCGAAAGTTCAATTCAAACATGGACGAAACAATAAAAAATCTACTTTCTCAAGCTGCTAGTGGAAATGGAAATGAAGAAAAGCTATTTGATGCATACGCAAAGCTAAAAAGAAGTCAGGAGTCCACCGATCAACCAAATGCCTTTGGTGCTGAAATTTTTGTTGTTTGTGCAGAGGCAGCGCTGCAGGTAAATCACTGAAAATGTCTAATAATTTGATGTTTTAGAGCTAGCACTATTGATATTATTCAAGTTAAGCTCGAAAGATTTAGCTGTCTTAACTTATTTGAATGGAACTTTTGCTCTACAAAACACACCAAACCAAACAACTTCATTTTTGAGTCATGGCTATTACTCTCAGTATGGAAGCAACACTTCTGTTCTATCAAGTTACGGTTTTTTACAATGAAGTGCGAATAAACATCAGGAATGGTTTAATTCAGCAGTGCATCTGCATCTGATTTAAGCTAGCTCTGTTTCACTATCCATTACATGAAAAGTCCAATCAAATGCAACGCAAGGATTATTTCAAACAAAAATTGTGTTGTATTTTGGTAGCTGAAAATTGCTTACATAATTGCTAGGTACTGCAAAAAGCAAACATTTTACAACCTACTGAAGCTTTTCATCTGACACTTTTTAGAATATAAGAATCAAAATTAAAGTTGAAAATACCAGAATTGAAAATACACTTACGCTCAAAAAGTATTGGGACGAATTCGATAAACGAATTATGGCGTTCCGTTGGATTCGGTTTTGCAACGGAAACTTTTTCAGATTTAGGCAGTCTTTCTACAAATAATCTAGGCCCAAGTTTCCCCAAAATGGAATAAAAAGTTAACAAAATGCTTCAACTTATGAAGAATAACCAAGAAAACACAGGATTCTTTCGATTTTCCTGATTATAACAGCAAAATATGCAGAAGGGCTGAATGGCCTAACAATGGCAAAGTCACATGACCTTCCAAAAATTTTAGAGCTGTCCAAACAAATACAACTTTTTAATTTCACGTTTGCATAATAAAAGAAATTATTAAAGAAATTATAAAATCAAACTTTTAAGCTTCAAAAAAAGTTTACTTCATCGACGAAAATGCTACAAATTTATTAAATTATTGCATTTATTCAAGCTACTTTTAAAATTGCGTAACATTCAAGGAGAAGCCATTGAACTCATTGTCGATGATTAATTTTAACTTTGAGAGAGCATTTGTTTTTCTTATAACGCTGGAGAATTTGTATTTTTCATAACTTTATAGCCATGTTTTTGCTTATGTTCCATTATTTAGCTTCTTTTTACATGACAACACGATGTCTGGTAAGGATTCAAACCTATTACTTCGCAGTTCCCTCAGTAAAGAACTGTCGTCCCTTGGCGTCGTAAACTTCTTTGGTCTGCAAACCCTTGGTAAATTTTTTTCTGTTCTTGCACGGAAAAACTTTTTACACACCAGAAAAGCTGCACTCATTGAGCAGCCGAGAATTGATGCAATATCGCAAAATCCATTTACTTTATTATAGTAGAAAGCACTTTGTAAGCGCTTCTCTTAACTCAGTTCTTGAGTTTTCAGAGCTTCCATGTTTTCGTCTCGAGACCTATAGAAATTTTATGGTAGATGAATTTTTAATTTTTTGGCGTACATAAAAGGCTTCAAAATATCAACAATGTCTTGTGAAAATTTCATGGAAATAACTGCCGTACTTTTTTAATGAGAAAGATTTTAAAAAAGTCTTTCCGAATTTGTTGCATAAAATGTCTTCGAAGTTTCGAAGGGTGTCCCAATACTTTTTGAACGTAAGTGTATATCAAAATAGGCCAATCAGAAAAACAAAAGCACATGACAAGCAAAGGTCTTAAGGGGCAACTTGTTTTTCTAGAAAACAGCCTCCTCAAGCTTTTAGGTAAAAAAACCCTTGAAAAAAATGATTTTGCAATCTTGCGGCACCTTTTAGAAAACTCAAGCTGTGTCATAAACTATTCTCTTGGACTCTAGTGCTAATCTTTCTATTGGTAGGCTTGGTATCTCAGTTCAGTTCAGTTTGGTTCAGTTCAGTTTCATTTTTTAAAATTCCACTACATATGACTTCAATTAAAACTACATATACATATACAGAAAAGAATTACATAAATGAAGCTAAATATCAAATACAGGAAACAAGACATAACTAAATGGAAAATAAAGTGTATGCCGACGAATTTCTTAAGGAGGAGCTGTCTCAGTAGATAACCTAATCTAGGAAAGAGCAATACTTTTAGCAATACTTTATATTGTTTTGATTCATTGTTTCATGGCTATTTATAGCTACAACTAATCATATTGTAAATTTTGTCATAAAAATATGATTCAGGTCTTTATGGAAACTAATAAAAGATGGGGATTTATATATTTCAATCAAAATGGCAGTACATAACTTCACACCACATTAATGCACAGGCCTAATTCCATATTGCATGATGTTTTTGCGAGGTGAGAAAATATTATTCCTGGTAATTTGCTGAATACCATATTGATGAAAAGATTTAATTAAATCAAAGAAGGAGTGGAAGTAAGTTGATTACACAAAGTAACTTAATAACACATTCATACACAAAGGTGAGCAATTTGAGTTGAAAAAGGTCTTGCAGCTTTAAAATTTCGAAATTACTGAATATAGGATTAGAAGGAAAAATAAAGTGCTCAAATGATATTTTGATCCAAAACTGGGTGTGTGTTAATTATTTTGATCTTTTCTACCCTACATTTTATTCATTGAAGGGTGTCAGACTAAAAGCTGCAGTATATTGTAAAATGTTTGCTTTTCTTAAAACAATATTTTTTGGTGAAAGCCCACATTTTTGTGATCCCATGTAATAAAAAATGTTTGTAAAGTTTTAGCATGTGAGCCAGTGCTTTATATTAAAGCCAACAGCTCTGAGCTCTTAGTTGAATAAATAATGTTTTAATAGTGTGTTAACTTGATGTTTAATTCATTTTAATATTTTTGGATTCACAAAATTCCTTAAGCCTTTCGGTAAAAATGATAGTACTCTTAATGTCTAAATGATAGTACTCTTAAATAATCTTATCTCTTGATGTCCATTGCTATTTGACCATCAGCACTTCCACTCTTTTTTTTAGCTTAATCTCAAATTCATCTTGATGAATATGTTTTTTGTGCATGATTTGAATTTTCCTTGACATGTCACCCGTATTTAACGTCAAAACTCAGCCAATTCAACATAAATATAATTTTTTACAGTAATTACCAACTTCTTTGTCTATTAATCCTCATCCCTTGATTGCTGATGACTATGGATGCCAGTTGGTCAATAATTGATGTATCAATGATTTCTAATTCTACTGCAGAATGAACAGCTCAGCATCGTAGAGGACTGCCTTAAGATGTTCTTTCAAAAAGCTGCATCAGGTAATGATCATCTTGGAAGGGCCTACATATGCCAGGCACATCTAAATAAACCGGCATCAGGCAAATTTCCAGTGAGTATGATATTTTCACACCTTTTTTCAATTGACTCCCATCTCTAGTCATAGAGTCTAAAAAGGCTTTTCCAATAATTTAACTTAGATATGATTTTATGCTAATATTAGGATCCTGGTAAGTGTGATTAGGAAAAGCATTTGATTTGAAAACTAAATGGTTATGAAGTTAGTTATGCATTTTTAAAGAAATATGATTTGAAAAAGGTAAAATCATGATGGCCTATGGACTTAAATTTCTATATGTGTATTTTCTTGCATATCTTTTGTTTTGTCAGGGATTTTTGTTCAAATCATCAGAGATAAAATATTAAATGGAGGATTATAAATGGCTTAAAAATAAGCAAACATTTTGAAACACACTAAGCTATTCAAAAACCTTTTTAAGGCCATTTTTAGTTTTTATTCCTCCAAGAGATTGTTGAAATTAAAAATTTTGACATTTTGGTCATCACAAATACTATTTTAAAGTCTTAGGCCCAATAAGCTGATGTTAACTAAGAATCCTGTTGCTATCAATGCAACAAATATTGAAAAAATTCCTGATTACTTTTTATCAAATTAAGCAACGGTTGTATAAATGACAAATGAATTAAGTCAAATTTTTAGAAACAAATCAAATTTTTTGATGCCAGATTAAAAAAATTTGCCCATCACTTTGTCTCATAACTTGTTGCTGTTTTTGGAAAATGCAAGATGGCTAGGAAGAGTATTAGTATGTGTTGCTCTCCTGAGACAAACAAAAAATGAATGGGTTTAGATGTATATTTTGATTCATATTTGAACTGATATTTTGCTTTACCAGGATCAACTAGAAAAATGTGCCACGTTTCTATTAAAGGCAATAAACTTTGGTAAATTGAATAAAAGGTATGTACAATTGATAGTTATATTTATCCCGTTTAATTTAAATAACCCATTTTATTTCCTTGATAAACCTGCTTTAAAGGACTTTTGAAAGGTCTTTATCAGGTTCTCCATAGCTTTTGCTTTCAGTTCTTTCACATTGTTAATTTTCTTTTGTTTGCCCAGTCAATTTCTTATTTTTATTTTTGTATTGAAACTCTGTTTGATTTATCAACAACTCTTTTCTCTTTAATAACTACAGCTTTTTTATTTAGAGCTAATAGCTGTCATTATGATATTTTTTTCATTATAATATTCACTTCTACGTCCCTGCTGCAACTTTTGAGTATGTCCGCTCCAAAAACCTAATTGGCAAGGTCCCTGAGGAGCCACCATACATTGAAGGTACGAATTTCACTGGAAAGCACATCATTCTATTAGTGTAATTAATAGTCTATTAGCTAATTTTTTTATTCTTTAAGTTTATGGTTCTAGGAAATTTTGCTCAGCTACAAAGCTCACGTTTTGTTTGTACCGCAAATAGCAGTTTGTTGCTAGGTGCAAGCTGATTACTGCAAAAGACATTCATCTGTTTTCCTCTTTTTAGGCATCACTACTTGGTTTATAACGGATCTGTGCTTTACTGGTCGTTTGCACGGCCATTTGTTCAGCCAGGTATTCAATATGGATTGGCAAAAACCTTGCATCAAATCGTGAAAGCACTGGATGACATTGATGACAAAGATTATGAATGGCGTTTACAATTAATGATGTAAGTACTGGGATTGAATAGATTTGGCAACTTATAAAAAAGTCTTCCCATTCTAACCCTTCCAAAGTCTTCTTGCGAGATTCATAAACTCTATTCTGTAACACATTCTTCCTTCCCAGATCTTGTAAGCCTTGAAACACTTCACTCTCTGCTTACTATCTAGACTGCAATGACCATCTTCTTTCAAAAATAAAATTAGCTAGCCAAAGAGGTTAACCAGTCGAATGTTGCCAACAAGGAGTGTCGATTGCACACACCCCTTTCACCAGCTACCCTTTCCTTGAGTATTTTAGGTGTGCAGAATGATTAATTCTACTACTCCTTTTGAGATTTCTTTAGAATGTGCTTCCCTGTTTCAAATTTAAACTGATTTGAGAGCAAAGTACATTTTTTATCTTGCCAAAGCTCAGCCATAATCGTTTTTCAGAGCTCTGATTGAATGTTATTTGGACGGAGGCAAGAAAGAAGACGCTTCGCACGTAAGCACTGCAGCTGCATCGTTTGCTAAAGCATACTGTCCAAACATGTACAAGACTATCTTAGCACTGCAAGTGAGTCGTCAATTTACATTGCATAATAACCCTATCTATTTTCATTCCTTCTTTCCTTCCTTCCTTCCTTCCTTCCTTCCTTCCTTCCTTCCTTCCTTCCTTCCTTCCTTCCTTCCTTCCTTCCTTCCTTCCTTCCTTTCTTCCTTCCTTTCTTGCTTCCTCCCTTCCTTCCTTCCTTCTTCCTTCCTTCCTTCCTTTCTTCCTTCCTTTCTTCCTTCCTTCCTTCCTTTCTTTCTTTCTTTCTTCCTTTCTTCCTTCTTTTCTTCCTTCCTTTCTTCCTTCTTTTCTTCCTTCCTTTCTTCCTTCTTTTCTTTCTTTCTTTCTCTCTTTCTCTCTTCCTTTCTTCCTTCCTTTGTTCCTTCTTTTCTTCCTTCCTTTCTTCCTTTCTTCCTTTCTTTCTTCCTTCCTTTCTTCCTTCCTTTCTTCCTTCCTTTCTTCCTTCCTTCCTTTTTACCTCCGTTTCATCTGGTCTTCCCTCCTGCCTTCTCTCCTCCCCTCTTTCTTTCTTTATCCGTTTTTCTTTTATTCTGTTTTCCAAACAATTTTTCTACAAAATACCAATTTTCATAATCATTAAACATTTTGGCGCCTTTATCCTTATCTAACCCTGACTAAGTTACTAACTAATTCATATTATTTGGCCAGGTTCAACACAAGTTGATTGATCAGTCGAAGCTCCTCAAAGAGTCGAAACTTTCAAATGACCTTGTAATCTACATAAAAATCCTCAAGCTCAAATCGTAAGTATTACTGATTTTGCCCTTAGCTCCTCAATCGTTTGAATTTTATTTGCAGAATGTACCTCCTCTAAAATTAACATTAGGATTGATTCATTTAATTAGAACATTGTTTCTTTGCAAAGAATATTAGTGCTTACTGAGAGTTCTAAACACTTAAGGTCCCTGTGGATTACCAACACCATCCTTTTACCTAACTTAAAGATATTTTGACCTTTTCTCCATCTTTGAATATTGATTTTAACTTTTTAAAGTCACTTCTCTGCCGACTAAATTGATTTTAATGCTGTTCATAAGCTGCCTATTAGTGCATAACACGGTCGATGATTTCTATTCGTGAGAGCTCCGATTCAAATTTCTTTTAGACAAATTGAGAGCTCGGAAAAGGTTGACATCGATTTAGAATTAGATAAGCTTTATCGGGCAATCTGCAATGACGGTGTTGAGACACCTGGCACTGGAAGATCTACCAGAATAGGACAGACGTCTTCAATTGGACCGATTTCACAAACAGAAAAGTATGATTGATCGCATTCGTTAATCAATTGGAATTTTAGATTGATTATTGACTGTTTGATTCATGGCTGAGTTGCGAGTAAGGACTAATCATGCTATGAAATCTTTAATTTTCATGTTGCATCATCTGATGTTTAATGATTCTTCTGGTATGCAGCTTTTCTAACCGATGGAGTTTCATAAGGAAATATTATTGGAAATACCAATTGAAAGAGACTGAATATTTTCAGTCGTTTTCTTATATCCTCTTAAAGCGACCATTGCCAATTGGACCTGAATAAACCTGGAAACTATCACTAGCAATTCTGATAAGAACTGCTAACCTAAATATAGCACATCAAACCCTTGACGTGGAATGGTAATGCTCTAAGCTTGTGTGACAAAGAAACGTCCTTTTGAAATGAACCTAGAATCGTGAATAATCGAGACCACGAAGGTAGAAAAACGAGCGACCTGTTGAAAGGTCAGAATTTGAATCTATATCTAACATAAAATGTTAAGTGATAATTAAGTTTTTTATGTGAGAAAATACGATGCAAAATTTCATTGCAGGCTTCCACTTTTGCTTGACTTGGCAAGGTTGTGTATAGAATGCGGGAAAGCACACCAAGCTGAAGACTGCCTTGCTGCAACTATAGGCAAAGTTAAGGTATCATTTGTGAAATGAACTCTATTCTGATTGTATATAGAAATATTTTTAACAGGAAGATAGCGTATTTATCACTTTTAGCTGATGCCCATGTGATATTTATTTTGCCCTTTCATATAACTGAATTTGTATGATCTTTTTCAAGGATGAAAGCGTTAAAGTAGAGATTGATTTCCTGAAAACCGAAGTTGCAGCCCTAAAGCTTAAAGAAATGAAAAATATGTACACGAAAAATAATGTCGAGGTGAGATTTACCAAAAAATTCTGTCGAGGGCCTAGCTCGTGATTATCTTACCCTTACAGATTTAGACAAAAATAAAGGTGCGATTGGGAGACAGATAGATTCTTTGATTCCTGATTTTTTATCAACATAATATAGATTGAACTTGGGATGAACGTAAATTGATTCCACGTAAATTTAAACGAAATGATTGCGCTCATCTCTCAGGTTTTCAATGTGGATATCTGGTGGCGGAAGTTCCATTTTGGACATTGGAATACCATGAAATATAATCTCGAATACTTTGGGTTATCTGCTTTTATGAGAAGAATAAAAACAAGTTCCAATGCTTCATATGCTTCACTTGTAATCATATAATTGTCGTGACCTAGGTTGTTTTAGCTGAAACATTATCCATATTTTGTACTCCACTTGGCTAACTGCCATTATTTTCTAACCACTCATTTTCCCTTAAGTATTTTTTGTACATGTTCATCATTTTTCAATGCGCCTTTTTAGGATCGATTCATATATGTTCGTTATCCAATCATTACAATAGAATGACAAGGGATATTCTAGAGCAGGGTTTAGCTAAATCTCCATAAAGGCAAAAGAAAGGGTGTTAACAATACCGGTAAAGGCATTTTTGAAAGCTCTTCCACTCAAATCATACAACTCTCTCTAGGCCCGTCATTGTACTTAAATATTTTGTGCATTAGGTATTACAATATTTTTTCTGAATCGTAGAAAAGAAAAACTGAAATTGACGTTCTTGAGGATAACATCTTTTCTGCAATTCGCCTTAAAATACCAAGCCTCATACAAGTAAGTGATCTGCTTATTCAATTTGTAGAAAAAATCAATCTTTTGCATCTAAAGCTCTAAAGTTTTTTTTGTATTATTGTAGTTTCATTGCCTATCTTTGAACTTTGAATGCTTATTCTTAGTTCACACTGAAAGCATCTATCGAAATGTTTGCAAATTTTTTATTAACAATTTACCTTGCTAATGTTTTTTGTAGTTTTCATTAACACATTGTGCTATTGTCAAAACTTTCTCAGCCAATAAGACCACGTGCAAATAGTGCCGACTGACATTTCCAATAGCACAACAATTCCAATCACGTGCCAATAGCACAGGCTTCCTCTAATCAAAGTCGAATTTCTTTAATCTTTCACATTTCCTACGAACAGATATCTCAGATAGCTTTCATTTCACAGAACATTGTTACATCTGTGTGTTTTGTTTGCAGCATGGTTGCATTACGATGTGGAACCTTTGTTTGCCTCTATTGCAAAAAGGTTTACGGAAGGTAGTAAAAGGGCCGTTAAAAGTCGTCTCCGAAGCACTTGAAGACATTGATAGGTCAGTGCATTTTGCTCTCAAATACAGAATCTCTAGATCAAATACACTTACTCGTTTTTTTCTCGCAAATTTTATCTGCTTTTTCAGCTTGCTGATCGGAATGCGATGTCAAATTCATATTGAAATAGCTAAATGCGAGGAGGAGAACGAGCAACTTGAGTATGCAATGAGTCATCTAAAGAAGGTTTGTAAAATGTGAAACATCTCGATACAAATATACATCTACACGACGTGGTGTATACTGCCTGGGCAGTTACGAGAGAGATTATAGATTTCTGTAGGCGTATTCTATTTTTATCAAACTAATTTCTTGTGCTCCAGCTATTACCAGACCATTGTTGATGAATAGATTGTACTGAATCTTGAATAGACTGCATAAAGATTTAATTGTGGATGATACTCAAGTAGGATCATAGAGCCGTCCTGTTCAAAAGACCAAAGCTTCATTGAATTGTTTACTCTTTTTGTATCTGTTATTTTTTGTTTACATTTTTTGTAATGATTCATGCTTGATGCCTAGGCCCTTCTTCTTGACGAAAACGGGCAATTCAAGAGCAGAATCGAAGCGTCTTTACATCGACTTGAATTAAGATCAATGCTATACCAAACCCCGGAGCGACCAGAGGACATTGCGGCATTGATCATCGAACAGGTATGTATACCCAATGGGCATTCCTGTGAAATTCTAAATCATGCATCTCTGCTTGAGATTCCCAGCTTCTTTTCTATAGCTAATCGTCATTTCAGAATGATTCGAAATTCTTTTTTCTCAACTTGTGCTGCTTTTAATCAAACATATTACCTCTTAATTGTAATAATTCGTAGCAGTTTACTTAAGGGACTAATTTTCCTTTTCATAAATACAAAAACGACGAGCTGTGTTTCAGGGGGGTTTGGTTTGTCTCTTAAGTACAGCAATTACGTCAAATTTAACTGCTTTAACTGTATCCATTATCAACATATAACTCGAATGAAAATTGTCTGAAAATTGTCAACAAAATCCGTATTTATTTGTTCTGTTTATAGTTAACCTTACGTCATTCAAGTTATATAATCTATAAATTCATCATTAATAAGTAAGTGCTTATTTTTATCGAAACCTTATAATCATTAGCGTGTGAATTTCATCGGACATAGTAGTGTCCCGGCCGGTATTATATATACATAGATGATTTTGTAGGTTTTGACAGCTGAATTCAAACTCATTTTCTGTCAATTTTTTAACCCTAGATCTTTAAGAATTGCTTTGTTTTTGCATCTTGATTCACAAGCCTAAACTTCTTTTCTCTTGTTGTTTTAATTACAACGAAACATACTGTTTAAAATATGGGCAATCTTTGATCTTTTAGGCTAGGTCTACAAAGGAGGCTGGCACACTGCAGATGAAACGTGCTTCTCTAATAGAGGCTGGCCTTACTCTTGCACCTGATGCCTTCAATCTAGTGATGGATGGTGAAGCTGGTCTTACTCAGGCCAGAGGAACTCCTTCCAATCCAAAATTGCTTGAAGAAAAAGTAGCAAAATATTGTAACAGTATGACAAAAATTTCCGGTCATTTGAAAAGAATAGAGAATATGAACGACAGAGAAAGGTAAAGTAAATGCGATACTTAAACTCATTGTAGCGTAGTAGCAGAACCTTTCAAAAGTAGTAGGCATATTTAAGCAAAAAGGAGCATCTTTATGATCAAGATCGCAGGCCACAGTTGCAATCAATATTGTCAATTGAAACTGGTAGGCTTTGAGCCATGGTATTCATTTTACGTTTTCTTCAATTCATCAAATCTACATTATCGTTTTACCCTGTTGTTAAGAAAATAAATACCTTCAAACAGAGCCTAAAATAAGAAATTTTTACAGATCCACATTTTATAAAAATTGGGCGTGGTACTTTGCTGGGATTGGCATCATGGGGGTGGCAAATATGGAAACTGCCATCATAGTGCAAATAGCATGTCTTAATTGGGCAAATTCTTAAATGAATAAAGTATAAGTAGCAAAAGCTGATTCTTTACAATATATGGATTGGGTTAATAAGAAAATTAGCTACATATAGCGATGTCTTTATATGTGAGCAAAAAGTTGTCGAAAGGAAACTCTTTTACATGGTTTGTTTAGATCTCTGTTATAGTTTTCGGACTTTGGTGCTTTTTTGGTTTTTTAGAGCCATATCTTTGCAGCTTTTTTCGGAACTCGAAACTTGCGAGATCAAGTATATTCATTGCGATATTTATCTATTTGTTAAGTTTTTCTGGAGCTATGCTGCTTTCCCCACCTGCTTCTATCTTGTTGTAGATGGGAATCAGCCTCTCTACATTGACAGAATTGAGGATTGCTGCTAGAATCTGAGCCATTGTCCTGTCTGGTAGAATTCCTCTCAGAACAAGTCTCAGATCTCTGCGATCTTAGTCGTTTTTTTCTCGAAAATGTAGTGCATGATTGAATGAAATATTTTGTCCGGGACAAAAGCTGGGTGAAGCTTTCTTAAGTCTCTTTTACTTATGGAAAGTTCTTAACTGCATTCAGCACATCAAATTCTTTGCCATCAAATCTGTTCTTTATGAAGTTTTGATACTATGAACGAAAACCTCGTTACAGATGGCAAAAAAACTCTCACTCTCACTGATGTACAAATTGTGCTTGTTTCTTTTTATTCTCTTTTCACCCAGTTTGAAAGCATGATCTTTACCCCCATCTTATTTGTAATGCAAAAACCACGCACCAGATCTCAATTTTGGAATTACGCCAAATTTGTCATAAGATTGTGCATGCTCAGAATATCAAAAGTGGCCAGAGTTGCAATTTGGCCTTTTTGACAACCCAGTGTACTTGTTCTTCATAAACAAAAAGGCAATTTAGATCCATGGTTTGGTGGCCAAATTTCTCCATTTTGTCAGTTTCTTAAAACATCTTGGCCGTCATAAATTGATTGAACCGAAGAAGAAGAATTTGGCTGAATTCTGGCAGCATGTTGCAAAAAAGAACAAAAATGCAAAGGAAACGAATGCAAAGGTTTTTTGCACAGATAATATTCAAAACTTTTTAAAATAATTTCAAAATTGCAAACGTTGAATGATCATTCAATCAGAAACAAAGTAAAAGATAACAGACGGTTTTGGATAAAAGCAAGTGAAAACTTTTGTAATCTACAAAGAAAATTTTGATAACGGTATCACTCCCAATAATTAGCAACAATTTAGCTTTTTTGTATACTGCGTTTAGCTGGCTGCATTTGGCTACCAACCACAAAATATGTGGCTGCCAACCATTTAGAACAACTGGCAAAATCCTGCAGGTGGAAAGTCACAATCTACTCCCAAAATGAAACCACAGATGCTGGCGTAAAGTGTTTGCATTTGGATCCATGAAAACAATGATTTTTTTAAATAATATCAGAATTATGCTAGAGTTATGCTAGATTCCAAATTATGCTAGATTTGATGCTAAATGACGATTTTTGGCAAATATTATTCTAATATTACAGTAGATCAGGTCACACTGACACCAGCTCACAAGGGAGTGGTTGGAACGGGACTAAGAGGCTTGCCCCTTAATTTTTTACGGCCACGACCTTTCAAATACCGGAAAACACTTCTTTCAGAAAATTTTTGCTTCTTTCTGTCCCTTTTCATAAACATAACGATTTAGGGAAGATTTCAATTAACATAAAAATACAAAACCGAGTTAGATAAATTACAAATAAAGCACCATCACACAAGAACAGACCACACAAGATTAAGCACCATCAAAAATAAAAAAAAACGTGTTCCCAGCAGAACTGCTACTAACGCGTTCGTTAGCGTAAACTTTCAAAACATTTTCTAACCTATTGTTGCAAAAAAGTTGGGGAGGACTATACTCCCTGTCTTCCAACATTCCAAATTGAATGTTCCTCCAAGCTACCACCGAGAAACTTATCATCATTCAGCTACAGTAGCCTTGAGAGGAATTTTTCCAATGCTTTACCAATTTAAAACACCTTAGACGAATTGCTTTATAACTTTTTCTGATATCTACTGAAAGATATCACATAAACCCCAAAATACATTGCGGGCAGGAAATCATAATCTCGGTCTTGGTCTTAAGGCTCAGTGTCTTTTTTGAGGCAAGTCATAAAAGCAAACTAAATTGAGATGATGTCTTGAAGTTAAAGCTGTATACAGAGTCCATCTTACTTCAAAATAGCACACAACAAGATTGTAAAGCGCAATTGATTTTTCTCCGCATGTACTGAAGCTTCGAGCCCTGAAGTTTCTTAATTCTTCTTTATTGTCCATTGCTTATTTCTTATCGCAATTTTCTTATAACAAATGAGTGCAATACATAAGGCTGGGATTGGGCATTCACTTCGAATTGAAAAAATGTTCCCAATTCTTTCTTAGGCGTTTCGATTGGTATTTTATGTTGCACTTTTAGAACATGCATTGTTTACAAATCCACACTTTCTACAATTACAGTTCCACAATTTTAATATACAACTCCACAAAGTGAGTCAGATCCTCGCTTATTTTAGGCCGTGCCTTCAAACGCATAATGATTTTCGAGAAAATCATTTCATGCTTAAATGAGACGAACATTTTGACGTAAATATCTTATCAAATCAATTTGTTTTTGCTCAGTCTTTTTTTTCATCAAACTTAATGAATGATTGGGAGTTTGCAGTGAAAGCAGTCAAATCATACTTGGTATTGCATCTCAAAACATAAATTGGGTTTTCTGGTTTGCACATTTAACTGTGTGCAGAAATATCACTTCTCATTGAACACTCTTTTAAAGACTGTTTAATTGTTATTTTTGATTCTTCCAAAATTTCTTTTTTTACAAACTTTCTTTAGTTCAAATCTTTGAACGTATTTAGTTCAAATCTTTCATTCATTGATATTATAGTGTGTATCCACACGCATTTCTAATTCTTTGAATTTTACTACGAAATTGAATTTTTGCCAGGTAATTTAAACAATCAGATTGGAACACCGAGACTGCATTTTTAATAAATGCATAGTTTCCCTTTATTTTTATATTTCAAGAGGACCGATCCTCATTTCCCCTCAAACAATTTAGGATGGAAGGTGCACATTGTGCTAAGAATGTGATACACTCTTTCGGTTTCCACCTTCATTTGTCAATATTTTAATTCTGAATCCATCACTTAATAGGGTTGTGTAGAGAGACATCGTAGGTGTTACCAACTTATGAATTATAGTTTTTCCCAGTCCCTTTCTTGAAAAAAACCGACGAAATAGAAATCTGCAACCATTGTGCTATTAACTTTCAGTTTCATTTCTTAGAGAACCTTTTCATGAATTGTTTCAGCTATTCATATTATGATTATGAGTCTCATATCCTTAATCGAATCGAATTTTTAATAATTGTTAATTGCCATTTAAGAGTGCAGATATGGGCAGATTTAACGAAGACGGCCAGGAAGCAACATGTATGGGATGTAACAAGAGTTGCAGCAAAGTTCTGTCTTATGTACGATGATGGTAGATGGGAGATGACAAAAAGAGAGTCAAGTGCTAAAGATGAACATAAACAAGCCCCCAACACAGCTAATGGCAATGTTTCGCATGAAACAACCACCAGCAAGAACATTTCCCCACCCATAGAAAAGATGTCAGACGAAAACAAAGATGTACTTGGAATCATTGCAGAAATACATTTCATTTACTCAGAGGTGACTTCTAAGCTTCTTTTACAAACGATGCATAAGAGCATCAAATGCTTTGATAAAAATCTTAGCAACTTTTGATAGTTTTCTGAATAAATTAAGGCTCACTGGGTAAGGTGAAATCGAGAAATTACTTCAAAATGTTCTTCAGAGGTTATGTTTCTCTAGATAACTAACTCATCTAAATTTAAACAAAAGATAAGTTTGAAACGACGTTGAGACACTATTTGCAAACATGGAGTTTTTTAACTTGTAGCTTTTGCAAAATAACTGCGTGATGTTTAAGATGCCATTCATTTCAAGGACTTTTGCACAATACAATACATAATACAATACTTGTATTAGAGCATTTATTGTAAAGTTTGTTTAAATTAGTTAAATGAATACGTTGTGATAACTTTGCATGGAGAAAAATGTGTGAGCAAGAATTTATTGAAGTGTTTCTCCTCCAGGCTTTGGTTCAGCTGCTACAAGTGGAGGGTGTTAAACTACTGGAGAACCCTGTGCCAATTGAAGACAGCAGCTTCAAGCCAAAAAGCCGAGAAGGGACAGAAATCAAGGCCGAGGAGACGAAGGAGTGGAAGATCTACAGGTTTCTTTGCTTAAAGCAGCTTTTTGAAGATAAAAAAACCCGTAAAAGGCAATCTGTTTCAAGTAAAGTGCTTTGGAATAGAAACATATTCTTTTCATGAAATTTACATTAAGATTTGTCTAAATGAGTAGATTTTTCATACTATTTAATACAAAACTTTAATGCCCTGATGTAGCGTCAATTCTTCGGGCTTTATCATAAAAGCCCTTATAAAGACTTTTAGATTGAAGCTGCAGCAAGGTCATAATTTGGTAAATCGCAACACTGAAGCTTTTCACAGCATTATTATCCTAGCAGTGCAGAAACCTGATGTAACTAGAAGTTTAAGCATATTTCTTACAAAATTACACCGTTTTCATTAATCAAAGTGAGTGGATCGAATCAATCTCAACGGAAGCAGTCCATGGCTTTCACCGTGGAGCAAAGCTTGGTGCAGACATGACAGCACCATGGTTCATCTGCAATGCTGGCATCTATTTATGGAATTATACCAACCACTTCTTGGCTGCTGGCAACTTTTTAGCGTTGACCAAAGTCTACCAGCCACTTTACGACAGCATGAAGACCATTGGCTATTCAGAGTAAGAAGACATTTGACTTTGTCTTTTGAAGGAAATTTGACTTTTGATGTTTTTGATTTAATATTTCTATTGCCAATATCGTAAATTTATAATTTTTTTATTTTATGGTGTAATTTGGCCGTACTTATCGTCTTACGAGGGATCGTAGCACTAGAAGTTGTTTGATTAACTTTTAATTCTTTGTGATTTGTCTAGGTAGGTCTCGGCTTTTCACAATACCGCTATAGTTTTTAAGTTGTCTTAGAGCCATATCTGGGTTTATTGGCTTTGTTCTTGATTTAGTAAGGCTGCCACATGAATTTTGCAATATTATAATTTGTACAAAGTTTTGCATCATCGTTAATAAATATGATATTTGTTTGTTTGTAAGTTATTATAAAGAGCTTTGTAATAGAAAATATTTGCTTTCATGAAGTGTATAAATTTATAACTTTTTGCAAATTCAACTCCTTTGTTCTAGGGATGTTACATTTTTTTGCACATTTGCACACGCTCTTGCAAAAGGCTATATGCAAAATCACCTTCCAAACTCAAGGCAATCAACCCCTGTTCCTGCAACAGAAAAGGATAAAAAATGGCGTACTGGAAAACAGAGTGCCTCACCTACTCACTCCAAGAGCAAAGCCTACGCTATAACCAATGACCCGGAGGCTTTGAACGAGCTAAAACAAGCTTTAGAGGTTTCTTATTTTGCATTTCTTTTATCAAAACGTATCTTCTACCAGTTCTATTTTCTATGTTTATTTTGCTGTACTCGTTATTTCAGTTGAAATGTGCTTAAATAGTCCAGTGCCAAAGTCTCAAGTGTGTACGTCTTGTTAGGGCATTTGAACAACAACCAAATGAGCATCTTTTTAGCTGTTCAGCATCAGTGGGGAATTGTTGATGCCTATGATTGTAAAAAGCCTTTTATTAATATTTTCTTCAATCAAGTCTGGTAATGGTGAAAAGAACTATTTAAAATAAATTATTTGCTATTAAAGTAGCCTTATTGCTTTTATTAGATCCTGGAGCATGCCCTTAATCTAACGAGTGTAGCAGATAATCGATATATGGTGCCCATTTCAACGCGACATCCATTGATAAAGAGCTGGGTGCTTTGTAAGATGCTGACTGGACAACCGTTGCCAAAGAACCTTGGACATGATGACGAGGTAACCCATAATAGATACGAGATGTTGGCTAATTGCTGTAAAATCATTTTTTTCCTGGTCTGTCATTTAGTGCCGGATGCAATCTTGGCAGAGCTGTACACGTCTTGGAGTATAGAACAGGACAAATCTAAGTTGCTGGACAAATCCGAGCTTCATACTTGATGCGATTATAAGGCAACTTTAAGATGTTAAATTTATGTAAAAAATCATTAGTTACTTAATACGAATGTTTCTAAAAGTAACTTGTTCCAAATTAACCCAATTTGAAATACCGCTCATGCTATATGTTATACAGTCACTTGTTTTTTCTCCAAATCACAATCTCTATTTTTTTCTTTATATCTACTATATCTCTTATTGTAAGGAGCCTGACGGACATAAGTATAATTAGCTAAAAAGTCACGGTCTTAAAGTAACAGTTATTTAGTAAGTATTTTAATCGTTCTAGAATCCTGACAGCCAAGGACCAATGAGCAAAGCATTATGTGCCATGGAAGCTCTTGTCTTGCAGCAGAAATATACCTGTGACATGATGAACTGTCCAGGACTGTTTGAAGTATGAAACCTCCGTGTGAAATAGTTTTTTAATTTGCTTATTTCAATAAAAATTGCTGCTTTTTTAGTGATTGTTTTGTTTTAGATAATGGACTCTTGATAGGTTTGATTTTTTAATATTCTTATTGAAATATCTAACCATTTTATTTGTAGGTATCTGATAATTGTTAGGAAGTTTTTCTTTATTCAAATTATTTTAAAAGAGAATTGGGATATTATTTGTGTGGATGGTATGAATTTTTGGCAGAACTGCAGGTTTCTTTGATGGCATGGGTACCTTTTTAAGAATTGAAAATGAATTTTTCCAGTTAACACCCTCTGAAGTTAATCAAAGGCATCTTATGCGACCTCAGCAAAGTTGTGACTTCTCGATTCCTTCGAGTTTTGAACCAACTGCAAATGTTTCACAGGCAATCACTCAATGCAGTGACGATTTTTGTAGTTTTATTTTTAATTTGCAACATCTCCAAGTAATTTCAGAACATCAATGTTTATATTTACATTTTCTTTATTCGAAATTTGAAATATGCAGGGATTGTATGCTCTGCGCATTTCTTATTCTAGGCAATAAAGCTTGTTGAGAATTGCAAATGGAGTGATCACCTCGTTGAAATAGAAATATGGACCCGTCTTGCGTTTTTGGCTTCAAAGTCTTCATTTTGCCAGATTGTACTTCAATGTGGAGAGAAAGCGTTGGAACTTGCCAAAACCCGAAAGAGCCTAAATTACGAGAAACTAAATGAGTAAGAAAGCAACTCTATTTTTTTCGATTTTCTTGTTACATATTTTTGATACAATGATTCCCGAAAAACATCAGTAGATGTTTCTTCATATATAACAAATAAAAATTCTTCTTGTTATCAGCATGATGAAACACAAGTACAAAGTCGAGCAAGAACTGCTCCACTACACGTCAGTTCTGATGGGTGAAAATTTAGTGGCCATTATGCATGGCAGAAGCGAGGCTCGACACCAAGCACTAAATCACTTTTTCGAGGCTTGCAGGTGAGTGGCTTTTGTATTTGGTGTGCCAGCAACTCAGGCATGGCTTTCCCCATATGACAGTATTTGTTTTCGACAATTCAGGGCTTTCCAGAGTGGCACTGTTCAGTTGCTGTTTAAACTTCCCTGTTTACATACAATAGCACTTTATATTGACCAATGAGAAACCATATTGACCAACTGGAAAAATAGAAAACAATATTAGACAATAATCAACTTTCTTTATTTTTGCTCCGTAGGAATTTATGTTGGAAATTTGAATTGAAAGTCTGTAATCTTCCTAAATTCTTTGACATCTGAGCAAAAGTAGTAGCTTTAGTGCTCATAAAAATATTTTCCTGTTGAGGCTAAACAGTATCCTATTTACAATTCTTCTCTTTATGTTCTTTCAGATTTGCTACAAAGGCGAGGAACTACCAACTTGCCATGTCTGCTGCAAAACATTATTGGAATACAGTCCAGTCTTTTATTTCAACACCCATTGAGAGGAAACTTCTTAAGGAGCCAATCAAAGCCCTATTGAAATGCATTGCTGATGCATGGAAGCATTCAGGATTTAGGGAGGTATGTCACATCTCTTGCTTAAAGACCCGCTTAGAGAAAATAAACGGCACGTGCTTCTGGTTTTACAGTCATGACTCAAAACCACATTGCATTTATGTTGCTCATGAAGTTAATCATTTCCGTTCAGTGCAATTTCTTTTGCATTTTTAAAATCATGTCACGGCTTAAACATCTTGAATCGTTATTTTTTTTTTCAATTACGATGTCGACTAAATTTCTACGCTTGTAGGTTTAGAAGCTATTCTAAATATATATTTTATGTTTGCAAATGTGACAGCATCTTATTAAATGCTTCACGAAAGTATCACTTTTCCTTATTATGACAAAAAAATTGAGCGTTTCTTCAGATTCAAGCCAACCATATTCTTTACTGTTATTTGCTAGTTACTTTTTGATTTAGGTACGTGTCGGTCTGTTGCCATAAACTATAATTGTTTTGCAGCTATTTTTTTCTACTTTTAACGGAAGCGACGGCATAGTTATCTTAATCTTATTTGAAATGGTTTACCTACACTTTTAACAGCTAATTAACATTATAGCGTTGCAAATAAGGAATACCGCAACGCACCGTGAACAAACAACAATAAACACACTGGATCACTGTTAAATTACAAAAAAACCAGTTAATCAGGGACTCTTAGAACACACATTATTATTGAATGTTGGGTATGGCTACCTAAAATGGCAGATATTACATGTTTACGTTTTGGTTGATGTGCTACTCAACTCTTTTGTTGATAACCAAACTTCATATTGCCAAAAATTCTCAAATATAAACGCGTTATAAAGAAAACTGAGCAGCTAGTGCTTAGAACCAAACTGCAATAAAACATTCAAATGAGTATTTGCTTCAAAGTATTTGCTAATGAGTATCTGTCGAAAATACGCTTATTTATTTGTAATGATTACTTACAATAAGCAATGATTGAAATGATAATGGGTATAACAACTTTCTTTACAAGCTTTGTAGCAAGGAAGGTCAAATTGACGTCTATAGTCAATAGCAAATTGAAACATTTGAACAACTTGGTAAACCTATTACAATACAGGCTGGTGACGTCAGAGTGGCTTTCTTAAAGTTGTTTCAATGATTATCGGTTTTATTCTAGAGTCAAGACAAGAATGATGACGGAGAGGATGGTAGAAGAAAAGTACAAAAACCTTCTTTGGTTAAAAGCTCGCCTGGAGCAAAGAAAAAGGAAAAGGCAAAACCCAGTCACATTTCGAAGAAAAGTGCTGCTAGTGGATCACATGTACGGATTGGCGAAGAGGATTTCCTTGGTGAAGAAGAAAGAGAAAAGTCAAGTATGGATGCTGATTTGACTTTGCGAGCTTCGTTGTATGGAGTGCTCTTCCAGGCCTATTCCGACACGGTAAGCAAAAGCCTAAGCAGAGGCTGTGCAGAGGGGGGTGTGGGGGGCTGTGACAGTTATGAATCGGTTCTTTACTCGGCAGGTTCGGCATTTTTGGCGCTTACTCGGCATAATTGTTGGTGGCATAAACTAAGAAATCAATGATATTCAATGGTATATTTGATCGTTTTCGTTTTCATTTCCAATGGATTCTCTTCGCTTCTCTGCACTTCAACATTTCAATTGTTAATTGGCAAACTGAAGCCAAACACATTACCATGTTTCAGGGTTGGTTGCAGGAATGACAAGAATGGATACCACGAAACCGCCAAACAGCTTTTCGCCTGTGAATGTTAATTCTAAGAACAAAGTAGTAAAATTTGCTTTAATGAATGCATTTTGGAGGTCCCTTCTTTTTTCGACATCAATTAATTGGAAAATCTCTTACTCGGCAACCTGATGCTTGACTTGAGAAGTTTTTCTCGCACCGCCCCTTGGCCTATGCAAATGAATCCGCTCTTTTTTCTCGTTAAAAGTTCACGTTAATTGAATCTCTTTAGATATATTTCTGCTTAGCATATTAGCCGTTTTGTTGAGTCATTTCTCTTCACATTCCCACGTGCTTTCAGGGTGACTGGATAAATGGTCTAAAGGCTATGGATGAGGCTGTGAAAGTGATGCCAAAAACTCATCATAGACTGTAAGTTTTATTTGTTTTATGTATATCTTGCTTGAAATATTTTCAATTTTCTATCGAATTTTATACCTTTCCTATAGATTCATGCATCTTCTTTTGAAGTATTCTTGAAATTCTCATAGAATATTTTTGTTTCTTCTGTTATAGTTGAAAGCTTACCATCCACCAGGCTAGTCTATGCTTTATTTAATCCAATAAGAGCAATAAGAACAAACGTGCAAGAACTTCTTTATGAAAAATTAACTCAATTTTATGTTGTCAATGCTGAATATCCCCTCCTATTTTGAAGAGAGCACCATGGCTGCCTTGCCAAGTATATTCCTCATTTCTGTTCGTAGCAGAGTCCTCACTGCCATTTTACAATGAATGTCAATTGTAAATTTTTAATTGTATTCTGAAAAAGGCTCGTCATTTTTTGTCATCCAGGCTGATATTCAAGCATAGAGTGATAATGAATGCTAGGCTCGGAAATCCTGTGCAGTTTGACATGGGAAAATTCAAGGTATGTCCCGTTTTCATAAGAAATGCATTTGACACGATATACTTAACAGGTACCTATTTCAGGCAATTTGCTGATGCTCGTATGTAGAAAACCTTTCTATTCTACAGATCTAAGATACTTGCCAGAATTACTTGAAGCAACCAACAGCTTGAGTCCCTTTTTTATCCTCCAAATACTTCTACTCCTGCTCTTTTAACTTTCCCGTGCCATTGTTGATAGTTCAGGTAGGTATCATTTGAATACCTGAATTATTATTATCTCTCATAACTTGATAGTAAACCAGCAGTTTTCAATGGGGAGAGGGGATGGCTGAATTCGATCTGATAAAAGGCTCATTGCTAACAGAGTTATCCTGGAAGAAGGATTCAGTACTGAACCTTTGCTTACTCTTCTGCAATTATAAGTGAATAAATTCAGAATTCAACGTTGCGTTGTTGGAATGCCTTCTCTAGACGTAGGCAGCCTTGTGCTTCTATGCAGGTCCTTTCCCTATTTCTTTCGATTTATCAAACCTTGTTGTTTTTTGTGGGTTGACCTATCAAACCTTGTTGTATTGATATTGGCAGACATTGCAAGTTGCTTTCAGTTGCTTCATTTAGCTATCAATTCAGGGCTATGTTGATGCGCTAGTCAAACCTAGTAACCACGATTCTGCTGTTTCCTTTTGGTTGATCCTAAAACATGACCTTTCCTTACTGCAGGATAGTGATGAGTTGTTGATATCATCAATGTGGCACAGGGTCGCAAGGAACTCAAACCTTCCTAAAGATCAGTTAATTGCATATATGAATGCAATTGAGTGTTTGCAGGTTTGTTTTCGTTTTGATTATTTTGCAATGGTGCATTGATTGACTCAAGGTTTCATGATACAAGCTTGCATGACAGCACATTAAAGTCATTCTTGTGCCGTAAAATTGTGTATAAGTGACCCAGGGGCGGATCTAGAAAATATTCTGACTGTCGCACATAAGGGTGTGGTCGGAAATATCATTATTGACCACACCCATAGTTTTTAAGGATATTCGCCCCCTTCTCATTTGAGCAATCGACACGCACATTAAATTGGCTTTATTTAGAACGTTGTCAAACGTTGTTTATTCCTTATCTGAGTTTTCAATTGATACTACAGAATCATTTGTGTTGTTTCTTAGCCAAGCGTAAAGCAAGAAAGCGTATTGACGGTTTTCCTTTCATAATCAGGCAAACATTCGAGTCGTCTCTCTCAATTTGTTTATGGTATACGATAACAAACCAGGCCACGCAAAAAATGGAAAACATCATTGCAATGAATTTTCAGAACAAATTTACCGTGCTACCAAATAGAACAAATTTACACAAATATTCATAAAACCTGCATTAATAACTAATATTATTTAATAGCTAAACCAAATCAGCGTGTAAACATGTATTTTACTCCGAAGAAACCCCTTCGAATTCAGGGGAATACCCAAGCAAGTAAACATTACCCGGAAATATCTGAAAGCTGATAAAGAACTGAAAATCCACATTGAAAAGATTCACTTTGAAAGTTTTGTCTAAGTGAAAATTTTTCTCTGCCAACGTCCTGAACATTATTTCTTCGCCAGAGCCAAATCGCAGGTATCGCCCACTGATTATCACCCCAGTCCAGTGCATTTATTGACATTTGTAGGCCCTCGATCCATGGAGGAGGTAATGAACATTGAAACTTGAAAATATCCCGTGTCGAATGTTACTCTGAAAATCTAGCGACCTTTGTCTTCCAAATTACCAGGTTTAACGTATTCGTTTTACATGTAGCCAGCCGACTCCATAACACAAAATTCCTTTTCTCCAGTGAAAAGCTTGCCCATGCCAGGCATAAATAAGCTCAAAACTGCACAATACACGCAATGAGAACGGATTAATCTTAGCCCAGTGGTGCGACCTTACTAAAAAACATACTGTGCACCGAAGTTCGCACTATCTAGCAATTTGATTGGCTAAATATTTTAAAACAAAAGCTGTGCGAATCGGTGCGAACGTGCTACTAATCATACTGTGCACCGAAATGCCCTAATCTAACTACATTGGTACCCTGTTGTTTTTTAGTCAGGATGCTTCAAGATTTGAATTAGATTGAATCAAGATCAAGATAGAATTAGAGATTGTGTTTAAGATTTTGCTTCTGTTTATGGCCAGGTTTAAATCATGCACGATTCAGACCCTGGATCTTCCTGCACCTGCACGGTGTTCAGTTGTCAAATATAACTGAAGCATAATTCCCAAGTAAATAGTATCAAAACACAAATGAGAAATTTGCCAATAAGCGAAAAAGTTGTTGTTCAGCAAAAACCTCTCTCGAGACCAATTCTTAGTATAATTTTAAAAGTTTGACTGTCGCATGTGCGAACAGTGCGAACGTCTAGATCCGCCCCTGAAGTGACCTCAGTTGAGTTTCAACTGTCTCATTTGCTTACATGCTTATAGCTTATTCATTGCTCTGCTCAAAGGTGCGCCCCATTTACTGTTGCATTCGGTTATATCAAAATTCATTTTGTCTATGAAAAGACCATTTTCTTCTCCTTACATGTTTAAATTGACAGGAATAAGTAGGAAACAAAACACCAGTTTGAGTATGACAGCTGTTAATTCTTTGTAAATGACGTGGAAGTTATGTCATTCTTTGAGCAGAGTAATTGCGTACCCAATTTTCGTCAATGGTGTTTCAATGTTCAAATATGGATTTTGCTAAAAACCAAAAAAATGTGTTTTCAAGTAATATCTTATTTGGAGGCTCAAACCAAAACAACGAAGTCAAAGTTTTCATTCAGCATCTAAGCAATTTTCGATATTTCTTTCATTTAACATCGTTTCAACTCAATAACCGATTCAAGAAATATTTTTGTACTTTATGATGTTAAAGATAAATATATTTGCCTATCGGTGGAGTACTTTTGTGTGTTGCTCGATGAGTATTTGTTTGTTTTAAAGATTTTCTTTTAAAAGCAATGCTTTTGCTGTGTAGCTCATAGGCCCGTGCTTGCATTTTTGTTTCGTATTGACAGAGCCCTGGGAGCGAATGGCAGAAAGTTGATTTCCTCTCAGACTTTGCTGATTGGTTGTTTGTGAATGAATTCCCTTTGTCAGACTGCCTTGATCACGTGAGATTATATGTTAATTATAATTTTAGTTGCTTATAGGCTCTTTTGTTAATACAAACTTAGAAGAATGTGTTTTCAAGTGAGATGAATAGAATACATATTCCACTCACCCAATTGATGTTTTCTGAGAAAAGTGCCTTAAAATCTCGAAGTCCAGTGATTACTTCGTTTGATTAATCATTTAATGTCATGACAGCTCTTTCTTTTCATTTCTAAACAAGGAAAATTTGACAAAATGTTTTAATTTTTTAGCGCTAATTTTTCCTAAATTATGTCAAATAATTGTTCGTGAAGAGGAAACAGTTGGTTAAAATAAAAGCAGGTTATTTTAAGTTAAACGTGAAATTTTTTTTATTTGACAGCTGGAAGCTGCTATGGATATAGTTGTCGATGTCATTATATCAAAAAATTCTCTTGGTAAGTTAAAGATTTATATATTATGTTCATTTAACTTCGTTTTTTGAATAATTAATAATTAAAGACGATATCTAGGCAGTCCACTAGTTTCTAAATCTTGCGATAAAACCTTTTCTAAAGCGATTTGACCATGAATTGAAAACATGAGTCGAAGCATTTCTTAACAGTGGTTCCCTTCTAGCCATTAAAGTTATTGACAGCACCCCTTTTCTCATTTTACATTAAACCTTGCCGTAGCTCTTGTTGTTCTTGTAATGTAAGCATTACTTTCAATTTTATTCCATTGTTGTAATGAATACTAAATTAAAATTGAATTTTAGTACCAAGAAGTGCACGAATAAGTGACAAGAATATCAAAATCTCAAACGATAATGACATAAAGACAATAATCAGTGACTGTGTTGACATGCAAAGCCTAGAAACACTTGCTAGGCTGCACATAATGTCGGCACAGATGCAAGAAGGTTCTACTCCGAAATCACAAGAGTATATCCTGACCGCCGCTTATTGCATCCAGAGACTTTGGCAGGTAATTACTATGTTAATTGCAATCTCAGGTAAATCGAAGCATTTCAACCTTGATTAACAATGTATAGAAAGTACCTGCAACTTTTTACTTCAAGTGGCAATTTATCATTTCATTTCATCTTTAAATAAAATTCAAGGCCCAAAATATGTGCCAGTGGAGAAAAAGCTAAAACCTTAAATTAACTATAAAATTTTCTATAGATTCAATGCAAGTTAAGGCACTATATTGCAAACTCAATTATCTCGCTTTTAATGGCATAATAAAATATGGTCAGCGTAATGCTGGGCATATACACTTAGGGTGCAAAAGTATTGAAACGATAGTCATTAATGGCGATTCACAGTGGCCAAGGGCAAAGATGATAAATTTCCGAAACAAAATTACTAGGTGAAGGGGCTTTCATTTCTAATGACTTCGGAATGAATTTAGAGGATTATTATACTGTTTTGATAACAAAAATATGTGAAATATTGAACAAATATTCAGAAAAATTCTTAAGAAATTTATCGAAGCATTGATAACCAATAATGATGAAATGTAGGAAACTTTGAAGAGGCACCACATAGTCCGTTGATACTTAAATCTGGACACGTCTGCGTTTGTTTACATAATAAAATTATTACTTGGAAGATTCTTTTATTTGAGATATTGACCTGCAGATTATTGATAATGAAACGAGATGAATATCGATAAAGGGACGTTTAGTGATCAAAGCAGTTTATTGTGTGCAAAAAAATAAACAGCTTGGATTTAAGTAATTCAATTCACGATTTGCAGAAGCACAATAAAGATTAAACATTTAGCATAATTGTTTTTTTATTGTTATTTGTGTAGATGATGAGCAAATTAAAAATTCAAAAACCACAGTCTTGTTTTTCGAATGAAAAGTGACTCACCTGTTGACAATATTGGAACTCTTTCAAGTCCTAGATTTCTGCTAAAAGAGTCTTCTAAGTGATAATTTGGTCACAGAGCGAAGCTTGAAGTTTCTTTGCTATAATAATTACTTAAGCGATGCATTTTTGCGCCATTAACTATCGTCCCCAAGCCCCTTCTTTTAGTAATTTTCTTTCAGAAATTTGCCATCTTAAGCTTGTGGCCACTGTGTGCCATTTTTAACTACCGTTTCCATACTTTTGTACCCCAAGTGGATAGTTACGGTAATCTTATTATATATGCTCAGCATGATTATGTATGTTCAACATAATTTTGGAAGCTCATCATAATCATGTATGTTTAGCATTATTAGGTATTCATATGTTAGCATATTCATACGTGCTTAGTGAAGAAAAATCATGTATGTTTAACATAGATATGTAACGTCCCGTTCAGTGTTTTTTCATCTTTTTATCTCTCACAAGAACTCAATAAGAATCGGAGAAAAGGCGATGCGAGACGGTGTAAAACCAGGAGAGCGCCCCTTCTCCAAAGCAGAATCTAGGAAGAAAGATGTATGTACAAAGTTTCAGTTTGAGATGGACTTCGTTTTATGTGTATATCAAACAGCGCTCAATATAACAAAAGAATGTAAAATCAATTTGATATCAGATTGGCAGTATACATTCTCGATGCTTGTATTTCATTGCTTGTTTGTGGCTTTGGCGAGAACTTTAACATCCTTTTTGTCATTTTTATGATACTTGTGGGTTATATAAGTGAAATTTAGGCTCGAGTTTGCGTTTTTCATTTAACATTCACAACTGTTATTGAAAGAATAGTAAATTGCATTTTGAGATTGATAGTTCTTTCAGCTGATTGTGTTAACCCTCCCCTGGCAGGCCTGAAAGTTTTCAGCATTTAAAGAAAAGAGATTTCGTTGCCTTGAACCAAATGTTGCAGAAAGATAACGACACGAATGTTTTCGCCAAATTTTTCAGGCCTTTCCGAAATGAAAATTATGTGGAAAGAAGTATATACTAAAGTTAATGTAAGACTTTGTAGCTTTTTAAAATATCGTTCTTTCGTCAGGCAAACAAAATTGATCGTGTGGCATCAAAGACATGCATTCCGTTTTCTCTTGAACAATGGGCAACTTTCGCTCTGCCAGAAAGAGTATGTAGTAGCTCAATACATTTATCTCATATCATATTTTGCTTTTTTATTGTAAGTTATAAGTTTCATTATAAGTTTATATAAGTTTTTCATTTTAAGCTTTTTTCATTAATACATCATTATTCCTACTGGCATTGTGTTTATCCATTTGCATTCCAGTTAAGTATCTGTGCTGTCTGCAAAAAGAAAGATTTATTTAAAGAAGCAAGCACTATGCCATTTCTTTAGTAGTATATTTGCAATTTGTTTCGCCTCAAATACAATAAAATTAGAATATCAACTTTTTGTCTAGCATTTTCACGCTGAAGTATATGCATAAGTACAGAAATTTTGCTTCTAGAAATGCTTTTGGTGGTACAGTTTTGATTTTTGTTACTTTCTTTACCAGTTATTTATTTTTGCCGCAATTTAAATTTGTCTTAGTCAATGCTTAAGGCAATAGGCTAGCAATTGCAATCCTTGCCAAAATCCGATCTATTAAACAACTAGCTATCTCTCTCTTCTTTGCGCTATTTCAATTTGCCAAATAACATACTTCTTGCCCTTTTAGCTGAAAGAGTATTTTAAACAAGACGTTTCTGGCTGTTTCATTAGTGAAAGAAGTATTAAAAAGCCGGTAAGGATCCATGGCTAGCTATTCATTTTAACGTTAATTTTAATGTTGCTTTTATGGCCCTATGGGGTGGACTGTATACAGAGAAACATAGCAACTTAGGCACATTACTGCCTTTAATAATTTAGAATGTGTTAATATTTCATTCGGGGCTTCAACTCTAAGGAGATTGGTACAGAGCACATTAGAATCAAGGATACTTTTCTTTGACTTAAAGGGAGGCCGGTAAATGGCCAAAGCTGGGAATAACGAGCAACTACATGGGACGCATAAGTTACGTAATAATTATAGCATTGCAAAAATGCAGCCATGACTGTTTTCAATACGTGCACTGATATATCTAATGTTTCAAGAATTGTAGGGGTACGCTATTCTACTGAAAAATTAACTGCCCAAGGGTACCTTTAATAAGAACTTTTGCCAAAGTGATTTCTGATCAATTTATTTTGATTAATTTGTTTTACTGTCTACTGCTGCAACAATCATACAAAAAGTACTTCCTCTTTTAGGAGCTGACGTTTTATTACATGGAAGCTCTGAATAATTCACTGTGCCAGCATGGGTATCACCCTCTGTGTCTTCCTGTCTGCGCGTTCAACTGTTTTATTGCAACGGAGATACTTGAAGACAAATTTTTGATAACTTTGTCAAAGCTTCAGTACGTATATCCAAAAGCTCTTAAGTCATTGCGTTTTTTCGTTCTACATTTGCAGACTTTCGCTATCATATTTTTGAGCATTTATCATTAGATCACAAGTTGCATTGCTGCACGTTTTATCTTGTGCATGCTTCAAAGGGCGTTCTGTGACAAATAAGCTGATTATTTACTACATGTTCTAGAAATCTCTTTCTCGAGTCGAATATCCTTGTATTTTAGGCTCTTAGATATTCTCAACGATCTAGAAATGGTTTCCGCCAGCTGCAATTTATCTAGATCACTTGGGCCTCAGTATATCACAGAAGAAGATAAAGCAGAGTAAGTGGAAGAAGACATTACATTTTATTACTCATTCTTAGCCATGAAGAGGCATCTCAAATAATTAGGAAAAGTATACGTGTTGATCATGTGATGTTTGTTTAGAAATAACTGCAACATATTTGTCATTATGGAAAACCATGAATGATTGGGCGAGCCTTTCGGCGAGATGATGATAGTAAATGTATACAAATCTTTAGAATTTGAAATTGGTTTGTAGATATGTTTTTGGTTGAATTTTAGTTTATGTATTTGCGGCTGATTTTGGGTGTTTGTTGCGAAGATTTATCTCTTATTACTTTAGATCAAGAGAAAAAGTTCTTATTTGGAAAGAGAAAGAGGCCCAAGTGTATGCAGAAGAATCGAAGCATGTAATGGAAATTAAAGCCAACAAGCCAAGCACCAAGCAAAAAGATACCACCCGGTCAAGCGGAAATAGGAGGTTGATCGGAGGGCTAACCAGACGAGAGATCTGGACCCGAATTGCAGCCTTTCTAATCAAACAGGTCTGTATTTGTACAATAAATATTTCTTGATTTTTGCTGGTGGTTTGGTTGATTTCATGTGCCATCAAATTAGGATAATTCATATGCTGATTAATTAATCTAGTTACGGTTTATTCTATATTTAATATCATTTTAAATTATATTAGGCTTTCAGAATAAGCCTGATGTATAAACTGCCAAAAAGCGTCATAATAAGTTATCTTTATCGTTGACATATTTCACTTAGTCTCGATATACTCACAGCCAATAATAGCATTGTTATGCCCAATCCTATTATATCATTGTGACTATAATCCAAGTATTATCAATATGGGTATATCAAAATGTGCTTTTTCAGCCTACCCCTTCTTTAAAAGTAACAGCTAGGGGTCCTAACTTTTACTTTGATTGTTGTTCGTGTCCTGAAAATAAATTTGTGTTGAAGTATATATTTTGTAAAATTTGTAAAATAAACTGAACTGAAACTAACCCCTGTGACCTGTAAGTAAAGAAATCCTTCCAAGTAGGGTTCTGTAGGATTCTATAGAGAGAGCTGCATGACGAATTATAACGAGTGGCTATTGCGAATAAATGAGGTATCATAGTGACAACAAGTTCCCCCACCAGATGAAGGCAGGCATTACAAAGGTGTCTAGGTAGAGTCCACTGCACTTGAGCTTTGATTACTTTTTTGCAGCTAATTCTGATTCTTTATTGTATATTTCTTTAAGGGGCAGTATAATGATGCAAGGGAGTTACTGGAAGAGGCAAGAAGAAGCGCAGAAGTAATTTTTAAGAAAATAGATTTTATTGTTGCCAGGTTCTATTTTTGCTGATTTTCCGTTTAGGTCCTTAACATCTGCGTTGTCGAAGAAAGAAAATCTATGATTGTTCAAAAGACCACTTAACATTCACATGTTGCTACCTTCTTAAGAATTTTTTGTTGAAACTTAATTGATTAATGCGATGTTTTTAAAGCTCTTACGTAAAGCCATTTGCAAAGTCATCCCTTTGGCAAACTGGTATTATAACACTTATAGTTTTGTTTTCAAGTTTAAATTAAGAATCTGGCTGGGAGAAGGTGAGCTTAAAAGTAATGCAATTTAACAGTTGAATTTTTCAGCATTATGAAATTAGAAGGTCTAGAAATTTTGTAAATCCTGATAAAAATTTTATCAATGTGTGTTCTTAGCTCATAAATTCATACTTCGTAATTTCAGAGCGGTTTTGTTTTCAAGAAGCATTTTTGTTTAAGGGTTTTAAAGACGACCACTGTTTGGCCCAGATTGAATTCAACAGTGCCGTTTTAGCCTACCAAGAATGCGACTGGGGCACTGCTATCTCTCATTTAGAAAGAATTCAGGTTGGAATTGCTTTTAAATTGATTAATGTTGTTTGATGATTGGAATCCTCTGAAAGCAGTCTTTCGCGTTACTTTTTATTTGATCCTTATGTCGTGTACATAGGTTGAAATTTTATGTGCATTTAATTTGTATCAGGTGTTTTGTTTCAAATATATGTTAACATGTTTTAACTTACTTTAACGAGGCATATCATTTTCCAAAATTTTACGGTTTTCCAATAGATTTCCAGTTTTTCTGCGGGATCAACTCTCATTCAACCTTTTTTATTCAAAACTTTGATGGGTAGCTTTGAACTTTTGCAGAACTTGGAAGGATCGTTGGAGTTTTGGTGCAAGGTAATTGCACTGAAGGTTGATGCCTACTACCGCTCCTTAGCGATACCGACAACATTCCAGTGTCATCCCGAGATTGCCTCCTCAGACAAGGTAAGCTCTATATCCCGTGGATCCCTGTGTCCATTGAAATGCAAGCTTTTTATGGCTGCTAGTGCACTGACGCACATTAACAAGATAAAAAGTGCTGCTCAATGTAGCATCTATGATACATTAAATTCTGTTTCTGATACTATTCAACAAAATTTCTCTTGATGTACATTTCGAGAGAAACAGTTGGAGTGTCATGTTCCAGCGACCGTCTGTATTGGTAAATCCATTCTTGGCATTTATAGTGTTAAGTTATTTACAGGAATCGTGTGCTGACTCAATAGACACTGGGAAATGAGAGAAAATAATCCACTTATCTGCAGAATAAATGGCATGATTGCAAAAAATTGATGTCGGCACGAACTTCACCATGTTCAGTTTTTTGATTCCATGCCTCTGAGTTAAGGACACATTTTTGATGATGTATTTAACAGGTCAAAAAGAAATTCAGCAGCAACTGCTGTACAACTGCTTTACAGCAACAGCTAGACATATCAACTGCATTACTTCAAGTAACACGACCTTATTAAATCTCAATTTCAGGAGACAACGGACTGCCTAGGGTGAGGCGTTAATTAAAACGTGGAGGCTGTACAGACAAGGAATCCTTTTAAACTAAACCATTACCTATACATTACTCTAAAGGTGTTTTGGCTTGTTGACCACACACTATAATCTTGTCTAGGCATTAGAGATTTTGACGTCATCAATTCGTCTCCTTGACGACCTCAGCAGGAAGAGTCCCAACAGATTCTGTCAGAGCGTGTATGTGAAAGCAGTTTTGCATGCAAAGTACGAACTCTTCTCTTTGATAATGTTATAAATATTTGTTACTAACAGAAGCTTAAAAACGTCTGGAATTTTTTCTTAAAGTCTTTTCTAGGTATATTAGAATCCTTTCTGTCAACAAGAGCACAGTTGCTAATGTACTGCTGCAACTGTTAATGATATAATATGCTCTATTCTAAAAAAAGACTAAATTCTATATTTGATGTTCTTTTCCCTGCTGTTTGAATCAAGATGCGTTTTTATTGTGTTTTTTCTTGGTAAATCCTTTAATTATTGATGCTTTGATGGTTCGTTCATCGGTTTATTGGCTATGAAATAGTTTAGACTTTTGCCTATTTATCTTAAAACTGGCTGATATAAGCTATTATTCACCCAATGTATTTCACCTTCTGCTGCAGGCTAGCTGACTATATTCTCAAAACGAGTAGCGTCATTGATGACAAGAAAAATCAGGAAATATTCCAGGTTTGGTGTTTCTTCCTTAAAGCAGTGAGAGATGAAATGTTATTTTAGATTTCAAAAAAAACTGCTGCTAATTTTCGTGGGATTCTTGTCAGTAGCCATTAAGAAAGTTACATTGTTAAAATTCTAGGGATTCTTAAATTTTAGCTAATTTTTTTAGTTGTTGGATGAAAGTCTTGAAAATTTCACAAGCCTTGGTTGCAATCGAGAGGTCTTAAGAATACTTAAGTCGCAGTGTATCCTATTGCAATCATCGATTTCGTCAAGTAGTCGTGAAAAGAGAAAAACAGTTTTAATCCAGGTACTTTACTACATTTTTCCTCTGAGTGATCAATTGTGATATTGTTTAGTTTTTTAATTCACGGCTCTTTTCATGTAAACCTTGATCCTTGATGCGATATAGGACGATTTATGTTGTGCTTATAACAGGGCCGTAAATCTATCACGTGAACAGGGGGGGGTCAGCAGGGTAAATAAATCTAAAGTGTGCCGTGGTTCATGGCACCACCAAGCAATTTATGGTATGTGTTATAAAAACAGTTGAGGGGCAAATGACTTGAAAAACAAAAGTCAAGATTTTGGGCTTTCTTAAGACTTAGTACATCTGACATGTGTGTATAATTTGATAGATAAAATTTTTCAGAGACGGCCCACGAAATTGAACCTTGGGAGCTAGAATCAGGTTTAGTGACGTAGGAGGACCCACCATGGTTGGGTCCGACGCAAAAGAAAATTTTTGAAATTATACCTTCTAGAAAGGCTAAAAAATCACCTCCCAGACTAAATTTAATAAATTATTAGATCGCTCAGAATAAAAAATTCAACGTTTATCAGAAGAACACAGATTATTGTTTATTGAGCGAAATTGTGTAGGGGAAGAGCCATGCTTAAACTCTAGTGACAGAAGTTTATTTCATATTCTGTTTTCAAAAATAAAACGTTAAAAAACGATAAAAACAGATAAAAACCACTCTGCTTACAAATATAACGGCTATCAGCATAAGTCAACTTGCACTTGACACCATGACTTAGTGGCTGGGTTTTGTTGCAATAACACAGAAAAACGTAGTTTGGTTCAAACCTGGCTACCAGAGATTTGTTTCTTTCAAAGAAAATGATGATAATTTATCAAAAAAATCATTTTACTCCAGATTTTTGGGGGGGTCCAGTTCCCCCCGTCCCCCCCGGGATTTACGGCCCTGGCTTATAAGAAAATGAGTCTAGGTATCGATATTAAACCTCGGCAGAAGAGAGAGTTGACAGAATACAGATACAATGACGATAGGGGCGTAAACAACAATCGTTTTAACAGTAAGATAGTAATATTGTAATCTATTGTCTAATGTTTAAAAAGTAATTATGTGATTGATTAGTCCATTTATTTGGCTCTTTTTATTTATGTAAAACTTTCAACGATACTTGTTTTTTTTATAACTTCTTTCTTTATTATTTAGATTATTTTCCTGAGTTGAATTATTTAATGACAAGACGGATAATCTCTTTGCTTGTACCTTTTTCTATGTCAGTGTTTTGAAATCGCAAGAAAAGCAATCGCAATTGCAAAGAAAAATGAATCACGTGTTAAGAAGGCAACTTTTGAGGTATTTTGAGTGCCACTATTATGCTATTTTCGTTACTGATGCAGTCGAAAATCGAAATATTTCCATGAAAATGTTTTATGCATGAGTATTTACTTCTTCAGGGATAGTTCCAAATAATACTTAAATATGATTTAGATTCTTTTGTAATATTTAGTATTATGAGCTTTTACGTTTGATAACGGTATATATGAGTTTTTCAATTTTTGAGAGTCTTTAAAATCTATCAGCCGATTTATACATCTGATGGCTATTCAATTAAATTCTATTGCATGATATGAAAATAATAGAGTTTGACACTAAGCTACTACAGTTAGTACACATAAATTTGGCCATGATTTATCCTCTCTTCGACTTAGCGATTCCCAATTCATAATGTTCTTAAGCGGAATATTCAACGGAGACTAAATACCCATCAAGAATCAGGTTATGCGTTTAAAATATTCGCTTAGCAAAAACTACTAACATGCTTCTCTTTCATTCTGTGAAATTCCCAATGATGTTTTTTTGTTTTATCAGCTCCAAATTGTATGGGAGTGCTTTTGAACCAGGTAGATTATCCACTTCTCTACTCAAACTGTATTAAGCATTTTGTTCTTTTTGCTAGATTGGCAATGCCTGCTTACCTGTTGAAATGGAGCTCGCAGAGACAGTTCTGCATGCAATGAAAATAGCCGTCACCATTCTTGGTGAAGTGACAAATGACATACAGATGCGGCAAGCATCACAGTGCAGAAAGGGCAGCATGAACAAGGTGGCAGGAATCGTCATCATTTCATAATGATCTTTGTCATTTTCATATCATCAGTAGCATAACCATCCTTTCTTAGAGTATATAGTATGAAGACATCATGCAGTAATATTGATAATATCTTCATTATCTGAACATGCAAAATTACCTTATTGAGGCAATAATACTTTTTGACTTTAGTAATTTCTTGGCTGGAAGATTGCACGAAATACCGAAAACACAACATACTAAAGCACTTTTCATTGATTGAGCAGGCGAGGTCGTCTTTACACTCAGGACTTTTGGAATCTGTTTACGCAAAAACAAAGGATCCCGACTTGTGAAGACAGAAAGAGTTCATTTTTCTCTCTTGGACACTTCAATTAAGCGAGAGGTTAGCGGTCGCTCATTGGTAAAATCAAGGCAAAAAGTCGAACACTTCTTTCTTCCTAACACGTTATTTTCGATCCACACCCGGATATGAATTTTCAGCTTACTTTCGGTTATTATCCGACTTTATACTCTGAAGCAAGGTTGCCAGATGCTTGGAATGGTTGCCTGCCAAATATTTTACGCGTGACGGCCAAATTCGGCCAGCCAAACAAAATATACAAAAAAGCTACATTTTGGCCAAGTCTTTAGAGTAATAGTGTAATCAAATTGGCTTTGTTTGTTAAAAAAGCTCGAACTTGCTTTCAATTTCAATTTTCTGTTATCTTTTTCTTTGTTTCTTGCTTCGTTATTTGCAATTTTGAGATTGTTTTAACAAAATGTTGAATTTTTTTTGTGCAAAAATTGTCGTTGTCTTTGTAATTTGTAGTTTTCAACATGCGGCCAAAATTCGGCCAACTTTTACTTGTTCGGCCAAATCAATTTTGGACGGCCAATAGCTTTGAAAAACGGCCAGAATAGAGGAATTTCGCCGTCAAAACGGCCAAATGGCAATCCTGCTCTAAAGACCGTCGGACGAAAGTGCTTTAGTATGCTATGTTTCCGGTATTTCGTGCAATCTTCAAGTTTTGCGGTCCCAAAAACTAATTTTCTGGCTCTTTGTTAAGATCTTAGAAGACTTTGTGTCCATGACTCCTGCATATACAGAAAGTCAGCGAGACTGGAATCTGGTTACCGGGTAAGCCTCAAAAACCCCTTTTCGTCCCCTTTTCTCTATTTTCTTGAATTCATACTGCAAGATTTTTATCTGACTTTGATATCGAATATATTAGTGATATTCTCAAACACTCACAGAAATGTTGTAAGAAAGTAAATTAAGTTTTTTCACACAGCTGAAACGTCTTGTCTCCCGTAAACCATACTATCCACCCAAATTTGGTTGGTTTAAGTATCATCCTTTATCCTGTTGACCCATTGTCACATTTCTGCTCGCTATGCTCTGGTGAAACTTTGTTCCAGTTTCGCAAATGCGCACATATTTTCTTCTATTCTAGATTAATTGGTGAAGAAGCCCTCTCCTTGTTGACACAGATCTACAATTCCAAAGAAAAAATTCCTAAATCTCAAGCAAAGGTGACAGAAGTGTATTTTCTTCCTTTTTGTTTGGGAGCTTTCAATATAGTTATTGTTTTTACTCTTTATTGTCAATCTATCGTAGTGCAAAAATGCAAAAAAGATCCACTTCCGCTAAACCTTGAAAGATTGACTCATGTTCAACTTACTCAGTACATTGCCAAAAGAAAGCAGAGTGAAAGTATTGACAATGTTATTCATATGACAAAAATGGAAATTCTTAGATAGATTATGGTCGACTATCCATTGTTGCTTAAGAAAGGCTATTCATCAGCATATTCTGATTGATTAACAACTGATTGATTGATGTCTGGAATTCTATACAAGAAACATAAGCCTTAGTTGCTTGTTTCTTATTTGCATTAAGTCATCTGAAAATAGTTTCTTTATATAAGATAATTATTATTCAGACTGACTATTTGAATATCACAGAGTGTAGAGCACTAGAATATAACGATCTATCTGTCAGACCTTTAAAGATTTACATTTTTTCAGCAATATTCTCATGTAAGGATATTATAAACACGATCCAGTTGTCTCTGATTTCAAGCCACGTGACTGACCCTTTATTTTTCATATTTCAGGCGGCGTTCTTCATTGGAAAGTGTCTACAACAATTGGCTCTACAAATTTTTCCTGGCCTTGAGGAATACACTCCGGCGGTAAGATGAAATATGAAATTTCATTGCACTCTTTGGTAATTTTTACTTGCCTGATTGATGTAAAAATGAGACGATTGATATAAAGAGCTACTCTTTGTCAAACTTTGTCAATATTTTCTGTTTGATTAAAGCTTATTTAATTTCATCTCAGCTTTAAATAAACGTATATCATCTTTATTTTACACCTCAGTTGCAGCAAGGAAGCGAGAAGGCTAGTGTGGCCAACATAGCAATAACTGAAAAATTTGATGACAGTGAAGCAGTAGATAATCTAACTGATTTAGATGTGCTATCTTCAATGGACTCAAGGAAAAGACAGAAGGCTTTGCAAATTAAGGTTTGTTTGCTTAGCAACATCAGCAATTCCTCCCAGTCTATTGAAATTGTTGTCGGTTGCTTTCAGACTTGAATTAAGACATCAGTGAGATATTGAGAATCTTGGCAAATAAAAATTCGCTTATTCCAATTTTCTACATTTCAACCTTCTCCGCCGCTTATGAAATTTCGAATTTCATTTTTACATGTGTATCTTTTAGAAAAACTACGCAGAGTATGCTATGTTTATCACTCAAGCTGTTGAGTTCTTAACCCAAGCCTGTCAAATAGGCCTGAGAAATGGCTGCAAGGACATCATTGCGCATGCGTCATACTCAATAGTACAGTGCATTGGTAATCGTGATCCGGCAACTTCCCTCCATTATCTGGCTTTGTACCAGGTATTGATTATTTTCTATTTTCTTCGCTTTTGGTTTTTAGTTCTTATTATAAAATTAAAATATTTACAATAATTTCTAATTTCATGAACTTTTGTCAGCTTAAAATTTTATTTTGCTTGATAAAGATTTGCAAACTCTATCACCTACAATATTGCTTAATGATAATAGCTAATAGAAAATAAACTTTAAAGCCTTGTCATACTATGGCATTCCGCACTTCCGAGAGATCTGTAACGATTTTGAGCCCAAGGGGTGCTTGTTAAGTCGTTTTTTCTGTGGAAGCAAAGTATGGCTTTTCTCAAAAATTTTCAAATTCTCTTTGATTTGAACAGAAGGTCTAGATAAAGAAATATTATATATGAGATGAAGAATTACTGACTCTCAACAGTCTAAACTGATCGTTTTGAATTTTTTTAAAGAGTGCCTCTGCAGCAATCACTCTAAGTGACACAGCCCAAAGAGTGTTGACGGATCCGCACACATCTCGTATAGCTGGCCTAACTCAACAGAGAAAGAGCCTCAATGACATGGCGGTGAATTCCAATGATTCTCTTGGTGTTCGTGCAATCAATCTAGAACTCCTCCAAACAGAATCAGAGGTAATAATTTCACTTTTAATATGCCTGCAGATTACAAACTTTTCCGCAAGCCTATTAAAATTGTAATTCAACCTTCTTTTCGTCTAATATTTCTTCAACCACCGACGTTTTATCAAGTTTCTCCGAAACAGACAATATTTCACCAGAAATTTATTACCCCAAATATTTTTCTCTGATTCTACTTGAACATGTTTTCTTAATTTAACAAAAATCTTCCTTTTTCAACGATATGTGCAAATAAATTGTGAATTCCGTTCTTTCTTCCAGGCCTGGCGCAGACTGCATATCTCTCGCAATCATGTTGACATCACTAAAGAAATACCCTTTCCAGTAACTTTTGTAATACTGCAGCATTCTCCGGATAAATCCTTGCTTTATGCAGGTGTCCTTGAAAAGCCTAGGGTAGGCATGCCAACAGGGAAGAAGAAGGATCAGACGGTTGGAGGTGAGATTCAAACCGTCTAATCAGCTTGCAGCAGTCATCACCAACATTTTTCGAATTCACAAAAATAATCATAATGATAATCTTTGTAATCATCTTAATCGGCTATTACCTATAATCATGTTGACATTTCTAGTTTAATAGTGTTATTATTTTCATTAGGTCTTTGTAATTATTAATACTACTGTTATTATCATCATCAATTAAGAATTATTTCCTTATTTTCCCAGCAGCCAATCGATCCCATATTTGCAGCACGCCAGTCAGCCAAGAGCTCCTCCTTAGTCTTATCGCTATGGCTGAGCAGTTCAAAAACGATGTATCCAGTTTTTTGCTACACAAAAATTATTTCCAGCAACAGACGCAGAAGCGAAAGGAAATGCTTGGGTTGGTCGAACGGTCTTCGAACTCAATCTCAAAGGTGATTTTATAGTCTTAGGCCGCAGTCAGCGTTTTGGTTTTGTAATCACTTTGTAAATTTTGACCCTTACCGACCTCTTATTTGATATTGTTTCTTCTTTGTGAGATAAAGAAATTGTCTTTCTTCTTGTGGTTTGTTGGTAATTAGCATCCTATGAAGCAACCTCCAAACACGACTTCCCTATTGCTTAACTGATAAATCCTTGACAGCTTGTATAGTCCAGTCCTCTTTTTGTAAGGCGAAAAAGCCTTGATTTCTTCTCTCGAATCTCGAAAAAGTCTTTTGACTAAAAAAGAAAAGCCAAAACTGTCGTAAGGAAGGCGTTTCGTAACAAGTTTTCTTAAGGAACCTTGTTTAATTATTGTGAACTTTGTGTGCATATGCAGACTGCTTATCTAATTGTCTTTTTACTTCTTTGTTCAGGTCCTTGTTACTGAGGACTTTGTTTTGAAATCATCCCCGATCAACCAACCCCTTTTCAATTGGTTGCGGAGTTTGCTCGCAGCGAGTTGAGCTGAAAATATCACTTTTCTTTGCGATAAATACATCACAATAACCTTAACTCTTCTTGTACTCTGAGGGCTGAAACAGCTCCAGAGATCTTACAAGCTGATCGCGTTTTTAGGAATAGCCATCCCTTATCCTGGGTTAATAGTATTAATGAAAAATAATGACACTCTTCATTACTCTCAGCCCCTTGTCATCCTTTACCTAGACCGCCAATGAGATTAAACTTCTTACTTTCTTTAGAACAATATCCTCTATGAACAATATTTTGGATTTCCTACTTTTTAAGTAATATCACATCTTCGTTCTCTTTATGTAATTTTGCACTTTGACCAAATACATTTCGGCTTTTGAACAGTTGCGTGTAAATTCAAATTAAGATTCGATGGCCTTGAAATTTGCCTGTATGTCTGTCTGCTTGTTGCAAAATTTGAGAACTGAAATACTTGCCTACTTGATTATATCCCAGATATCTTCATAGCATCTTAATGAGATTTATAAATAAATATTGATTCTTTACAACGAGCTGATTCACCCAAATACTATTCACTGTTGAGGGCAAATTCTTACGCCATCTAACCCATAACATAGTTACCTTTAACTAGCTTTTCCCTCTGATTTGCTATTTGATAGTAAACATATCGGCCAAGTTAATGTTGCTTCAACTAGCACCTTGATATGAACAATAAAAGTTTGTTTTGGGTTGTGGACATTAATCTTTAATAAGACATTTCACCCAGTTACAGATCTGACCCTTACCCTTGAAATATACTTATTCAAAATTATGTTCGTTCCAAACTCACTATAAAAAGTACCTTTCTCACATTGACCTGATGACAAGGTTGAAATGCGTCTTAGCTTTGTATCGTTTGGAATCCTGTCTTCCATTCATCTCATGTGATTGAAACTTTGCTTCAAATCAATTTTTTTATCTTTGTATTTTCATTTATATATTAATTTGTAACGGTGTCTTGTCATTCAGGAAACCTTATTTCTAAAAGCCGAGCTTGAAAATGAAGAAAAACAGCTTCAGACGCGATTCGATGAGATGGTGGTGGCAATGGAGGCATACTGTGGCACCATCATCCCACAACTGCAGGAATCCTTGACGTATGTTTTGTCTGCTTATTGAATTATTTCAGCAAGCATATAACAAACGATTCTGCAATAGAATTTTGCACATTTTTAACTTCTGATTAGATTTAAGGTTGAATAACTTTCAAATGTTATTGAAAAGAATACCCAAAAAGATGCCCTGATATCCACGCTAGGGGTTTCTTTAATTGTGGGAGGGGGTTCTAGGACAGGTGTCTAAAGCAAAAAAGGGTTTCAGAGGATAGGGCTTCCTCAAGATGACTTATTTTTACTTATTTCTGTTTTATGCTGCAGACATCTAATATTTGCCTAAAAGCTATGTATCATTTCAAGTTGTTTAGTTTGAATCTTATTTAATCAATGACAGCAGGAAAGATTCATCTATACGATTTCACATGTACGGATTTTTCTAGACATTGGGGCTGTTATGGGATTATGGCCTAAGTTATTGAAGCACACGTGAATTTGGAACTTTTGCAGGGGGATTTTTATCCATGAGTATTTTTCATTTGTTTTTACTCTCTTTCTTGTTCTTTCTAAGGAAATCTTACTTCAAGTTTCACCTATAAAAGGGCGTTTAGAGAGAGAAAAGGGGCTAAAACTGCGGCCTAAATCGAACTTTTACTGTAAACAAATGCCACTGTTTTTAGGCAAGAGCCGGCGGTGGAAAGACTAGTCATACTTGCTGACGCAGACCTCCACAAATTGCCTTTGGAAGCGTTGCCTGTCTTTGCCAACAGTGACATTAGGTCGATATCGAGAGATTTTTCTTTGCAAATATTTCATCACAGGATCACTCAAGGAGAGCTGGCAGGTAATTCAATTTATAATAATTAAGGTAATTTGCAATGCTCAAAAAACTCCGAATGGATAACAAACATCGTGGGTAGGTTCATTTGCAAAATGTTCATTCAATACATAAGTACGAATTTCTGACCTAGTCCTTGAATTCTCAGTACTTTGCTTTGAAAAGCCATGATATATAATCTTTAATCTATAAAGGGTTTGTCAGGCTTTACATTTTCGTTACATCTACTGCAAAAATTTGCAACCTGTTTAAGAGGTAACCGTTCACCAATTGACATAACGATAATGGAAACTTAGCTTGGAAAAATGGAGTTTTCCACCATCATACAAAAATTGAGAATAGGAATAGGCCTAGTCTGTTCTGCAAAGTAATAGTAAAAATGCTTTAACATGCATTAATTAAATAACGAGTTTGTACACGAATAAAAGATAAGTACAACATTTCAAGCACAAGTCGTCATCAGGTGACCTGATGGTGGCTGAACGATGTACAACAGGCTCAACTATATTGATTATCACTTTGAAATGCATATTTGGTTAAGTTTTTGAACGGATATTTTTGCTATTAATAAGATTTTCATTAGCAGATGGAAATACGACTGTTATTAGTGGTTATAAGACTGATAATGCAATTGGCAATACGACTGTCACTAGCAGCCATAAGACTGAGAAAGCAGTTCATAGTAAGAACGTAATTAGCTGTTTAAAGACTGATCAAACATAATATGACTGTCGTTAGCAGTTGTAAGACTGACATAGCAGTTATTAACAAGACTTTTCCGCTTAGAGTCATACTGTCCTCGTCGTCTGTCCTCAAAAACATCCTTTATCTATTGTTATCTTTAACCATGTGGGATAATTCTTGATTTGTTACTGACTCTTAGTATGAAAAAGATTTTAAAACTATGCCTGTGGTAGATAAAAAGTAAACTTGAATCTAATCTACTTTCTGGCTTGTAGGGAGTAATAAATGTGACTCTTGGATGACGCCTGTGTCTAAAAACTATAATACAATCTTAGAATGAAAATGTAGATAGCAGCGACAATCATTTTATCTTTAAAAGCTAAAAAGGGGAGAGAAATCCATTTCCAATGGAGCAAAAACTTGTGGTTTGAATGTGTAGCTGGACAAAGTGTTGGTCGTCATGCCCCTAGAAAACATTGCTGAAAACTTTACGGCAGCAAAGGACCAGCGTCACTCTAAAGGAGCCCCAAGTCAAAAGCGGATAACTTCCTTGCATTCCCTTCTTTCAAAATTCAGTATTTTTATCAATACCTGGCCTTAATAATTACTAAACTTTTACTGCCTTTTTTTCGTTCTTATTGTGATGTCTTTGCTGCTAGTATCTGTTTATTTTTTATTTTTCTTCTATTTTTGTATTCTAAAGTGCTTTTTGGTAGCCTGAAGTTGCTTATTTTTATCTCATAACTTCTTAGACAAAAATATCTAATGCGCAGACAGAACAGACTTAAACGGCTGTTCCTGGCCTGTTCTTGGTGATAAGATAGGGATAAGACTTTGAAGATAGTATCTGGAAGATAAGCAGTTTTCCAAATTGTCATATTGAATTAACGATAGAAAGATAGTAGCCACCCGTATCCAAAAGGATCAACAAGCCACAAAATCTATTAGATATGCTTGATGCAGCCGAACACCAACCTAACAAAAACTTTTTGTATTATAGAAGCGCTCTATATTATATAAAAGTACAATATTTTTAATGAAATCATACTGTGTGAAAAGAATCAGAGTATCAAAATCAAGTGAATCAAAGACAGAAAAGAGATTTGAAAAATATTGACCTTGCTTGAAACTGATTTGCAAGAAAACCCTTCGTATGTCCTAACGCGAGATTCCACAAATAATGAAGGAAGGGTGAAAGCTTTCATTTCCCTTAACATTTCAAAGTATACGCACAGTGGAATATCTGTTTTTTTTTCTATAAATCAACTTAGAATCTTTTATTTCTCAAAAGTCTCTTTGGTGTTATGGAACAAAACTTTTCACCTTAGGAACTATAGTGCTGAATGCACAATGTGCTATTCTGTTTGTTGTCGGTTTTTTATATGAATGGGACTTTATGAAGCCTTTTTGTAGTTACCGTTACCTAGAGTAAAAATAGAACAGCATAATCTTTCTGAATTTATTCCTTGATAAATCATTTTCGGTTTTATAAACTGCTGCCAAATGTTTTTACCAGCCTTGTTCGTTCTTCCATGGAATTCAATATCAGTCACAGATTCTGAATTATTTTTCGAACATTAGATAAAATTAGATAAATATTTTATAATAGCAGACACAAATTTTAAAATATTAGATGCAGATTTAGGAATTTCAGACGTACATTTTAGAATATCAGACAGAGATTTTAGAATAGTAGATGCAACTTTTGAAATATCAGGTGCAGATTTAGGAATATCAGAAGTACATTTTAGAATATTAGACAGAGATTTTAGAATAGTAGATGCAACTTTTGAAATATCAGATGCAGATTTAGGAATATCAGACGTACATTTTAGAATATTTGACAGAGATTTTAGAATAGTAGATGCAACTTTTGAAATATCAGATGCAGATTTAGGAATATCAGACGTACATTTTAGAATATTTGACAGAGATTTTAGAATAGTAGATGCAACTTTTGAAATATCAGATGCAGATTTAGGAATATCAGACGTACATTTTAGAATATTAGACAGAGATTTTAGAATAGTAGATGCAACTTTTGAAATATCCGGGGCAGATTTAGGAATATCAGACGTACATTTTAGAATATTAGATTCTACTTTTGAAATATTAGACGCAAAGTTTGAAAAATTAAGTAATGACTTTAAAATCTTAGGCGCAAAATCTAGAATATCAAATGGAACTTTTGGGTTTTACGGGCAAATTTTTTTTGAAATTCATAAAAAGATTTTAGTAGTAGATACTGATTTTCTATAGATTATATTTTTAAACTTGATACAGATTTTACTTAATTTAGCGATAAGATAGTTTTAATGATGAATTTTAGACGACCATATATAAGAATATTAGATCATCATGATGAATATTAGACTATCAGGAATATCAGACAATCATATAGATTTAGCTATAAGGTGATGAATATTCATGATGAATATTAGTTATTTTTCATTCCCTCTATATAGTATTATCTCTGTATTTGAAGAATGCCAATATCGGTTTTTGAAATGGATTAGTATACTAACTGATTCAGTGATTACTATCCGTACCAACTTATACGGAGTGTCTACATAAGATTGACAAAACCTAGTTACGTTGTTACGATGAACAGACGCATTTAAGCTAACCTCAAGCTTCTGGGAAATGACACTGGAATTCTTCTTAGAACTATCATAATACAGCTGTTATCTTACCAAGCCAGAAGACCATTTTCTACCAAACCATGAAAATCGCTTGCCCAAAATGATGGTTGATAAGAAAGATATAACTAGCCAAATAAAGAAATAATGTTGTTTTATCATTTTAATAATTTCCCGCAAAATATTTTGTGAATTTTAATTTTTTAACAACTTAGGAACTAGGTTTCTGAATTTTCAGCAAGCAGAAACCGATAAGGTATTTTTTCGATTATAAGCCGCCCTTGTTTATAAGCCCTCAATCAGAAGCTGAACCACATTGGTTGCATAAAGAATGAAAGCCGCCCTTGACTATAGGTCTCACCCACAAAACCATGCAAAGATACTTGGTTTGAAATGACGGACACAAAGACTTATAAATCCTGATTATGTACTTAAACCAAAAATTAGATATTAGAATTCCAATCAACAACAATTTAGCTGAGCATCAATAGCGCCGAAGAGTATTTCTTCCTCATCTAGAAGTATTTCTCACCTAGATTATATATAAACTGCAGCAAAACGTGCCAAAAATTTATTGTAAGCCACGGCTTATAATCGAATAAAACTTTATTTGCTCCCAATTTTCCCATATGAGGAATTTTGCACGGTTGGTGCCATTCGAGTCTCTTGTCGTAAATTCCTGAAATTTACTTTTTCTGGATAATATAATTATCTACCCTTATAATCTGCGTTTTCTTTAAGAGCAACAAAATGGCAATGGTGACAGAAGCAAAGTTGCCAAGAAAGAAAAAGTTGATACCAAATCAAAATCAGACAAGGCGATGGGAAATAACAGGAAAGTTAAGGTAATTCAACTCTTGTTATGGCCAAAAAACAGCACGATGGGAGACAACTGCCTTTATAGAACAAGATAATTTAACTTATATTAGCTTTAACTTATATCTTAATATTAGATAATTTAACTTTAACTTAACTTGTAACCTATAGCATGCCATTTGATAGCATCGATAAATGCATGCAAACGTTGCTCTTAATATTTTCTTTATACAGATTGAAAACACATTTTTCTTTGTAAAGATTGCACGACAATTAGAAATGGGATATGCTAGAAAACAGGCTACATTAACAGGCTAATTAACAAAACCGAAATATTTCTTAAAGGAAGATCGTTTCTACCTTGGCATATTGAAAGACCTAAATTCATAACTGATTCAAAAAAAAATTATTTTTTGAGCATGCCTTGATTTTTAAATTGAATGCACGTTAGACGCCTGCCTCAAAAATTAAGATACTCAGTTGCGTTTTATGCAGGTTTTTCAATATACACTGAAGGTAAGCTTTTCAAAATTTGTTGTACATCCACTTACACCAATAGTAACTATATGATTTAATGTATGGTACTAGCTGATGAATCACAATGTGATAGCCCCAGAAGTTTTGCTTCTTCGACAGAGGGCGGCATTCGTTTCTAACTTAATGTACGTTTTATTTAAGGGTATGAAGGAGTTTGTGTTTGGCAAAGATGGCATATACCTCGACCTCTCTAATTTGAGATGTATCCTTTTCGAAACTGTCATTACTTCTGATACATATCTATCAGCTTAGCTATATGTTAACATAAGATAGTAAATTACTATTCACTTCTTATCATTTAGTTATTCGTTGGCCTTTAGTTTTTCCCGCTTGTTACTTAATACTTTCAGCTAATTTTTAGACGGATGGGTAGCTTCAATCATTCGATTCCAAACAGAATGCGTATAAATTGACTTGGTTTGGAGTCATCACATAAATTTTAAGACTTAATAGTTTCTATCTAATCTGTTCATATTAAACTGTTTTTTAATTTTTCACAAGCGACCACATAAAAGTGAAAATTTATTAAATCAGTTGCGAAATGACTTCGATATACAAAGGGAAGGAGCCGAGTTTCCAAGTGGATTACTGTTCTGGCTTGGTTCAAAGATTTTTCAAGCAAAACAAAGTTTTCTGGGAAAAGGGCCTGTTTTCACGTGGTCATATTTAAGCCGATTTGTAGCATATTTACTAATATTACATAACTTATTGTATTTGATAGTGCCCTTCCTTGTCACTATATCTTAAAGTAGATTTTTATGTCATTAATTCTGTATTCTTGAGTGAGAAAAAGACTTGGAAAAAGACGAATTGAAAGGTTTAGAAGACGTTTGCTTTAACTATTGCCAGATATTGTGGACCCCTCTTGCGAATGGCCTTCAGGAGGTGCGTTTCTGACTCTTCTCATTGTGAATGTACAAAGAGTTTTCTACTTTTGCCTTTCTACGTATCTAAAAATCTTTTTTGGGAAATTTTGCAGCCAATCTGGAATTTCTTACATCAGCGAAATGATTTCAACAGCACCATAAACTTGCTCAAGATAACATAACTTCATTTAGAAAATTTCACGAACTCTCTCCTTTGCATATTTAAAGGTATTGAGACCCTTAATTTCATTATAAAGCTAAGTTGGTACTATTTTAAGGAATTCTGCCTAACATGACATCTGGGACTTTGCAGATAAAGACGCTCCAAGTAGTGTGATGTTAGAGTTGGTCCAACAATTGAAAAACAAAGCTGCTAAGTGGACAAGTCTTAACGGTCATGATGACATTCCAAGGTTTGCTATTGAGCTTTTCCTTTCACTAGCCATTCCTTCTCTAGCCATTCCTTCTCTAGCCATCACTAGCCATTCCTCCCACCAGCAATTTCTTTCGGATATGTCTTCAAATCAGCTGTTTTTTTATCATAATTGTAAAAAAGTTCCCTGCATGTCGGATTTTTTCAAGCTTTTTTCTTGCTTAATTTGATCTTCATTAATTCTCTGCTTTCCAACCTTTGTACGAATGGCAGTTTCTGTTTTTATGTTTCAAAACGAGTTAAAAGTATGTAAAGGCAACCAAATGGGTGGTTTGAAGAATTATTTTTTTCGAATCAGCGTTACGGAGATGCAGAAATTCCTACAAGAAAGCCAGAGTTGGATATTTTATGGCTCCGAGAATTTGCTAGCCCACATTCCTCCTCACCTGCTGGCTCCAATCTCTTTAAATGGTAGGATGTTAGCAATATCTTTTTTTCAAATTTCACCTACTTTTTTGCCCTAGCGGGTTTTATCTGTGTCCGCAAACTTCCAAACATTACTCCAAACAACCATTACTCCCTTCCTTGAAAAAAATGACCTCTAGTTTTGATTATTTTCACTGTAGAATATGGGACATAAATACTTCTTAAACGACCGTCAGTATGATAATCAAATACACTTATCTCATTCTTTAACACAAAAAACCCCTATAAAAATCACGGTCGCATCAAATTTTCTGCAAAGTTGGTTTTGACTGAACTATAATGAAAATTGTTCAAGTGTTTCTAATAAAGTCCTAGATAGACGTATTTTAATAATTCAATTCCTTTTGAGAACTGCTAAAAGGTTTTGTCGATATATTTTTCATTCATTTTTATAATAGAATTCATTGATAATAGATGATTTATTTCGAACCAATACTGTTTGCAAAAGATTCTACACTCTGACCGATGCTTTGATCAACCCTTTCAAAAGTTTTCTATTCAAGCTACTGTGTAGAAAGTGCTATTTTTCTTGTCAGTAATACTGGTGGCCCTTTCCAATTTTATATTTGTTTTTTAATAGACTGTCACTTGATTCTTTTAATGGATAACATGAGAACCATCACTAGTGCTCTAAACCAAGGAAAACTAGATGCCCAGAAGAGGTAAGCTACTTCAGCATCTCTGAAAATTTTTCATTGTTTTTTGCAATTAATCTTAATATTTCATGGCTAGAGACTTTTCACATTAATGATACTATTTCGATTTATTATTTGCTTGCAGTAGATAAAATAGATGTTTCACAGCCACGGTGTTTGCAGTTAACATCTACACACACGAAAAAGCCTTGCTTTCGCCCAATTTCCAAACCAGGAGAGGATAAACCTACGTTTTGAATATTAAGAGATGAATACGGCTCTTGTTCTTAGTTATCTTGCTATTTAGACTAGGAATCTCACAAAATTCAATTGTATGGTTATGCGATAAAAAATTATAGGACAGCTAAAATGAGATAAGGCCGATTTTAGTACAACTCCTTTGTTAACCTTACTTTCTCGCTATTTTTCTACGGCTGCAGACAGACAAAACAGAGTTTATTTTCCTGAATGCTTTGAGTTTGTAGAAAAGCTTAAAGCTAAACCACAACCAATAAAATCAACTTTATGGTTATGGTTATCCACAAGAAATGAAACGCAAATCTATTAACGTTCATTCTATTATTAAATCGATGTTTTTTAAGCATTCGTAGTACGATGTAAATCAAATAGCGATTTCGACGAACAGTTTACATAACGTCGCGCTAAATTTGAGTAAATGTAAATATAAAGATCCAGGAGTCAGTTGCATTATGATTAAAATTTAATGCTAAAACAAACTGATTATCGAAACCAAGGGACGGCTGTCTGTTACCACAATATATTTCCTTTCTTCGTCTTGTATTACAATTTGTACAGTCACCTAACCACGAGGTTCTTATCTTAATGGAGGCTATCCCACGCCTCGCAATTTCATTTTTAAAATCTCCTTAATACCTGTAGCACTGTTACTGCATTTCATAAAATGCCTTGTGATTGAAAATGCACATGTAGATAAGAGGCGCGATTTAGGATATTCAGTAATTCTGCCTTTGGGGTCACAAAGATCAATTTGCTGGTAATATGTGACGCAAGAGATTTAGTTTTAGTTTAGGGATTGCTTTGTAAATTGATTTAATCAAATTCGTAGCTATCTGTGGAAATTATTTGGGTTTAATCTCCAAAGGAACATAAAATCATGGACACTTTCTCGTTGTGAGAGAAGAGCTATTCTACATGCGATTAATAACAGGGGTGGATCCAGAGCAAATTTGAAGGAGGGGCAGTTGGTAGTGCGGGTGTGAAAAATGTTGACGAGTGTACGCTGTATACAACAATTTCAGACCCTAACTACTGACAGAAGGCTCTTTATTCACTTTGCAAGGAAATTTTCACAATAATTGTTGTATACTTTGAGGTAATCCTTGAAGCAAATTAACCTATAAGTCTTAAAAAGGGGCGCACAATTTACAAAAAAGGGGCACCAGACTTACTTCAACTCGGTAAGGGAGGGGCAACTGCCCCTAGTTGCCCCCCTCTTAATCCGCCACTTATTAATAAAAAGTATCAGTTGGAAAGCGCAGCTTTGTGATCAACGTAAATATAAACATCACGAAAAATTTTTCGTCCCGCCCCTTGTATATGTAAAAATTACTGATAGAAAATTTTTTCTAGTCCGGCAGATCTTGCTCTTGAAAGGCCTCTGGATACTGCAATACTTTTGAGCCTCTGCGGGGCTCCTTGCCTTGTTTTAAACCAATGGCAATGCGAGGCTCACAACAACAAGGAGAGATTACACCATCTCATTTTAGGTACCGTCCATTCATTTCCTTGCATCTCTCTCTATGTTTCTCATTGACATTGATTAAAACATAATGGCAGTTTTAACAATTTTCATTTGAACTTTATAGTTGTTCTTCATTAATGTGGAGACACTTTAAAGTTATCAGAGGCTACTGAATATGTTTTTGAAATACGCCGCGGAAGGGGATTTTTCCTGGTAATCCCCATAAGGTCAATTTTTGTTAGTCATTCTGAATTTCCTTTGCTATGTTTTTCATAATTTGTCATTGAATATCAACCTAGGATATTTTTGTAAGTCATGTTGACAAAATCAAAGACTTTAATCTATTCCATCTGGCGGAGTAGACCGCAGCTTTGCCATATCAAATTCCGAAGGTTTTGTGTTAATGGAAGTGTTGTTCTCCAAAGAACACTTTGTTCTGGGAGAATCAGCGCAAATTTCATACCATTAACTGCTTGTATGGAACATAAAGAAGCACTACATTAAACATTTACTTCAAAACGGTTTCCTTTTCAAAAGTTTTTATTATAGACTGTTTCTGAATATGTTATCAAGTGTAATGGAGTTTATTTCCAAGGACAAATTTCACTGTGAACTGAAATTCGGCTAGTAGAATTTTTAATCCAGAGAATGCTCCCTTGCAGAGTTCTTTAAGCTTGAGCTTCTGGTTGATGTTCCTGCATCTTTTAAACGATTAACTGCTAGTTACATGAATGTTGATATGACGCCAATAGATACAGGTAGGCAATATTTGGTCATGTGTTTCGAACATTTTTGTGTTAAAGGTATATGCGAAAAGACAAATACTGTCGGACAGGCATTACAGTCCTCCAGATGTACATCACCTGGATCTGCGAAACAAAAAGTTGCACATGAAGACGATTCCATCTCGGAAAAAGCTAATTCTAGCCAAGGAAAGCGGAAAATTCTCCAGCACAGAAGCAGTAGACCAGAAAGCCTTAGAAGTAATAAAGTCTCTTCGGCGGGTAGTCAAGGTAGGGGCGAGAAACTGAGCAAGCTGAAACCAGATGCAATAATTAATGAGCAAAACGAAGGCAGCGATGGTATTGCGACAGGGGACCCTACTCGCCGGCTGTTTACATTTGAGCTGTATAATACCGTTTTGTATGGTTTGCCAAACTTCACTACCACACTGCAAAGTGGTGGTTCCTGAAAGGGAATTTTGTACGCCTGCAACTGTCGTTCTCAACGTTTTGCATATAACTATAATTTGCTTTCAGATTTAGTTCCTCGATGATTCTTGGAAATTCTCCGAGGGTCAATGCTGTTTCATACAGTGATATTCTCATTCTGTGCCATTCATGACGTTATCTTTGCAAATTAAAGATTCAGTTCATCCCATAAAGGTGTATGTTGAGTATCTTTCGTAGAAACTGCTGTAAATTAAATAAGGCTTAATCTGACAGTAGCGAGATTTACCTGAAATCAAGGGTTTTCGCCTGATGTATTTCTTGAAGATCTCCTTCGTTTCGTTTGATGTTTATCTGCTTTTGATAGCTGATTGAGCTGTTGTTAGGAGAGTTTCTACACAAACAATTTCAGGGAGGTTGTAAAGTATGACATGCAGTGGTTTTTACACCTGCTGCCTTCAAGGGATCGTAAAAACCTTTTAGCGATGATTTTATTAGGTTTAGGCCTTCAGCAGTTGTCATTACAATACAAAGGTGCTCGTCTTTCTTCCATCTTTTATTTGCAAACGTGGAGAGATTTTTGGGTTATATCTCTTAATTATTGATATCTCTCAGGTAATCCTAGATTATGAAACGAAAGATCTGGAACAAAACTAAGAATTTGGGCCATTATTGGTACTTAGTAGGACGTTTGGGAGCACGCGGCAGCTAAATCGTCAAAGTAGAAAACCTGATTGAATCAGATAAGAATGTGTTATATTGTTGGGGAAAATGTTCAAACTACTATTGACATCCGATGACACTTCATCCATGCATATAAGAAATCAAATATGCGGTCTCAGGGGAATGTGTAATGAAAGAAAGCAATTTCATTTGAAAAGCCTGACTCATTCGGTCGGGACATTGTGGCTGCTTTTAATAATAATGATATGACATTATGGTTTAGATAACGTTGTACTCGACGGTTCCTATAAATGGCCGCATTGGTTTCCACAGTTTTCGAGAAGGCTTTTTTAAATTTAATTTATTCACAACCTTAGGCGCTATTGTGCTAGACACCCCCTTGTTCATACATTCTGACCTTCAAAAATTTGTTAAGAGGTGTTTCCTTGACGGTGTCTCAAAATTACACCTGTCTTTTGCTATCATTAAAAGTGTCTATGCAGAGAAATTTTACCTCCTGTTTTTTCTAGAGTTATATTTTCCCATCTTTTCCGATACGTTTGACACCATAATTGTCATAACTTGACCAGCGAAAGTGTGTTTGATCAGAGTTTTAAATTAGGTAGCACTTGCGAAAACCAAGGCCAGTTTGTGACGTCATGGTGTCTGGTCGACAGCAAGGAAACTGCGGTTGTACATAATTGGCATTCGTTTAGTGCGATCGTATAAAAGCCGGTTTTGTCTGTTAATTTTTTACATATTTTAGTGTACATCGGAACAACGATAGATGTAGCCACTGGCAGTATATAAACAATCCATCGACAAACGTGTCTTTTCCGGCCTTTTCCAAACCCAACGAGTCTTATTTAACGTGTGGAGAACACGGAGACAGATAGAGAAAGAGACAGTGTGTTATCTGTAGAATTCTGGTATGAACTCAACTAAAATTACTCAAAACTTAACGTACTTTTATATAAAAATCAAAATGCTAATTAAGGGTGTTGGGATGAGGAAAGGATGATGCAATGTGCTTAAGAAAGATTTAGGCATAGAACGGGAGACGTTGAGTCAGCATGATTTATAGGAGTGGAGCTGTAAACAGTGGTGAAGGGAATGTCCTATGGTATGCGATGCCGTGAACAACGTAGAGGGATGTCATGACGATGGCATGCCCGATAAATTAGTAGTAAGTGAGTGTAAAATGGCCTAAGAATGGTCACTTCAATCTATTTCGCGGATGAGTCTGCAAATGATAACGAAGAAATAATGATAGGGCCCAGGCCACCACCATGACAGGGCCCAGGCCACCACCATGACAGGGCCCATGGCCGGGTGGCCAATGACAGGTAGGCGATTTTACTCTCGGTTACCCAGACCCTCTGCTTTCAAGTTAGGGGTATGGGACACAGGCTACGTATACCCTGGCCTGGTGCCAACGAAATTTCTGAGACAGACAGTGAATCGGGACGGACTACGGAGTTGTAAATTTAGGTACGGACGATCAGGGGCGAAACTTCACTATTTTCATTAGGGGGGTATGAAGCTTAGTTGCCCGACGAAAGGGCGTGGCATGCTTGATGAAAGGGCGTGTCCTACATAAACTTCATTTTTAGAGCACATCGCCTCAAGGGCTGAAATCATCGGGAAGCCCGAGAGAGGGTCTTTAGACTTAGGCTGTTTGTTTTAAGTCAAAAAATATGCCTCTAGTTTTTCTGGTGTTGGCTATAAACATTTGTTTCCGAAAAGCAAGCATTTGTAAGGCCTGTCTTTTCTATAAAAAAAAGTCTTCTTCACTTTCTAAATCACCTAGCTATTAAGAGAGCAATTCAAAAAAGAGATTGAAGTAGGGTCTCAATTTTATCAAAGTGGAACACCAAAACACAGCTTGGGAATTTCGGAATTTAGAAACAGCTACGCAGATTACAATGTTTCAACAAAAAAGAGCTTCAGTTGCATTCTCTGAGTTTCATTTTCAATTTTCGGTTGCTCCGGAAGCAATTTCAATATTTTTAGACACCCAAGCACAAAGTACGTATATTTAAATTCACCATAACAAAATCCCTCAAGCAAAGAAAAGTTTTTTATTGGAGGTATTTTACAGGTATACCTATCATCAAAGCTCAGTTTTCATGTTTTCGTAATCATGGATATTGTTCAGAAATAGAATAAACTCGAAAGATTTTTGCATTTCATATCTTAACTACAATTTCTTGATAAATTTTATATTATTTCCCGCTTGAACTGATTAAAACTTCCTGTTACTTGTTATGGGTTATTCAAATTTTTTAGTTAAAAAACTTTGGCGTTTGTATGACCATTTTCTAGCGAAGGGTGCAATACTTTCGACCCGTAAGTGTAAAACCTTAAGATTTTGGGGCATAACTCCTTATGGATATGTATTGTTGTGAAGGAGCAGCACGCGGTTAATCCTTCACTCTTTCCTAGACCTCGAAGTTGCATTAGTCATTTGTTCACGCCACGTTGTAATGAAAAGGTGTTCACGTTGGATCTTGTTTATTGTAAATAGTTTTATTATGTTCCTGTTGATGTTATGAAATGTTTAAAACCCAAATGATGTCTTCTTCAAATGTCCTGACCTAAATCTCTAAAACATGTATGATTTCATGAATGAAAGTTTCATACATTTGGCAAAGAAAATATTGATTGATTTTTTCAATAACTTATTCCGAGATGGTATATCCTCCATGCTTTGATTCATGATGCTTCTAAAACTGTCAGTGTTCTATGGGCTCCGAGGCAGGATGGAACGTTGGGGGGGCTTTTCAAGGGAAAATTTAGAAATCACAACAAAAGATTTTGAAAAAAGCTCACTTGTTTTGCAAAAAGTAGGGGGGAGGGGTATACACAGTGTTCATTTCCTTCTCGCATCAAACACACTTTACTTTCCGTCTATACTTTTGCTGTCGATCAATACTTCAGACTTCATCTCGAGGCGAAGATAAACATGTGCGCATTGAGCTCCAGACGAAAGCGCTGATCGGTGGACGGACGAAAGACAGAAATGTATATATGTTGCTGTTCCTTGCCTCGTTTCTGTTTTGTTTTCCCAACTGGGAGGAGATTGAAAAAAAGTTGGGGGAAAAGACCATGAATTAAAAAACCAACCTAGGGCAAAAAGTAGCAATAAAAGTGCGACCTAAAGAAAATTTCCAGATTTGCCCGACAGATACGCTGGCAGCCATAAATTTGCCCGACAAAATCTGCTTTTTTGAAGATTGGGGGGGGGGGGGTGCAGCACCCCCCCCCCCATACCCCCTCAGTAGTTTCACCCCTGCGGACGATCAATATCATATCATTTTGCGTTGCGTCTTTTGTTTCAGAGTTTCATGCTATTGTACCAAAGTGAGACTGAGATACGATATTACCGTATGTCAAGGTCTGTGACAAAGTACCCAACTCCAAAAATAGAATAAGGGGGCAATTTTCAGTTGGGGTCTATATCCTATCTTTTTTAGCGTATCAAACTGTCTCTTATTACCAAGTTTCTTTCATGCTATTCTATCAAAGTGAGACTGAGATTAGATAATACCGGCAATAAAGGTCTAGGGCAAAGAGCCCCAGTCTAAAAATAGAAAAGGGAGCAAATTTCAGATGGGGCCTATATCCTATCGTTTTTAGTGTATCAGACTGTCACTTGTTACAAAGTTTCATGCTATTGTACTTACAGCAGAGATATCGTAACATCACCGCTAGAGTCTTAGGGCAAAATAATGCAATTGCAAAATGTGCATACTTTGACATTCAATATAAAAGAACCATTTAACTTATCGGAATTCTGTCTTTGTTTAATAACAAGGGCGAAGAATTCTATAGATTCATTCTAAATATTGAAATGGTAAATTTCGCTGCATAGGTTGAAACTCCTTTCCCACAGTAACTATAGAATTCCAAAACTCCGTTATAGCAGCTAGAACTCTTGAAATCTTAGCAGAGATTTTACAACTTCAAAAGGATGCACTCTTCTCGTTGTTGTCAAACATGATGAACACCCTTAAAAGTAACTTTGATCAAACTTTTACAAATACATCTTTGAAAAAATGTCACTCTTGCAAATATTGAATTATTTATATAAAGGATAGACCTTTCCCTGCAGAGTTCACAAAACAGATTGAAAACATACTACAGGATTATGGATTTGATAACACACTAACACTAAGTAAGCTTCTAACTTCACAATGACTCATTGGGTAAGACAAATACGTAGCAACTTTAGAAGTTAACAAACAAACAAATCTGACAAAAATAGCTTATTTGATAGTTACACGATAAACGAAATTCTAATGAATGCAATTAATTTACTTTCTAAAGTTATATTTGAAATTACTAAATCAGGGCTTAAAAAACTTTTGTGGAAGAGGTACAATATCGTACACCTCCCAAAAACTGCATAGGTGCATACAAGTATCACATGAGAAAATTTAAAACCAAAGACTACCGAAGTGTGATATCATCAAAATTCAATGTTTAGAATCTCTTAATTTTGAGGAAATAATCTGAAAAAGTAGCAGAAAATACCTCTCAATATGCAAAATCAGTTAAATATGTTCAAAATTTGGTTTGATATGACTAAAGAAAGATATGGAAAAAATTGGATAGGTTTGATATGGCATGATGAGCCAAGAGCAAATGACAGTGATTGGATGGGGAAGAGCCTGTGCTAATGTGACCATATCTCCAGGTAATTGGGTATTTCTTGGGTTTCTATAATTTAGTTGTATTTTTGCTTTCTTCTTTTGGCAGTTTTACCATACAAGGTCTCACTTGCTGCTGTATTTTTGTATATGATAGCTTCATTTTTGGGTATTATTGTATGCCTGTATGCCTACTTTTTTAGCCCTGTATACCAATAATATACAAATATCTAAATAAGAGAACTACTCACTACAACATCAAGCAATATTTTACTGTTTACTAAATGTATGAGAAATGCTTTTTCATAACCTGTGTATGCATGAATAAACTAACTTGAAAATAAAGAGCAATACAAATATATTTTCAAAAAATGTTATTTTTTTTCTTTGAAAGAAAAGCATAGAAATAAACTGACTTATAATTTACTGAATATATTAATATATGCTATAGCTTAATAGGCATTTTTGTCAAGTGTTTTATTTTATTAATAATCAATAACTTAAAACATGTTAAAAATAAAAACGGAATTCTGAACCAAGTAAAAATAAAAAACAAAGCAATTATTTGAAGTAGCTGCCATTGTCTTACACTGACATCCTGTTTTCAAACTCATTAAATATTTGCTCAAAGGGCTTTACCAAAAAAAAGATAAATTGATGATTTTAAGCTGCATTCAGCACCTGCTAAGCTGGTCAATTCAGCTGCCTTATACCTATTTGAAAACAAAAACGACAGGCTTCTGTAGGTCTTTTCATTACTGCAAAGTAATTACAGCAGTCTGGGTTTGGATAGTTAGGGGAGGCAGCAATAACATCATACAGACAATTAAGTATATCATCTAAATTATGTATGGGCTGATATAAATATCTATCAGCAATTTCTACATTTTACATTACATTACAGTATTGATATATAAATGGACTAAGACAAAAGAAATATTTTTTTGAAATATAAGAGTAAAAAATTCACTGTTTGTATGGAAAAATAGACAAATAATGGGTTTCTTTAAAAGCATGACTTACACTTGCGCTTTCTTCGTGACTTCATTTTCTTTTCTTTTTCATTCTCAAGCTCTTTACATGCTTTGATATAGGCATCTTGCTCTTTAAGATACCAGACAGGAGGCCAGCGATGTTCTTCTATATATTTCAATGCTACAACATTCATTTGCTTCAGCTTATGGGCATGCTTTTCACAAAGCTTGTTATAATTTGTTGTCATATAAAATAAACACCAAGCTTCAAGCTGTCTTGCATTATGCAGCTGGCTGATACCCAGGATATCTGGAGAGGAAATGAATATTCACTACTTTAAAACTTTCAAAATAAATATGAAAACAAATAAAACATAAATACATTTCCACAAAATCCTAGTTATTTTGCAACTATGATTTGCATTAGTTCACATTGATTGCCTTGAAAAAATGGCAGAATTATAGTTCAGTAATTAAGTTATGGTCAAGCTAATGCCACACTAACCCATTTGTTCTCACAAGTCCTACCATTATGGGGAAGTGGTGTGCCCTTAAATATGTTATGGTTTTTAATGAGCAAAGAATATATATATGTATCCCTGATAACTAACTTTGAACAAAGAGCTAATAGCAATGTGTAATGTGAAATCACAAAAAGGTTTAGGTACTGTAGAATTAAGTTTTTATAAGAAAATGAAATCAATTCTCTAATATCATAAATTTTGTTGGACTGACTCCTTGGGTATCACACCAAATTAAGTCTTTTTCTAATAGATACTAAATTGGAAATTTCCTGAAAATAAATTTCTGTGCTTGCTTTGTGATTCCAGCATTATAGCAACTTATCTGTTTGTTCATTAAACAAAGGATTTTTAGGTAATGAGTTAATTTACTTTTGGTCGTAACCTTCACCCTACTTAAACGAAACTTCCTTTTTGCTAAAGTATATAGTCACCATGAACTAGTTCAAGTCATGCTTATTTAATACATAAGCTAGCAAGTGAATACAAACCAAATATATTCTCCATGACTGCTTCCCCATTGCATTCAACAGATGCCTCAGTATCTTTAATAATGAATTGCTCACAAATTGCAACCAGTCTGGGCAAGCACAGAAAATTTGCCAGCTTTAAGATTCCAAAAGCATCACACATATGCACTGCTGAGCAGTTTCCTGTGTAAATGTATTCAAGAACACCAAGAAAGCTCTCCACATTTGTATCATTGAAATCTACCTGTAGTCAGATGGAGCACATCAATATAAAAATATGAGCATATTTTGAAAGATTGCATAAATAATCCAAAGACACACGTTGCATTGAAAGAAACTGCAGTATATAGTTTGATAGACAACAATAAGAATTCAAAGATCTAGTGCCCCTTACAAAGTGGCAGTTTGTTATAATAACCCATTCAAATGTAAAAAGCTCAATACAAATTAAGCACTGTTTTTATTTTGACCAATTCTTCTTTTCAATTAATTTGTTTAAACCAACTGGGATAGTTTTTGAGTGTGTTTGTTAGGGGATAGTAAAACACTATTTAGTAACTCGTTTGTTTTCAAAAAGGTTTTCTAGTTGCTTTAAGTTTAAATATGATTTCAAACATGTTTTCAGATAGAATACACAAAACTGGTATGATCCTGGTAATTCTAAATGTTTGATTATCAAATAATTTATCTTAAAAGTTGCTACAACAGCCTCATAGTTCTGAAACAGAAGGAATAGAATAATTTAGATGGCATACATTTTCTGTGCCACTTTCACGGAAATGACCATTGCGAAACATCCCTGCCATAACTTGACAGTGTGGTATCAGGGCTGCTTTGTGAGCTGGAATTGCAGTCCCTTCAATGATGAATGTCACATCTGAGAAAAGGCTCTTGTTATAGAACAATCTGTAAATCTCAGTGGCAAAATGTATTTTGAATTGCCTAATAACTTCTGAGTTTTGGAATTCTGCTTTTATTAGCAAATTGTTAGCATATTCCATTAAGGCTGGGACCTGGATAAGAGAGGCCACAGCAATCAAGTCACAAAGGCTGCCAGGCTCTTTAACAGAGCCTGTGTAAAGGAATTCCAAAACTTTTTCAAAAGAGGCAGCCAGCACATTTGAAATCTTAACAACAACTTTACAGCTTCCAAATGATCCATCTTTAATGGTATCAACTGATATGAATCCCCTTGGTAGCAAGCATGATACACCATTTATGAGCCCATCTTCAAAGACAATGTTGTTCTTGCAAGTGTTTGATTGGAGAAAAGACACATCTTCTACATCACGAAATGAATGCAAAAGTGATTTGTTCAGAAACAAAGCAGCAAAGACGGGGCTAGAGGCTACCAGTATGAGCAAATGTCCATAAATTTGTTTGCTGCCAGCCAGAAATATTACATCTGCCAATTCTCTGTCGCCATAAAAAGATGCTTGTTCCTCCGAATGTTTTGAATTAGGCACATGAGCAACTGGCTGTTGGTTCTTTGGAGGGAGATATGGCTCCTGTAATATTGGTCTTTGAACTCTTTTTAAGTACGATGACAACACTGGCCTCGATTTTCGTCTGGCAACCAAAGCAGCTCTGATCGCGTTTAAGAAAACATCATCGACCCCGAACTTTGTAACGATACTTGTTTCGTAGTAGCCATAAGCACCGATTTCACGTGCTGTTTGTCTTCCAATCTCCGGCGGTACTAGCTGATGTTGAGTTATAGTTGGCTCGTGATGTCCAGCAAGGTATGAGCGCAGTCGGGCATGGCCTACCGTTCTGAACCTGTTCGATGCAATGTATCTTCGATCAAGCTGGGTGCCTACCAAAATAATCGGAACTCTTGGGCAGAATTTGCGAATTTCTGTGAACCATTTTGCGTTAATGTTTCTCAGTGAGGCTGGCATGCCGATTGAATAACACATGACGACAACATGGGCATGTTGATAGGCAAATTTTCTGTTCTTATCATGATCACCGAACGTATCCCAAATTCGCAAGCAGACTTGGACGCCATCAATTATGTACCGAGCTCTCTCGCGAACAATCGGTTCCGACATGTACTGATCAATAGCAAAAACTGTAGGCAAATGGGGCTTACTATTGATCAGTTCCAAAGGTATTCCTTCATGACCATAAACATGTGAACAGATTAAGCGCGTTTTGCCTACAGCTGTATCACCGATAACAACACATTTTACTGGTGCGTGCAACGGTTCGTCCCCATCATAGGCTTCATCTTCGCTTTGGCCTGCCCAAATTACTTGGTTCCTCTCCATGTTCGTTGGTCATCGTCATGAAGATGGCCAATTGTATGAAACAATCTGCTATTATAGGCCGTGTCTAATTTCCATCTATAGACGTAATCTGAGCCATCTGGAAATAATCTTTTCTTGGCAAAGGTGATGGCTTTAGCTTTTCGCAGTGAAAGTCGCAGTACTTGTTTACACCGTCTCATCCAAAACGAGGCATGAGCACGGGTGCTCTGTTTGTTGTGACAAATGCTTTGATTGCGCAGTTCTGGAAAGACAAAACAAAGTATTGATATCCTAACTCTTTTGTTGAGCTTGTCGCTGCTATTGCAGACAGTGTTTAATTATAGATCGAAAGCAGATCCTTGTAAATAACAAGAGGAAAAGGAATATTTCATTGCGAAAAATTATGAATATCCAAAACAAAAGTTGATACCCAAAATGACTTCCATAACTCCTGACTTAAATTTCAATTACTTTTTTGGCTTCGCCAAAATAACAGTAATCCACTTGGAGAACGTTTTTCTTTCTCTTAAAAACAGTATGTTCCCCATTGTTCTCAGAATATCTTTTCATGGCCACGATATTCATGCATCGTTGACTCAATGCACAAATAAACAATCAGAATGAGGAAAAGGAATGGGAGGCAAGCCACTAGAGAGAAATCACCCCAGCCCATCTAGATTAAACATTTCGTTTTTGGGTGTTTCATAAGAATAGCCGGAGAGAGGGGTTGAAACCGGCTAGAAACTAAGTTACAAGCCAACGCATATGGATCTCAAATAAGAGTCTCCAAAACAAGAAACTACTTTGCGTTTTGTATTGGGCCTCGAAAATTTCCTAGAAGAGCTGAAAGGTGTACAAGATAAGGCCAGTGAATTTTCAAGAAAAACTGGGTTAAGTTGTTGATAGACTGGGATCAGTTATGATAGATTTTTAGCAAATACAAAACCACCCTCTTGTCATCTTGCCCTACTGCTAATACCCTGGTCTGGTACCCAGGGTATACTGCTAACTGATGTCAAATTAAAAAGCTTGTTCCTAAGTGTCTGAGTTTCGTGAGCACTGATAGACAGTTAAAGAAGCTTTTTTATCTTTCGAAATATGCCTGAAGTGTCCGATTTGATATTCGATTTTAAATGCACAAAATAAGAAAAGCTGGATTTTTCTGACTTCCGTTGCAAGTAGATGACTGCTGGACAGAAAATATTTAGTTTAATTCAAGCTCAAAGTATTGAGCTGAAGTATCAAACTATTTTCGAAAATGAACTTTTCTATGAATCTTCCTCTTGGGAAATGAGGGGGGACTGATCTCCCTTAACTCCCTGCATCCTTGCCTACATCCCTGGAACAATCATCATTAGCATATAGGTATAAAAGGTTATTGATACAGTTGCCTGGTAAAGGCATTAAGCGTGAATATCGATGTAGCAGCTTAGAACTGTCCTGTTCTATACACAATAAAGCGACAGTTATTCAACTATATTTTTATTGTACATTATGTCTACTTCTTCCATGTGTCTTTAAGAAAATTTTTGTCTTCATGTGCGGTATTATCCTGTGTAAGAAGGATGCGAGTGTTTATTACGTGAATGCTTATAATGTAAGGTACACCATGGGCTCCGACACAGGTTGGAAAGTAGAGGGGCCAAGAGAAAATATAGCAATCATAACAAAAGGTTTTATAAAAAGCTCTATTGTTTTGTTAAAAAGTGAGGAAACCATGGCCCCACGCCCCCTTCCCCCCCCCTTCGTCGGAGGCCCTGTATTCTGATGCCACCCCAGGGTTGATCTGCCCACAAGGAATACTTGCAAGCTCGATTTCCTTAACAGTCGATTTTTATTCAACGAGGTTGTAGTAATGATTACATATCACTCAAATCAGCTTATATTTATCTACAAAGCCACAATGCGTTAGTGTGGGAAAATGTTTCTTAAGAGATTATATACCTGAAGCTAAATAGCAAATATTAAACAAGAGAGGGTACAAAACAAAAAAGAAAGCGCGTGCTGAGAAGGAAATTGTCGGAGATTATGCAGGGAAAGTGCAGACTTTCTTAGCATATACCAAGGAGCCCTCGGCCCGAGTGTAGCATTTGCTTTTATGGCATATGCTTCACAGTAATATTTGTGTTTAGAGCAAGTAAAGCAGAAGCATTAACTCATCCAAGTATTTCCGAATACTTTCACCGATATCGTCCTTCGTCAGCTTTTTAAGTAGTTCCAAATTTTTTAAATAGCTACGTGCGTTTCACTTCGGAAATGTTGGTCAGCTAAATACTGCTAAGTATTTTTATGATGTTAATTACTTGAAAAGTTCTGAAACCAGAGGAAAAGTAAAGAGATTCACAGGTAAAAACATTGAAAAATTGGAAATTAGCTGTATTAGGCGAGTCACAAAGCATGGTATAAACAATGTGAATGATCTGTTGATCTGTTTGTTTCTTGTTTGTGAACTTTAAAATTTTCACGAGGATGCATTCAAACTTAAACATTGATTTAAAACTACTTGAACTTTAACGCTGGCACAAGCATTATAGTAAACTTTTTGCAGAGTTCCTTATCTTCAGTCTGCCAAGCAAAATTTCTGGATGGCCAACCATTTTCAGGAACTGACAATTTATACAATAGCTCGTGGGACCATTGTTTTACAAGTTTTTGAAAAAGGTTGAATAGTAAAGAAATATTAATGCTCTTGAAATATTATATTCCTTTTGAAAGATTTCCCAAATTTTCAGGAAAAGAAACTAAGAGCTTTTCATAAACTGTTTTCTACAAAATAAAGTCAGTGTACTCTAAATCTCACAGGCCCTCTCCGCTCTCCAATGGATGAGGTTTGAGGCTTTCATTTGAAGGAAATTTCCTCGCAATACGAAGAGTTTTCTGCCATATAAGGGTGCTTCGTCATCAAATTTCCAGACCTGTCGGCAAAGGAAGGAGGGCACATGATGTTGAATAAGGTTGTTTGAGAATAGGGTGTAATCTTATTTCAAATTTCGAAGGTACTGCTTTCTAAAAAGGAGGCATTTTCAGAAGAGACCTGTATCCACTGTAGTCATGCTGAGCGTATCACAAGATTCTTTGATCACCAAATTCTTCGTATTTATCACAGTCCTAACGGTAATACCATTTACTGTGCTTATCACCCTCAATACCTTGCGTTCTGATTAAAAGGTAAACCGCAGAACTGTTTGTTAGAGCCCCGAGTAATGTTCAAATTAGAAATTATAACTGCTGCCCACAGCCTAAAGTTGCATAGCTGTAGCAGGAGGGAATAAGCAGCTCCAGTTGACTGAGGTTTCTATAATCTGCCGCACAGTACTCTGAAACAGCACATCTTGTTGAACAGAATTTGGCTGCTTTAGTATTCCTATCGTGAAGTTGGTTTTGAAATACTTTCATATCAAACATAAACGTAGAAGCCCGACGCACAGGGGACACGTGCCTTCTCCCACTTTTCAGGGAGAGAAGAAAAAGATCTTTTTAGACCTTACAGAGGTGCCCCTTTTTTGCCTGAACTGAAAGTGCCTACCCCACTTTTGAAATGCTCCCTACGTCTATGATATCAAAGTGACTACGCAATAATTACTTTCTTTCAGTATCACACCAAACAATATTTCGACTTTGATCTTTACATCAAGAAGACGAGCAATTTTCCAAAAGGATTTCATGTGAATATATGGAAGCTAAATCCTAACTTTTTAGAAGCACCCAATTACAGGAATTTTTGAATACATGTTAAAATCTAGGAATAACTTTACTGTCTGCGAAAACACAAGAAATTAAATACGACAAGTTATCCGTAAGTCTTGGAAATTTGAAGAGAATACTAACAATAAACAATGTCATTAAAAACATCAGAACATTACAGTTACACCTTCGGGAGGCAGCTTAGGTGTCTAGCTAGGTAGTTCCTGAGATACACACTAAATATCCCCTACTCACTTTGCCAATTTATATGTTAACTGCACCTGTTTGTTGCCTAGTCAAAGTGAAAGGAGTTGTCCAGTGATTAAAAATCAGGGCTAACACAGAGGTGGAGGGAACTATCATAGGGAATACCCAAGACCCCAATACTCCTTGAGGTCACTAGATTTTGAATTGTAGCCAAGATACTAACCTAGAAAAATGAAAAGATGACACATAAATAAAAAGAACATGCAGGTTAAATTTTTGATTATTTTCTTGGCTCAATTTCAGAATACTATTTATATATATCGGGGTTCCAATTTCAATTTCAATTTCATAATACTATATATATAAGGACATCGGGGGTTCCTGAATGACATAAGTGTTAAGGTCATAGATAGGTTAACAGGTACTGATAGGAGGAGAGAAAGTTTTTGGCAATATCGCTTGAATACTTTCTCTCCGATGGGTCTTGATACTAGGCAGGTAGATACATAGGACATTTATATATTCTTCTACAGTTTTAAATTTTTAAAAGTTTTTTTTTATATTTTTAATTTTTAATGTCGGCTCTTTTGTTTATAGCTTATCTTCTCATTATTTTGTGTTTTTTGCTTTTATGGCTTTCATCTATCTCTTGTGAGACAGCCAACACCAGCATCTCCATCACATTCTTTCTTCTATCTTTCTTTTCACTTCTCTCCCAGTTCCCCATAACAGTTTACGTTCTAACACATTTGACAATATGTATTGTATTAGGCAGGTACCCCTTAGGTTTCTATTGTATTGTAGTGTTCTATTGTAATTTAGGTTGATAAGTAGGCTCCTCTGATTTTGTAAAGTTATTACTGATGAAGCGAAAGCGAAACGTCTTACGAAAGTGTTTTCTTTGATTCTATATATATATATATTCAATAGCTCCTAACTTTAAAGTTCTTTAAAAGTATAAATAGATTCTCAATAAAAAAACAACTTGGTTGACGTTTCGCCTTAAGCTTCTTCAGAATGATTCTGAAGAAGCTTATAGCGAAACGTCAACCAAGTTGTTTTTTTATTGAGTATCTATATATATATATACAATTGTTACAAATAGAACAATTGTTTTGCTGTTATTGTGCAAAGTTTAACTGCATACATAAAATCCTTGATTTAAATAGAGAACCACAACCGTCAATAATTGATTTGAACTGAGCATATTTTAGCCTTTTCTCGCATTAGTTGGTGTGGCTCAAAAAAGTTTATCTGCCACACCATTTTGGTTTGCTGAGCCGGGACCTTTTGGTTTGCTGGCCACCCTGCAATCATGACACTGAGCAAAACTAAAATATAGCAGTTCGAGAAAAAATATTCGCGAGTTTTATCAATGATAATTATAATCGTTTGAGAACCACGCCCGTATCTGTTGCCACGCCCATTTTGTCGGCAAACCACTGGTTTTGCACCCCTCTCCCCCTCCCATGAAAATTTTCTAGCGACGGTCCTGGTAGTGTTATGCACTGTCTGGCCCAAGATGCAACAAATGTCACTTCACGCAGGGCCTAAAATAAGCCTGGATCTTACTCACTTTGTGGAGTTGTAAATTAAAATCGTGGAACTGTAATTGTAGAAGGTGTGGATTTGTAAATAATGCATGTTCTTAAAAGTGCAGCATGAATACCAA